GCTCTATATAGACATTTTTGAAATTATTTGTAGTATTATTTTACGTTGGAATAGATTATAAAATCCCTGTATACCATTGTTATATTGCCATCTTTGAAAGGTAACTGCCGTACCACCAAACCAGGTCGGCACCCGTGTATAACACCTCCAAGATCCCTTATATCGTCCCTGGCCTTTCCTGAAGTTTGCATACAGGGTACTCCTGGGAATCGGCCCGGCGCGACAATATGTTTACATTTAACTTAAAGGACAAGTTTGACTTAAGATAACATGGATACCGATTCCCGAGACCTATCGGTGAGTGACAAATATCAGTAAATCGGTCGAAAAATTGTTTTGAATTGTATATTTTTTCCAAAATTCCACCAACCGTTCTCGAAAATTATTTTTTCAAATTGAACAACATTCAATTTAGCTATAGTCTACCAGCCTACCTACTGAGTAATTGAATTTGTATTCTTTCGTCACACAGTTTCATGTGTATTGCACTGTTTAATCTTCACATTGATCTATATCTATAATATCCTGTACCAGGACTATAACAGATAATCGTGGATTGAATATTAGTTTCGGGACAAATGAACTCTTCTAATCTATCAAGTCGGTCTGATTCTTAACAGCCATTTGATAGTTTTGATTTTTTGTCAGCCCAATCATGCATCAATATAGTCTATGTTCAATATGCTTGAGCAATTTTCTGAAAGAATGACGGAATGTATTGCAACAGGTTCAGTGGCTTTGGGGACAAATGAACTCTTCTATCAAGTCGGTCTGATTCTTAACAGCCATTTGAAGTTTTGATTTTTTGTCAGCCCAATCATGCATCAATATAGTCTATGTTCAATATGCTTGAGCAATTTTCTGAAAGAATGACGGTTTGTATTGCAACAGGTTCAGTGGCGTAGCGTGGGTATTCTATGAGTGTACTCGACGAGTGAGTGAAGCGAACGAGCTTTGAGGGGGTGGGGGTTCTTTCCCCCAAGGGAACTTGAAAAAATTAGATTGCATTTGAAGTGTCTGGTGCGTTTTAAAATACGAAATTCCGACTACGAAAAAATAATATGGATTAATAAAATGTTAGGTATTACTTCAGAATATCAAACGTGGGTTTTTTCGTTCGATTATTTTGATTTTCATTCTATCTTCTTCGTCCTGCGGGACTATACTAGGCATAGGCCCGGAACATGTATAACATTGAGTCAAATTCACTTATAGAACATGCTGTAAGCTTTATTTCTTTACATTTTTACGGGCCTATGCCTGGGCTATGACTCTAGACCTAGACTACTAGATCTATAGGACTTAGACTAGCCTAAAGCTACAGCCTTAGATCTAGCTCTTTCAGAGGCTGTGACTGATATGTTAAAACAGTCTTTAGAGCCCCCTATCAACCGCTTCAAAATTGTGTTAGTGTCCTCGAAAAAAATTAAAAGGTGCTTCTGTGCCGAACAGCAAATTCTCATTATACATTGAGAAGATACTCTTTACCAAGAAACCAAAAATGGAAGTTTTGACGGAAAGACATGACGTACAAGTCAAAATCTCTGAATCTTGCTAGGTACATGACAGATAAAGAGAATTTAAATCCTGATCGGCAAAGAAACGGCTAATAACTTACATATTTTCTAAACAAAAAGCACTGATGTAGCTCACATTGGGAGATAGTAGTAAGCACTTTATTGAAGTTGATTTCAGTAGATCAGTTACACCTTTCATGATTTCAAGGAAAGACGCAAAGTATCCGTCAAAAGAGAAAAGCTTACATAAATGCGAGCAAAATCTGCAGATTTATTATAGCTATTGACTTCTCGAATATGTTGAACGCACAACTCTAAACAATACTTGAAATTGAATAAAATTGACAAAATATGAGAAGACAGTCTAAAACCTAACTGGGAGAGCTGCCAGATTGTTTGCCCGGAAATCTTCAGAGATTTTGACTGGTACTTTGTGTCTTTCCATCAAAATTGCCATTTTGGTTTCTCGCTGGGTAATTCAGTTATTCACAGATGAAGAGAAATCTTGATTGACAAAAATGCAGCTGATAGCTAACAGCTTTTCTTAAACAGAAGATAAAGGAAGATATAAAGGAACCTGTTATGATTTTGAAGCGGGTGATAGCCGATAGCGGGCATGTTAAGGCTGTAAGTAGAGGGTGTAGCAATAAATCTAACCCAAATAGAGTTTAACACATCTCAGTAAAGGCAAAATTAAAATTCATTAAAGTTTCATTACTTTAGCATGTGTACATTTGCTGGCCTTCTAATATTTTGCCAATAGATTTGTTAGGCTTGATTGCAAATTCTTATGAAATATATGAGTGTATGGTTTCAATGTGCTGTACTCCCGATATTTTTCGCATGCAATTTAGTTTCGTGCTTTTCGCGATTGTGTAAAAATCACGAAAATTAATAGTCGCGAATATCGCCAATTAAAGGCTGAGGTGCAACATGCCATTGACTAAGATCTAGAGATTGTAAATCTTATCCAAAGTATATGATATTGGGTAGGTGTAATTACTGTAGATAAGGTAAATTAATTTTGAGGATTCAGAGAATAATGGAAGTTAAACCTTTGATATCCGCAAAATTTAATGGCCGCAAAATTGGTATTTCTCAAAATATTCATGAAATTTAAACTCGCAAATTAACCGGTAGTACAGTATTTGCATGTGGAATAATTATGATATTGAGAGCATTGATGAAACAAATGCAATGAACTGATTTGATTGGCCAAGGGAGCATTGGAATTTTGACCTGAAGTTCACATGATTGTTGCTATAGGCCTTATGATTTTTTGGAATTCCAGTAATACTATTAATGCCTATTATACTTATACAGTAAAACCTGTCTAATCCAAATGCCACCGCTACCAATTAAAAACATTCAGATTTAAACGTCTGATTTCGAGGTTTTTGCATCCGAAAGATTCTTGATTTTGAAAAAATATTAATGCATTTTCACTTAATATTACTAGCATTGTAGACGTTATGATTTTTTGGAATTCCAGTAATACTATTATACTTATACAGTAATATCTGTCTAATCCAAATGCCACCATGACCAGTTAAAACACCATGACCAGTTAAAATACAACATTCAGATGTGGAGGTGATCGGATTTCGAGGTTTTTGCATTCACAAGATTCTGCATTTTAAAAATATAAATGCATTTTCACTAAAACGTATTAAGATTACTTTTGACCGCATAGCTTTATGACATTCATGAATCCAAATCGAATGCTTGAAAGGTAGATTCTAAAACAGAAGTGTGCAATCAGAGATGATAGATACTATCGCATGAGTATATGAAGGCCATGTGTCAACTCTTCGATTGATAATACGCCTCGAAATAAACACCCACTGGCTTGGGAAAGCTATTTTCCCTCTTAATAAATGCCTGTCCCCTTGGAAAAATGTTTTCAATTTCCCTTTTAGTTAATAAAAGCCAATGGCATTTATTTTGAGTTCTTTCTAATAAAGGCCCTGTGCAAAATTAATGCTCAGTGGGCCTATATGTTCGTTGAATTTAAAATTACCCCTTCTACTCAATTTTTATAAATGTTTTATGCATCAGTATGTTGCATTTGGAGATGGGGTCTTTGCACCTTCCCTGTCTCAATGTCCATTTTTTTTATCATCTCTATGAGTACTTTTCCTTCAGATAATGCATTGGCCTAACATACACACCTTACATTTTCAGAAAATTTCTGCAAATTTCTGTACATATGACCGTCTAAATTCTGTTGCGAAACCTTTAGTATTCTTTCAAGCAATTTCCTGCTTACATGAAAGTCTTTTACATTCTGTTTTTTTTAATGTAACATAATGGCTGATATCAATATTGTTCAAAGTTGTATATGTTTACACTATGGAACTAATCATTCTTTGAATTGAGTTCGATTCCTGAACAACTTGATATTTGACTAAACATTCATTGGATTTGATTTGGTTTGATGAAGAGAAATCTTGACTGACAAAAATGCAGCTGATAACTAACAGATTTTCCCAAACAGAAAATATAAACAAAATTTAAAGTGAGCACTTGATTTCAATAGTTTAGTTTCACCTATGCTTTTGAAGCGGGTGATAGCTGATAGGTGTCATGTAAAGGCTTTGAGTACATGGTATAGCAATAATTAAAGGTCAGAAGGTACTGTTTCATTCATATTTCTTGGTTTTAAAAACATTTAATCAAATAAGCTGGAAATTTTTCTGAGAAATGATATGATGGTGAAAGAAATAGATACAAAATTATAAAAAATTCATAATTAGCGAAAATTGATATCCGCAAAATTTCAAAATTGCAAAATTGTGAAAGATAACAGCATCAAATATTAGTGGCAGTACAGTATTTGCATGTGAAATAATTATGATATATTAATATAATAATATAATAATTGATGAAACAATTGCAATGAACTGTTTTGATTAGCCAAGGCCAGAGCATTGGAATTTGAACTAAAGTTGAGTATAATGTTATTGTATAAATTAAAAAAATAATTATGGAGACTTCTTACAAAGTTGGTCTTCATTTCAAATAGCTGAGAATATTTTCCAAAATAGATTGACTAGGCCTTCAGATTTTTTTGATGTTCAGTATTACTATTACTTATACAGTAAAACCTGTCTAATCCAAATGCCACCGTGCAGTTAAAAGCATTCAGATTGGGAGGTGTTCGTTATCACAATAGATTATAATCATATCATTGATAATTTAGAGTTATTCAAAGATGGCAGCAGCATTCTCAGAACCTGACAATCAGAATCTCATTAATCTTTTGTTCACGTTAGTTATTTAAACTTTATATTCATATATAGATGGCAGTTCTTAAATATATGATAGACACCAATAATTCAACATCATAATTTAACCTTTTCCATTAAATATACCCTGTATCAAGCACAAAAACGTATTTACACCCTTTACTAAAATGGCAACCCCTGTATCACGCACTTGTTTAGTAAAAAAATAATGGTTATCATAAAATAAACTGATTACCAATTCCAACGGGATCACAAAAGCGTAAAGACCCATCACATAGGTTTATACTCTGGCAATTTGCTTTCTTTGGTCCACTTAGTCCAAAACATGTGTCACATTTGTATATAGCTTTACATACACCATTTGGTCTACAACCGACTTCCACCTCACCATTCATAGGGTCCGAAGGTACATGGTCACTCGTTTCTGAAGAAATAGAGGTACTGTTGATGCTTTTTATTGTTTGTTTTACTGGTCATTAATCATTATCAGGACAAGGAAGCGACATTTACATTCTCTTTCAAAATGATGGACAGTAATGGTCAATTACGATATTTTTGATTTTCATCCGATTAAATATTTTTTATTTTCATTAAATTAAAGCACATTGCCGTGTACATTTGGCTTGACAACCACACTTTGCTTGTATGACATAGAAACTCATCAACTCATTAGTCGCGTGTGGACGCCATGATTCAACTATATCATCTACCACTTGAGGCTTATTGAATACCATGCCTAAGGCCTACTGCTAAAGGGCAGGGTGGCAAATCGACAACTTGGGTGACAGTAACACCACAGTCACATTTGTCGCACGGCGGCCGTACGAAATGGCTTGAGTCTGACGTAGTGTTTTGATGGGTTATGTATCTTTGGAAACAGTTTTTCAGGTCAGGTTTGCTGTCATATCTTTGCTGTGAACACAGCGCAATAGGTATACTGTTGTGTAAGGTCACCGATGCACAACAACTTATATTGCAAAAGATTAACACCCCAGTCAAATGTGTCGTACGGCGACCGTACGTCGACCGCAGATCAATAAAATCAGTGAATTTCTACGCCGAGCGTAAGAAAACTACGCTCGTCTTGCGGTCTCCGTACGGTATATCCAGTTTTTTACACGCCGCAGGGTAGCCGTAGAAATTATAACTCGGAGTTATAATATTTGTCCATTTCTGCGGTCCCCGTAGGAATTAACAGACCGTTACCAGACCGCACAACGGTCCCATGGTGGACGTACTCCGGGGTTACGTTGACTTGCGTCTGCCGTAGTGTTTTGATGAGTAATGCACCTTTGGAAATTGTTTAAAAAAGTTTAAGTTACTATTGGTCAATGTATCACTTAACACTTTTTATTTGATATAACATTCATAAATTGAACTGATTTGAATTAGATAAAAATAAAAAGGTACGTTATCACCAGAAATTCTAAATTCGCCGTGCGGCTGCCGTAGGAAATGTGACTGCAAAAGTCTCCGACCGCAGAAATTCTATGGCGAGCGTAGAAATGTTACTGACCGCAGAAATGGTAGACTGTGCGGTCGTCGTAGGAAATGTGACTGGGGTGTTACGTGAATTCTTTGTTTGCCAGGCGGAGTTTTTTTACAGTTTTTGGCTAACAAATCATGCGGAAAGAGCTCAAAATTGTGAAAAACTGCATGATTTTAAAATAATGTCTGGACGGGGGAGGAGGGGGGGGGGACTTTCGTCCCCCCTTTGGCTATAGTTACGCGCCTGGTATGTGCATCATACACAAATGTGTCACCTGGTCTTGGTGTGGTTGTCGTAGTTGTTGTTGTGGTGGTTTTCGGTTTCAGTGGATGGACTCGTTGAGCGAATTGTCCCCTGTAGTTGCCAGGCGGCGAGTATTGGCAGCAGACCGTATAGGAGAACCACATTCCATGTTTTCCCTCAGCTATACCACAGCCAAGAAATTCAGAGTTATCCCAAACAAGCTATAAATTAAGTCATAAACAGTCATCAATAAACAATATTCCTCCTAATCGTTCTCTCTATATTGTACAGTTTATTTTACACTCACTTGTGTGAAGTGACCAGTCTTGCTGCTAAAGGCAGGTGTTTTGTAATCGTAATACTTGATCTCATCATACCTATCAAATATACAACATGCAGGTACACCTAAAGCTATGTGTCTGTTGAGAGGCCATTGTGCAATAAACGCCTAACCATCGACAAGAGCATGCACATGAAATTAAACATGAAATACTTCCACAAATTCCTTAGATAAATCTTTTAAACCTACATCACAATTTTTGCTTCAAACATGACAACGTACAGCTAAACTGTGCACCCGTATATTTTGTCACTGTACGTTGTCGATGGTTAGGCGTGGTTAAATAAGCATAATAATATTTTTAACAGACTAGATGCGAGTAGAAAAAAACTTGATTTACGCCATTAAATATTCAAAATTCAGTCAAAGCGATGATATATTTGAAATCTACATGTAAATATACATCTAGAAATATGGTTTCGAAAATTGTTTATCAAGCTTGAAAATTCAATTATTTTTGAAAATGTGACTTCTAGTTCGGGTTGATTCTCCATAGAGCCCATGTTACAAAATCACAATAAGTGAAATATCTTTTCTTGTATTCGTCAGATAACAATTTTATTTACTGGACATATTTTGATTTACATAACTATTAGATATATAAGTGTTATATGAAAATTGAACCACAAAAAACAGATGTTATTTAAGTTAAAGGGAACTTTGTACTATACCCGCCATGCTATCTGACCCGAACGAGCCACCTGGTGGCGAAACTGGTCATATATCAGTTCAATTTATTCTACTCGCATCTGCGTTATTAATGCCGTCCATGTCTTAAATTATCATTTTTTCATTTTCCATTTATTCAAAGTAGTATTTATGACATTGTTGGTTAATGAAAAAGTAATTATTGTAAAATCTTGCTCACCATTGTTGCGACGCTTTGTTTCCCATATCGTTTTTAGTTCGTGCTAGCGATACGCTAGACCGAGTTCTCCAAAGATTCTCACCAGCCAAAGGATTCTGACGAGATGACGATGGTGAATGAGCGAAACTAAAAAAGATCTTTAATTACTAGATAGTAAGAACAACTCATCTTGATATTATTAAATTATAAAATCATAGAATAACTATCATTACGCATAGGTACCGGATTCGATCATAGGTTCAGGCACTTTGCTTGTTGCGTAAAGTACTTCAGGGAATTTGACTGATTGTCTACGACTCGTAAAACGCCTCTGGTGTGTACTTGTACTTATACAATGTCAGAGTGCACAAAAAACACATGACTGCTTCAAGGAGGGGTTTCTAGGTCTGTCTTCGAGGATTACTTGCTTAAATTACGATCGTACAAATACGAGATATACCCAAGGGGAAGCTCACCTTCATTGGTGATAAACAAAATACAATGCTATTCCAATCAGTTATAAATATCATTCGACGACTGTGAAATATCTGATTGGCCCAAATATCTGATTTAAAGAAAATATTGTGCCCTCGACAGATGTATTTCATGAGCAGGTACTTTCTCGGGCACTTTTCGAAAAAGTATCATTTAAGAGAATGAACAAAATCAGTTTGATACCGATAAACCTTCGATTTCATCTAAACCAAGTAAAATCTGGATTTACAAATATTTCACTTGGGGTGATATTAAGTCACAATTACCTTTTAGGCAGGGATGAATTCGAAACTAACTCAAACGGGGGAAGACACTAACTTTTATGGGAGGAATAAATTGTAAATTCCGGATCCATTGGGTTTCATTGGTATCATCATCCATTTGAATTAGTGACGTCTAACGCCAATCAGATCACAAGAAATTAAATCCTAATTGAATAATTTACTGTATTATTTTCTAATGGTTCACAAAACATTAATAAGTTCAAATAAAAATGATAACTTATCAATTTATTTTATTAATTTACCCTATTATTATACAACTTGTATACGAAGGGTTTCTACGCATGCTTAAAGTAGAAAATAACGTCTTTACCTGTTGTCACGTTCCAGAGTTTTGCAGTAAGCCAGAGCACGAGCAGCCATTTGGCGATGCCACTTTAAAGGAGGTGTACTTACATGGAGAGCTCTTAGTTCATTATGTCTTCTGAGAATGTTCTTCTCAAATTCTGTTGTTTGAGAATATACAAATCCAGTCTGTTCAAGAATCGTAACAGAAAAAATATATAATACCAAAATTCCCATTTCGATAACTCTATTGAAATGCGCAGTGGAAAAGGGAATATTATTGCAGTTTATTGCGTTGATATTGACTTGTGTATGTTGGTTTGATAACAACAAAGTATATACAACCATATCCTGATATTGTAATTATTTAGCTAAGTGTGTCTATATAATTAGCGATAAATAAACTCTAGTAAAAATGTTCTCATATGTAATAAAAACAAAGATCAAGCCATTTTCTATCCAGTCTTGTTATATCACACTTATAAAGTGAAGCACCCCAGGGATAAATTGTTTACCGTGTAACAGTGAGTGATAAAATTAAACGAGAGTGTGAAACGCAAAAAAAACTGATTAGAAAACATGATTCTTGATCTTGAACTACCACGCCCCTTTTCTTGGCGGGAAACATTGTACCATTGTGTTGTATTTTGTTTACCACCAATGAAGGTGAGCAATACCTCTTGGGTATGTCCCGTATATACAGTCGTAATTTACTCTACCGAGCTGGCAGAAGTCAGCTCTGGGAAAAGTTGGAAAAATTGGAAAAAGTTGGAAAAATCGAGCCCATTTTGAATAAACGATGTGCTGAGTAGCGTTTATAACACACTATATATTTGAATCAATACATAATTTATTTGTTGTTACCTTATTTTGATCCTTCAACAGTCTGTTGTTGTAGTAAATTAATGTTCTACCAGACAACAAAACTTTTGAATTTGGATTGCAGCCATTTTAGGTCTCGCGAGATCTCTTGACTTTCGAAAGTAAAGATTTGCTACAAAATAACTCGCGTTAGCTAAATATGAATAGTCACGTGATCCTTTAGCGGCGATTGCCCATGCGCCTGTAAAGTACAATGCGCATGTGCACGCATGTGCGAACCAGATCTGGAATTTCTCCACTTTAACTGCAAATTACGTAACAAGTAGGACTTATTGTCACCACGCGTCATGAAAAGGGCAAGTTACATTAAATTATCTTCTTAAATACCGTTAATTCATTCCAGCGCACCTGCTGGAAGTTGGAGTAAACCACTTCACAATTCGGTATATTTTAACGGTGTGTCAGCTGGCTCTTTAGCCAGCTGTGTTCAGTAAGTCGTAATTTACGTAATTAACATGGAAGATAGACCCAGAAACCCCTCCTTGAAGGAACCCTGTGTTCTTTTATGTGCACTTATACCACACTACTATACCTAACACCTAGAAATGCATAAGATACTTTGTTTGTCTAATTGAATTGTTTAATATATTTTTGAAAGTGCCTTACTAGCATCTAATTTTCAACCGATAAACCATTCATAAGGAACAGACAAATAAAAACAAATACATAATCATTACTAATAAGCCAAATGGGTTGCTCATGAACACCAAATGCAAGGTATAGTAGTGTGTTATACATAGACATACAAGTACACACCACAGCCTTTTGTACGAGTTGCGGACCACTCAGTCAAACACTCTGAAGTACTTCACGCAAACAAGCAAAGGACAAGGTGCAATTATTGGCAAATATCCCTATGGTCAAAATGAATCATTCGTAGGTGTATCATGAAGAATAAAATGTCATATAATACTTTGGAAAATATTAAAGTGCTCGGACACACATAAGCTGAGATCATTTCGTTCAGTAAGGTTGTATTGACTTACATGGGGCTGTGCACCATTGACTTAACGAGGATATCAGCAGATCCCAATAGAGGCCATTGGTTTCCATTGATTATCACAGAAATACCAAAAATACACTATGACCTGAATCGATTGCAAACTTAATAATTTCACAATGCGACACAAATGGTTTATCTCATCAAATGTGCAAATATGAAGTTTGCAATCGATTCAGGTCATACTTAAAATTATAAGATTGTACATTTTTTCATCATTTTTTCCCTAAAAAATGGCTATAGAAAAATGCTCCAAAAACAACTTTTACACTTATCAAATATCATACAAGTTTGTAAAACCAAAGATTATACTATTATATTTCATTATGTAGTAACATATTTGGATAAGATGCAGGGATGCGTAGGATGTAAATGGGTTTTGACAGACACAAAAATACTTCCTGGTTTGGAATCATATGCCTACAAGATACACTTCATGATTGAATTATGACCCTAATAAGTGGCCTATACATCAATACAGTGCTGAATATAGGTCAACAAGATACTAGTGTGCATATAAATATAATAATTGAAGCAGAATACTCATTTTGAAAAATCAGATGAATTATTTTTTCCCATGGGGAGATCCCAATGGAGGGTGTATAAGGTCCTTTAGTCTTGCCTGAACCGGGGATCGAATCCGGGACCTATTGCGTAAGAGGTACCTGCGCTACCGCTGAGCTACACGGGTGGTCCATCCAGTTAGTCTCCAATGTAAAAGTATAAATGATAAAAGAGAACCCAATCAATCATTTTCAGGTCCGCAGCCAGGGGAGGGGGTTCGGTGGACCCGACTTGGCCAAAATTCTTTCAAAATCATGCAGTTTTTCACCATTCTGAGCATTTTTTAAATGATTTTGGGCCAAAGTTGTCAACAGTGAACCTCCCTGGAATTTTCTAAAAATAATTGGCAAATCCTGGCTTCGGGCCTGATGTGTAAGTTACTTTTAAAACATTTCTGAAATTATCTACCACCTTTATATATTCGACCACCTTTTTAATAGTTTTGGTAAACTGATTTTATTTGTGTACTATTCTTTGTCACTCAAGTATTCAAGTATAGATTCAAGTGAGGTCTGCCATGGATGTTTGCAATTGGCAGCAAATATGAAAGATATCTTGTTGCATTCTCTACACTGAAACTTTTTAAATAATATATTCCATATAAAATCCATGTAAGAGTTGAACTTAATAATATTTTATGTTCCATATATTTCATACATTGTTATTTAAATGTTTTGTGTTCTCTTACCCTGCATACGAAACAAATAATTACAATATTGTTGCATTACGTTTTGAAACATTTATTTCGTTCTTTAACAATTTAAGATGCTATTTAACACATTTAATTTCACATGTCTGTACAGTTTTTATAGTTTGACCAGATAACCATGCCGAAAACTTTAAGGTATATGTTCCGATCCTTGAGCATATGAATTTAACTGTATACGGTGAGTCTTCGGAGGCTGTTCCAAGTCTGGTAGTTGTTGCTCTTGGTACGTTGGCCACTTTGGTTGAATCTAAACCCGTACCTGGGCCTCCAATCCTGTAATTATAAAATGTTATTACACTATTGTTAGACTTTTACAATTTAATTACTTAGAGTGTGTGTGTTATAGGTAGGCAAGGTTTCAAGGAACCTACGTCGGCATGTACATTACTCACTATTTTAAGTTCGTGGATAGAAACTTAGGTATTTCACGAACAAAATAAAAAATCTAAAATCAAAGTTAAATCATGCAGGGAATTATGAAGGAAGATACTTACAAGATATGATATATGACATCCAAAGCTTGTGTTGTGCTTGGATTTACACATGCAAGCTTAAATGACACCCCTATGAAAGCATCTTGGCCTAATTTCACAGTTGTCTTTTTACCATTTTTATCTCCACATTTTGTCAACTTAGCATCGAATTCACAAACGAATTGATCAGCTATAACACACAATATATTTTACTACCATTTCCAAATACCCTTTTGAAAAGTTCCAATTTCGCTTCTTAAAAGTACTTGTAGTAATTACTACGAATCCCTAGATTTCAGCGTAAATATCAAGTTATTTGGTATTTTGCATCGATAGTGTCTGGATTGCGTCATTCACATTAAGTATTCACATTAAGATGTTTAAGAAGAAGTTTATTTTTTGAAACAAAGTGTGGGTCTACGAGGTGCCTAAAATTGAAAGTAAGAATATTCGATAAATATCACCTTTTACACAACTTGGTGTGCTATCACCACTCCATATTCCTTCTTTGCTACACGTCCTTAGCTTGGTGCCAACGAGAGTATATCCTGTTTTGCACGCATACGTAGCCCTTGTTCCTGGTTTGCTTGATCCTGTTGTTGTTGTGATGGGAGTAATAGATCCATGTTCTGGGGACTTAAGTTGCGGGCACCTAAATGCTAAGATAATTATACTGAACCTAAACAATCATGAACATTAGGCTACATGACGACGCATGTGATAGAACATTTTGAAAGAGAGCGTGTACGAATATTCTTAAATCAACAAAAAATGCATTCAGTGTTTTACAATGATATCCAAACACGCTTTCTCCCGACATACATAAAGGTTTATATTTATAAATTAAAATTGCAATTGGAAGAATATCGTACTCAGCAAGATTCATTTCATCAAACAATATTTCTAACAACATGAATATCATTTTCCAACTTAATGGTCTTATTCTTACATGAGGACTGAGCAAATTCTAAATGATCATCATGATTAGCATTGCTAGAATTAACACAAACAAAATGTTTGACGAATGTACATTGCAGTCTACTTACCACATCCAACATCTTCATCACAGGTGTTCCCAGTCTTCTTTTTAACACATATGTTCACATCTTTATGGTCTGAAACTGCAGTTCATTGGAAATGTTATTATTTTTTCACTCCAGCGAGCAGCTTGAGAAATGAGAAGATTTGACTTTCTTATTAGTGACAGAACGTTATTTGCATTTTTAACAAACTTAAATGTGGTAATCTGGGTGATTGAACACCTGCTCCTTTTTAATTTTTATTTACAGCACATTACAGAAAACCAAGTGATTTGTTGCGGCTATTGTCAATGTTAAAAAATATAAAATGTATACTCCTCCGACATTCATAAACTGAAGAAACATTCCACTCACACGACATTCACTTACCCCCCTATCACACCAAACTAGTTCTTACCCGTTCTTGCCAGTGCTACGAAAACGTCGTCAAACGGGCTCAGTCTGGCTGTGGTCGGGAAATATGTCTGAAATAATTAGCTTCTTCGTTCTTAAACAGTCTTCAATACGTCCATCTCGTTCGCAGTTCGTTCAGGTCGCACCACGTCGGAGTGCAACGTCGTAGAACGCGTCCCTTAGTCTAGAAGGTCAACATGACCTGATTACAGAACGGTATGGTCGTCATCGAATTATGAATCGATTCAAAATTCTAAAATCACATTCCCGTCTGAGAACGTTCATAAAGTTCGTAAATAGACCTTAGAAAGTTGCAGCTACGTGCATTCCGTTCGCACACAGTTTAAAAACAGTTTTGAAGAACGCAGTGGCAACTTGTTTGGTGTGATAGCTATATTTTTGCTAACTCGTTCATAAGCAGTGTTAAATACGTTCTTAATCAGTTTAAACCCGTTTGCAATTAGTTCTACCTCGTTCTCAACACGTCCGCAGACAGTTCAACTCGTTGTTAAAACGTCCCTAGTAGGATTGAAGTACGACGGTTCCGTTCGTAGTACGTCCAGCTCGTCGTTAGTACGTTGTCACTCGTTCTAATTGTAGAACGTGACGACCACGAGAACATTTTGAGCATTGTCTAAGTTCTAGAGGACCTACCCGTTCGAGTACGTTCGATGAAGTTTGTACATAGATCCCAAACGGTTTTTAGTAGGTCCAGTCCGTTCGAATACAGTTGAAGCCCGTTTTCGAGAACGCAGTGAGAACTAGTTTGGTGTGATAATAGGGTTAGTGTCAAACCACACTCTCACACAGTCATCAACTATTTTTTTTTAAATAATACCTTCTGTTAAGTATGTTTGAAATCCTGCACAGGTCAGTGGCATGTTGGAAAAGTAAGTTCTGCGTACATAGAATTTCAATATCAAAAGCATAAGAAAAAAATGTTGTCTTTCAAAATAACCCCAATGGCGTGTTTTTCATTTACCTGTAACTCCTTCTGGCTCCATAACTCTCCGTAATATTTGATTACCTGCTCCTACTGGATCACAAAAGAGTTTAGACCCAGCACATAATTTTTCATTTTCGCAATTTACTTTTTTAGGCCCACTCAGCTCAAAGCATGTATCACATTTGTATCTTGCGAAACATGCCTTTTTCGAACATGCTACATCCACCTTGCCATTCTTTGGGTTTGATGGTACGTGGTCTTTCGTGACTGAAACAAACAATCATGAAGTTACAATATAAATATATTTTATAGAGGCTAAGCTGTGCACGTTTTTGAGAGAGCTTGTAGATGAACGCGAAATTCTACGACGTCTAGGGTTTACTGCCCCCACTCAATTGTTTTTCCAGGGACATACCAGTAATTACAAGTTTTTCGTATACCTTTATACTCAGCCGGGCAAGTATATGACAAAGGGGAGAAATAACCACAAGTGGACAATAATTCTACAAGCAAGTCGATGACCTCTCTATTAATATTCCATAGTACGACTTCACAGATAACGATTTGTAAAATAACGATCGTAGATGCCAGGAGATTATAGTCGCAAAGCAAACTGTCTTTGAGAGATGAAAATGGACGAATATCATTAGACGATAGAACTAGGGCCTACCCCCGAATACCACATAGTTACAATGTTTGTCCCCGTCATGCATATTCATGAACAACACAACATTGGGAAAACGTATTAAGGGGTAAGTCTCATCATGATACACCATGACATCTCATTTCTTCTCAGCCCTGATGTTTCAGGTGAAACAGAAAGATGCTATGAGTATCAGAATGGGTAAGTCTAAATTAAATTGTAAGTCTATTCAGTTGCTGAAAATGTATGGGTTTATCTGTTACATGTAAAGGTGATACCTGGTCTTGGTGTGGTTGTCGTCGTAGTAGTTATGGGTATTTTCGGTAAAAGACGATTGACTTTATCAGCGAACTGCTTCATGTAGTTACCGGGTAACGAGTATTGACAACAAACGGTATAAGAGTACCACCTTCCGTGTTTTCCTTCAGCTATACCACAACCAAGAAATTCAGTGGTTTCCCATATTAGCTGTAAATTAAAAGAATCTCCTTGACTTTTTGTAACTTGTTACTTGGCCTTATTGCAGAACGGGACGACCAACAGAAAATGATGATCTATATATTCATTTGAACGGCATACTTTTAAGGCATTTGTGAAAAAAGAAGAGAGCGATAAAGATATACAAAAATAACTGAGTATCGTTCACCATGTTTTTAATCCAAGATCGATGGTTGCAGGTTAAACTACTATATTTCCACGATGCCCGTGTCAAACAGCGTGCCTTCTAGGCACGCAGTTTGAAACTCTGACAAACTGCGCGCATATTTCAAAATGGAAGACGGGGAGGACATGACTCCCAAAAAGAGCCAAAATACGAAAAATACAAGGTTAGTCTCGTTCTAAAGATAGTACCATTCTGTGAAGATGGACTTAATTTACTCATAGTACTCAATGTTGTTCCCGATGTAAAACTAGTTATCTCAATATAAGGGTCTTAAGTAACTTATGTGTTCAAAATTTACAGTGTAAAGTTATATCTATGTCTTTTTATCGTCATTTGCCGTTTATTCAGCCATTGTGTCTGTGTATGCTAGAATATATAGGATCACCCCATCTGATTAAAGCAGCATAGTTTGTGTTCAAAACGATAATACGCCATAAACGTGATTTAAACGTTTTTCTTGTCAAACTGCGCGCCTATATTCACATGTATTTCCCAAACTGCGTGCCTAATATTTCCAAACTGCTTGCCTATCCAAGCTTGTTTTGTATTATAAGAAAACGTAAGCGCCATATGTAAGGCACATATGTGTCTAATAGTAGAACCCCATAATAGATAAACCCCATAGTAGAAACACTATGAGAGTCCATCCACCAAGATGGTGATCTGAAAATAAAAGTTTTTTTCGTTCCCAACTTAATTGTCACTTCTATTATACATTTTGACTTTCAATATGAAAATCTCATAAAATCTGACGATAAACCAAAATTTCCAAAGCTACATGAAAAAAACCTACACGTGCCTCTGTTGAAATTCCAATGATAATATGTAGTTTTAATAGTGTATGCGCACAGTTTGTAATTTTCTGGCTAAAATAGGCGCGCAGTTTGTGCTTTATTTTTTTTTAATCTCCTGATTATCTGTTTTATCTCGAAATATTTTGAATTATACATGATAAATGCGTAAGGAATTAAATATAAAACGAGTCTAAAGTATTTGTCATTTATGTTTAAAATGCTAGATCGATTTACGTATAAATTCCCGTTAAATCAGTGACGAAAATGCCATCAATCTGCTTATGTTTTAAAACTTAGATTTATTTGCACATAGTTTTTGCTAGTATTTGCAAGATTCGTATATTCGCCACAGAATGAACGCATTGAACAAGAAAACAATGCAGGATAAATGTCTTTAAATAATGTTTCAAAATACAGACTCCAACTTAAATGATGCAATGTTGTTAGGCACGCAGTTTGTGATCGAAACAAACTGCGCGCCTAAGTAGGCGCGCAGCTTGACATGGGCACCGTGATTTCTAAACAATAAACTCCTTTGATAGATGCCTCCCAAATATAATATACAAGCATACTGCTTGATATTCATGTATTTGTAGATGACCTTGACAGGTCGCGATGAGAAATTGGCAACCGTGTTAGATCCTCATTGTTCACACTTTAAAGATTTAAAGGGTTGATCTGCATGTGTATTGGGAGGAATGAAATTCGTATTTTTTGGATACATAACTGCACAACCATAATTTCAAAAAATCATACTCATTAGTTTGGTTGGAAATAAAAATCTAGATTTTGAAACATTTTTGACAAGTTTGACTTTTGAAGAAGAGTTAATGTTTTTTAAATATCTTGAATATTTGAATTTCCTGTTTTTAGATGTTTAGGTTCTATGGGTTTTCTATGCGGAAAATGTCGAAACATGATCCTCACTTGATATCCTTTGCAAAAATCACCTCATATTTACCTGTGAGTCTATTCTATTCACAGATCTTACCTCTACAGCGCAACCATTACTATCTGGCAGATTTCGCGTTCAGTGAATTTCCCGCTATTGTCACGTTGATGCTTTACACCTCTGTTAACAATCTAGACAGGAGTACTGATGTAGGTATATTGGTATAAAACGTGTATACTTACTTGTGTGAAGTGGCCGGTCGCGCTGCTGAAGCCAGGTTCATTGTAATTGTAATCCTCTATCTCATCATACCTATTCACGTAAATTTTACGCACAAAAATTATTGAGAACAAACATTAGGTTAGTATACGTATATATTACCTAGGACAATGTTTGAATTAATGAAACAACACAACTGAAATGGAAATATGCGAGATGGTGTTCTCAAAAAACATGTGTCATGGTCGAAAAATTTCAGTTTGAACTGAGTCTCATTATTTAAATTTTACTAATCATGAAAGTGAGAATTCAGTATTTGGGTTTACAAATCAAAATCGTATTTTAATAGTTGAAGATTGAGAAAATATGGCCTCTAAAATATCTATTTTTGTATCTAACTTTATATTCAAACAATACAAATACAACACATATTAGTGTTTATATGTACCCTAGCTAGACTAAATGTAATAAAATATTTAATCATACATGTTTTGTCATTTAATTGATAAATCACATTAAGTTGTTCATGTAGTATCTAATTTGTTTAGGGTTGGCTTATGTCCAATGAGTAAGTTGCTTGAAACAAGGCTTACCAAGATTGCGCCGCTTTGTTTCCCATTTCGTTCATTCCACTCCTTTGCGAATAGCTAGACCGAGATCTCCAAAGATTCTCGCCAGCTAGAGGTTTCTGACGCTTTGAAGATGGTGAATGGGCGAACCTTAAAAAGGAACAATGCGGACTTGAGAAAACGGCCCTTTTTGGACTTTGAGAAGGTTCCCAAATTCTTTGAGAGTGAATGTCGCTGGTTGCACTTATCTATGCGGGGATCCAAAACTATTATGTCTAGCTTATTTCTAATATCTTTAGTGCGCCCCTTGTATATGTGTTGATGATTTGTTAGGGCGTTGAAGTTTGTTTCTAAGTAACAAATGCAAATGCTTTTCAATATTACCTTTTTGTTACTGCAATCCAAATACACATTTTCTTAAAGGCCCCATATGAAGTTTGTGAATATATTTTTCATTCATTTATTATTTTTCATGACTATAAAAGTTATAGAGATTTATGAAATAAAATTCTTTGGGAAAAAAGTTGTCAGCTTTTAATTTTTCAAATGTTTTTTTAATTTCCCGCTATTTTTCAAATAAAAGTTGAAATTTTTAATCATCAAATATTCCACTATCTACATCATCTTTTAAACACCATTGCAAAGATTGAACAAAGGACATATTATTTTAATAATAAAATGTCATATTGAATGTGTCACTTGAATGTTTTAGCATATTAAACAATTGTTGCACCCTAAATGACACCACCGTGATGTCATTTAGGATGCAGACATTATTTGAGAAAATTCAAATTTTTCTTCTATGTCAATTTTTTTCTAAGTATGTTAATCTTCAATTTAATGTTGATTGTCTAGGTTGAAAAGAAGAATATATCCGGTTTCAAATATTGCAAGTACCATTGATTTCAATTATCTTAATTTTTTCGACAAAAGTTACGTGAGGATGATTGATATGCATTGGTGTGAATTAATACTTATTAAAAGATAAGAATGAGGTCTTAAGTTTTTTATAACTTCACGATTTTTCGAACAAAAAGTCCTTTGATAATTAAAAAAATCCACATGTCACATTTTGATAACATTGAGCGAGACTACAACAAGAGCCATAGTTAAAACTTTATTGGGGTCTTTGATTTGGACGTTATCACGAATTTTCTCAAAAACGTCTTTGATGACAGGCATTTTAATGGAAAATGTAACTTACGCGCCGGTACGCTCCAGTGTTTTGCAGTAAATCAGGGCACGCGTTGCCATTGCCTTATGCCATTTCAAAGGAGGTGTATTTTCATGACAAGCTCTCAGTTCATTGTGTCTTCTGAGGATGTTCTTCTCAAATACAGTTGTTTGAGAATACCCAAATCCAATTTGTTCCAGAATCAAAATAGAGAAAAAATACAGAAGTAATATCCCCTTCATAATTTTTACTTGTTATTAGTCAGCATATGATTAACGATGTTATTGAGTTTTTAGACTGATCAGTCATACTTGCTTGCGTGAGCTGATTTTATGTTCAGATTTGTTGACACATTCCTTTAACAAGTATAGTAGAAGTAATCAGTCATGTCTAATTCAAATTTTACCTTTTGCGCTTTCTGCTTATGAAACATCGTATCTGTATACATAAACAGGTTGATCAATAAATCATGACAATAAGCTTCCATATCACAAGCCCATTAGAGAACTTGCGGTATAGAAGGGTAGATAGGCAATATAGTTTTGGTCGGGAATACATATACTATGGTGAAATTGACAAAAGTTACTTTTTTTATAACGTCCCGAATAATCTGTTTATGTGTTTCCAGGCGATCTATTTGACGGATTGATTATAAATTTTCGGGATGTTTCTTTGTACGAAATGTGTATTCTGGGTAAATGTTAAAGCAGCTTTTTTAGATATTCCGTCAGAAAATCTTATCTTGTCAATGAATTTTGTTTGCTCTTGTAAACTAACTGAATTCAAAGCATGGTTCAAATTGTTGAAGCCATATTGCATTCCATCAGATGTATAGGATATGTATGTTCTATCAAGGTCAGGATTAGAAAATGTGAAGTTAATTCCAATGAGCGAGTAAACGTTTCTAATCAGCACGCTACTTTTGTAAAAGTCACGCTATGGTGATCAATGGCATGTACTTGTCATGTCCATCTTGTGCTTGTCAATAAAAGAAGCGAGAAGATCGTAATGATGTCATGCCAAATTGTTGAATGTCATTCTTATAATAGCATGACTTGGAATCGGAAGATTTGACAGTTATGGCGGATCAAGCTATTTCTATCGCACCCTTGGGTGCTATATTGTAATCAATTTACCGGGCGAACGGATGGGATGTCGAGCGTTCCACTAATTTTGTGTTTCCAGGCAAACCGTTAAACAGATTTATTTATTAATGGATTCATGGTCATTCTTTTGCATTTTGGGTGGATGTTAAGGCGGCCATTTTGGATTTTGGAGCTGGCAACAAAATTTTAAATCATATGAAATCATATACAAGTATAATTAGACTTTGGCGTTAAAAATGAAATGAAATCAATTTAATTATCCCAAGTAGGTGAATCATGTAACTATGTTTTATAAGGCCTAATTAATTACAAAATACTCACAACAGGCGGTAATACATACTTCAAATAAAATAAATTAATTATCCTGGATCTTGGCCACGTATGTATTTCCTTAACCTATATGTGATGACTACTGTTGATATAAACCGTATCAAAAACGGAAATAATTAGTTCTTTGATACTTTTACCTCAAAGAACAGAATTCCTTTACTCCAAGTTACTCAAGTCCGACCAACAGACACACAACCAGTTAATACTGGAGAACATATTGACGAGGAAGCATTCTTGAAGCATCACATGGAAATATATCTATATCACTGTGTTGAAACCATTGCTAATATTGTATATTCGCTACATAAGATTGTGTATCCGAACGTCTTTTGTCGTCGTTTCAAACTAAAAACAAAAACAGTCGTACGTCCTGTGACAGTATGTAGCTTTGAACGCACACCCCGGACTAACAACTTTCTTTATTCAGATCTTTCATAAAGAAAAATTGAACGTACAAAACGGATCATTGACGTGAAAATGAACAAGTTTGTTTTTATTATCTTAATCGTCTCAGTACTCTACGCTCGTGGAAAAGAGGATTTGCTAAACATAAAGGTTGGGTTGTTACTACCAAGGACAGGCTCTCTGGACTATCTAGGATGGGAAACGAACGCTGCAGCAACAACCATGGCAATTGAGAAGGCTCGCATAGACGGCATCTATGATCCAGAACGTGTTAATGTTTCGTAAGTTTTTCACTTCGAATCTATTATGATGAATTATGATGATGAACTTGAATATTCAAATTGTGTTTAAAAAATTACAAGCCCATAAAGTATATATAAAGGTAAACTTACATTATGATATAAAAAAGATTACTGATACAAATACTTAGCAGAACCTAGGGTATAAAACGAAAAATAGCCAAGATTTTGACTTCATTGACACTGAAAGTAGACCCCAAAATTAATGATACAGAAACAAACCTTCGAGAGATTATTATTCAGAGTAGCTTGGCGAGATACAAAGTGCTGGGAAAGACATGGAATTGGGGCAGCTGTTGAACTGTTCAGATACGAAAATGTATCTGCTTTCGTTGGTCCTGCGTGTTCTGAAGGTATATTGAATGGGTTGGGGAACGGGTCTCCTCTGCTTGCCATCATGTTAAGGGAGAAACGAATGCTACAGATGAGGTGGCATCCATTCTGCTTGTCTCGTTGGATTCAATATGATCTGACTGTTAGTTTTGCCAATAAGAGGAGACCCCTGTGTCTGTATCTGTGTTTCCTGATGATATGACATTATCATCAAGATTATATTCAGTCGATGTATCTATTAAAATTGACTTTCAGTATAGACTTCAGGGATACCAAGTGTTGGGAGAGGCATGGTATAGGTGCTGCAGTCACCCTCTACAGGGAAGCCAATGTTGACGCGTTTATAGGCCCCGCGTGTTCCGAAGGTATCCATGATGTTGCAATCATTGCTTCATACAAGACAAAGTTCACTTAAAACATGATTCACATTCTAGGTCGCAAAATACAACATAGTAGTATTAGTATTCACAAATTGGCCCTGCTATATGATCGAATTGCTGAAATTCGTTCTTCTTGTATACGTGATCTTTTATGCTCTGAAAATCAGCCTTTTCGGTCGGTCTTTAAACAAATTTCAACATACCCGATACGTGAAATGAATACATACGTACAAAGAAGGTTAAGTGCTTGTATTTTGCGAACCAGTCTGAGTCATGTTATTTTTATTCTCAAAAAATCTTACAATATACTTGTTAAATTTACAGAATTCAATACGTAGATACGCGCTGTAACGAGAGGGAGGGAATAGGAAAAGCGGTTGAACTTTACCGACACGACAACATTGATGCGTTTATCGGGCCCGCTTGCTCATCTCGTGGGTAACCTCTTGTCTCCCAACCACTGAGTGATATATTGTATAACACGTAGTCTAATCAAACAAAATAACTAATGAATATGTATATACAACGAAATATTCTGTAACTAATATGTAACTCAATAATTTCAATGATGTTTAAAAGTAATTTTAACTGAAATTATTTCGTTTTAATCAGCAATCTATTGTATATAATATATATGTATATATAACAAGGCATGGGTAAAACAATACATTACCAATTTAGAAGTTTTAGAAATGTGAGATTTTTTGAGTGCATCCAATAGTTGTACGGGAAAAATGAGTAACATTTTATCGAATTAGTTAGTATGACACAGAGGAACTTCACCTCTACCTATAATTCATAAAAATACATTTGCACCAGAAAAAACTTTAAACATTTAATTAAATTTGAATAAATATAAATAAATTAATATAAAGGATTTTAAATTGCGTATCTTAAGCTGCCGTTCCAGTGGGTCATTTAGCCTCATTTTGGAACATCCCAATGTTTGGACATGCCTCAACGGATCCGGTATTATCCAACAAAAGACTCTTCACAACTCTTCTCCGCCTGCTTCCACCCTACAACAAAATGGGATCAGCGTTCGTTGAAATCTTTAAGTTTTATGGATGGAGACGGTGTGTGATGCTAACAACACGCCTGGCGTCCTTGATGAGTGAAGCGTCAAGATCTGTTTTACAAAAGTTTCGGGAGTTTAACATCACACTGGCAGATTTCATTGAAGTTAATAGTAATCTTGATGACAGCGATATTGATGATTATTTGAGAAGATTTCAACATCGGGGAAGAAGTAAGTCGGCTTTTTCTTCAGTTGATCATTTTAACATGGCCATTTTCAATTGTGTGGGTAAGCTATATAGTTGAAATCAAAATGAATTTCAAGTACTTGTTTTGATAACATTCTAGCAGTATTCTCTAAAGCAAATGAAGGAATTACTCTTCTTGGTCTTGCCAACTCCACTTACGACCATTTACTCACATCCTGATACATAGCGTTCTTATTTTCGCAGTTATCGTATTGCTGTTAACTACAAATGATATCAGACGAGTCATGGTCCGCGCAAGACATATGGGACTGACGAACGGAGATTATGTCTTCTTGACTACACTTTATATTCTGCCAACTGACGAGGTCTTGCGTCCATGGGTAGCTAACAATACCGGCGATTTTGGAGCCAAAGATGCATTTCAATCTCTATTACACGTGAGACACAAAATTTATTTTTCTTCTTTTTACGTGTTCTTATAACTCATTAAATTCAGGTGTGATTACATTTTGTGTCTTACTTATCAAATGATGATGATATTTCTAGGTCACTGTTGCATCTGTGAAAACACCAAAATCAGATGCGTTCCGTGAACAAATGGCGACTGAAATGCGCAAACCTCCTTGGAACTGGAACACTAACATTTTCGGCGGGGACATCAAGGTTTATAATTCAACAATCTTTTGCTAATTATAACTCAGGATCACAAATTTTTGATAAAAGTCCTTCACATGTTACGTCCGATTTTTAACAATGTTTGAGAAAATCCCTTCACACTTAACCTCTGATTCTTAACAATGTTTGAGAAAATTCCTCCACGTGTAACCTCCGATTCTTTACAATGTTTGAGAAAGTTCCTCAAGATTTAACCTTCAATCCTTTACAATGTTTGATTAAAGTCGTCCACATTAAACATCCGATTCTGTATTTAATGTTTGATACAAGTCCTCCACAATCCACATGTAACCTCCGACTCATTGCAATATTTGATAAAAGTCTTCCACATGTAACCTCCGATTCTTAACAATGTTTGATAAATGCCCTCCACATGTAACCTCCGATTCTTTACGATGTTTGATAAAAGGCCAGATGTATATATTTAAAATGTTTAGCATTACTTTTAGAATATAGTCGTCTGTCAAGCATATGTTCCCGTTGGGTGGGGAAGTAAAAATGGCCACTACGAATTTTTTTATATTTTTATTCTTGCAGAATAAAGTACATTCTTGTACATTAAATTATAATGACTGTCACCCTGTTGAAACAAAGAACCTGCCTTGATAACACTTTTCAAACCCCATTCACAATATAATTAAAATGATACATTGACATTGCAGCTATTCAATACACATTTGAAAATGTGTACATGTATATTTACCCACTCTGTAGTTCCCTTTATATTTAAAACGGGTGTAGGCTTTAACATAAAAACTAGTGCAAGGTAGAATCAATATGCGTTTTAAATACTATATTTATGCTTGGAATTGCTGCAGGAGGTATATATAACTATTTTGTAAATAGAAGTAAAGAAATATTTATATTTATTAAAATATATTAAAGTTATTTCTAACCTTTTAATTTAGTTTTCTTTTCAAAAGACTTCTGTAAAGTAGAGTTACTGGAGTATTCGTCACATGTGCGCATGTGTCGTTTCCTTTGAATGTTCCGACCATTCTTTACAATGTTTGATAAAAGTCCACCACATGTAATCTCCGTTCTTTACAATGTTTGATAAAATCCCTCCATATGTAATCTCCGTTTCTTTGCAATGTTTGATAGAAGTCCTTCGCGTGTAACCTTCGATCCCTCCATATGTAACCTCCATGTCTTTACAATGTTTGATAAAAGTCATCCACGTGTTACCTCCGACTTTCTTTGTTTGATAAAAGCTTTCCATGTGTAACTTCCGATCCGTTACAATGTTTGATAAAAGCTAAGGCCTCCACATGTAACCTCCGATTATATTATTAATGACAACTATATTTTGTTATATCCGTGGCCAAGAGGATACTTGAGTTCAAATACAATGCAAAATATTCCACAGTAGTAAACTGGCGTGAAATATCGAGGTGCTATGGCAAGGATAGTATTTTATTACTGAATTCCACAAGTAACCTATATTTTAGGGTTCGATGTTTTCCCTGTTTCTCCACGATGCTGTCTATCTCTATCTTCTCGCCTTGAACGCTACGATTTCAAACGGTTTAGACTATAAAAATGGATCCATGATATTCGCCATGGCAAAAGAAATGGAATTTGACGGTATTTATAATTTACTCTATTTGCAATCTTCATTTACTCAACTAAACAATGGTTCCTTAACCTTTGTTCATTGTTTAGGCTGTTGGGGCTTGTTTTCTTACAACTGGCTGTGCTTTTCAATAATTCTTTACGGCCCAAATTATATTTCCTTAAGATGTAATTGTTTGTTTTTCACATTTGTATTTACACATTTTCACAATACAATGAAGAAATCATGCATAATCCTAATTTCCCATGTCAACGGGTCCAATATAATATAAAAAATGAAATGAAACAATACCAGGACGGAATGAGGGTCACTATAAAATGATAGCATCAAATCAAATTGAATTAAATTTCCCAGGAATGAGTGGTAGGGTAGTGCTTGATGATCAGGGAGAGAGGGAACCTGACTTCTGGATCTGGCAACTTCCCCCAGGGAAAGATGAGTTCGAATACATGGCAGAAGTGAAAAACACTGGAAAAGAAGGCCAGGTTAGAAATTTGACATTTTAATATTTAATATTTTGGGTAAATCAGGATGATCATCTGCCATGCCATGTGTCCCTTGATCTGGGAATATTGATCCATTGCGCCCATAAATGTCAGAATGTGTCAGATTTGTAAATTAATGCGCCGTGTAAAATGAAAACCCCAGGATGAACTCACATTATGATGATAATGGTGATATGCAAATGTCATTCAGATGTATGTATATGTAAACTTCCAACATTTCCATAAGAATATAGTCTCCTGCCGAGTATGTGATCCTATATGATGGGTCAATTGTTAAATAATTATTAAATAATTGACCCAAATAATTTTTACTTTCTTGTACATATCAAAAATGTCAATCTCGTGAAACAAATTAAGAACATGTCTTGATAACATTTACTTTTGTGTCCAAACGCTTAATATTTAAACCCCATACAATATATGATTATAATGATAAATCGACCTTAACTGAAGCTTTCTTATTTTTATTTTCAAATCTGAATTTTACTGCCGTTTCCTTTAAACGTGTGTAGCCTATTACAGAAAACTGATGGAAGATAGGATTAATCAATATACATTTTAGATACTATATCCACACGCAGCGATGCAAGGTGTGTCCAATTTCAACCAATCAGAACACGCTACTTCATATAACTGCATTGCATTATATAGCTAACAACCCACCCAAGGTCATTTATAGATTCTAGTGAAACTAATGAAACTGATAAGCTGATCAATTTCATAGTCGAGTAAAAATATAATACAGTATCATATCATGTTTATTATAATAGGGAATAACCTGCAAAGTGCTTGTGCAGGTCAAATGGTAAGTATTAAATGGTTGTCAAGGTGACAAGTTGTCTCGTACAAAATATATATTTGAAAATATATTCCTTTTAGTCATTTCGTATCTTTTAAGTGATGTTGTAAGGAACATTTTGCGATGTGTGAAAAGAATTTAAGCCCAAGACGCATTGCATTGTGGCTTATTCATTCCATTCATTCAGGCGTTATTTCCTAAACACCTTAGAGGAATGATTATAATCAGTCTACAATGCACTGAATCTAGGGTTTAAATTCTCAATTTATTTTTGGAATTGCTGCAGGAGGTATATATAATTATTTTGTAAATAGAAGTAGATAATTCCTTAAATTCATTAAAATATAAAAATGTTAAAGTTTATTTCAAACCTTTGATTTAGTCCTCTTCAAAGGGTTCGTGTCTCTTAGAATTGCATTAGTCACATGTGCGCATGCGTGTTTTCCTTCAAATGTTCCAGCGAGTCCATGTTCTGAACAAGCCCTATTGGCAAACGAAGGATGGTAGTGTTCCGCTAGACACCCCAGCGTGTGGGTTTTTTAATGAAAAATGTCTGGAAGAGGAACAAAACAGAGGTAATTTATTTACATGTAAAATGTGTATATTGATTAATTCACATAGCGTTAGAGTTACTGCTTAAATAATCCTTTAGCTCATCAAGGAACACTTATATTATCCCTATTAGTGTTTTGTTCTAGTCATCTTGGAATAGATACTCGTTCTTTGCTTCAGGGCTTGATATTGCCATTATTATGATAGTTGGTGGAGCTGCCGTGTTGTGTATGATGTTGACAGGGGGATATCTACTATACAGGTACTTTGCATTGGGAAATTATTGTCGATTTAAGTGGGATTTTACATGACTGTTATATATTTAAGTCTCTATACTTAAATATTTGTATTTGTTTGTATACTAAACAATAATAATTATTATTCTATTCAGACGGAGGAGAAATGAGGGTGAAGACGAGATGATGTCATGGAAGATCGAGTATGAAGATTTGAAGTTCAATGTAAAAGTAAAGAAAGGAATCGGAAGTACTGCTACCAAATCAACCGGAAGTCAGGTGTGCAATTTAAATTGTTAGAACGCTGTAATCTAATCTTATCAGTAATGTGCAAATTCAACAGATTTAGTTGAGAAACATGTCAAGATACAAACTATGATTGTTAATCTAAAATAGTGTGTATATGTGTTTCAAAAACATTCATTTCACTTTTTGACAATTACACTGTAGATGTCTAAAAGCAATCTAGACAATCGTTCCAAGAGTAATAACAGCTCTTCGCACGTCGATCAGTCCAGTCAGGAAGGCGTGACGAGCCAGGAGAGGCAAGATAGAACTGTTGGAATGTATAAAACAGTGACTGTATGGGTGAAATACATCCACGCTGGAATACTTCTCACCAAAGAAGACCACAAGGAACTCAAAGTGGTAACTGCGGTTATGATTATTAACTAAATAGTAACGTTAGCAACTGAATGAATAATGAAACACCACTGAGTAAAAATTACGTAAAAGTCATGATACATAAAAGCAAAAGTAGTAAAAGTATTGAACATTTACACTATTTATATAATTTTTGTGTTTTTAGATGAAAGACTTGAGTCATGAGAATGTTAACCAGTTTGTCGGAGTTTGTATCGTTCCACCAAAAGTTTGCATTTGCTTCGCATTTGCCGCTAAGAGAAGTCTGCAGGTGAAACTATGAATATAATTTATATAAGTCTATATGTACATCCCATAAATGGCTGACCATTATACACAAGCGTTATATTGTGCACATTTTTAAAAAAGCATGTGAATGTATTCTATGTAACTAATGAATGGTTGACATTGTAGGACATCATTTCTAATGAGGACATCAAACTGGATTGGATGTTTAAACAGTCACTAATCTCAGACATCGTCAATGTATGTATTTATGTTCCTCTTAAAACCAATGTGCACGATGTTAACAAAGTAACTATAGAATCCTTCCAAGTCATCCTCCGAACGCAGGGTTCCAGACATCATCCACTAAGTTCCTTCCTTCTTCTAGAAGAAGGAGGTATGACTTCTGGAGGCCTGTGTTTGGAGGATGTTCGAAGTAAGTGTTTCAATTCTTTTGGACAAAAGCAGTGCAAAGGCTAATTACATAATGATGATTTAAAAGAAACAATTCATATCGGTAGTTCTTACGTGAGCAATTTCAGTAAAATAAAATATCATCAAAATTATTTTAATTTCAAAGGGTATGGAGTATATCCATGGCTCATTGTTGGTCTCCAATGGTAATCTGAAGAGTAGCAATGTTGTTATTGATGGTCGTTGGATGCTCAAGATATCTGACTATGGTCTACAGTCTTTTCGGATGGCCACTGCCAGAAAGAATTCAAAGGGCGAATTCGCAGCATATTATGGTTTGTAGACTATATTGAATAATGTGCGTGCAAACAAATAATATTATTATGATATTAATATTTTAATTGGTATGCCGATCTATGAAAATATGTTTGATTACTTTGAACTAATTCTATTTTTGCTTTCAGCAAAGCTGTGGCGAGCTCCCGAGCTGCTGAGGATGGCAAACGCTCCACAAAAAGGAACTCAAAAGGGAGACATTTATAGCTTTGCCATCATTCTGCAAGAAATAATATTTCGCACTGGACCCTATCATCAGACTGAAATCCACCCAAAAGGTATTTTATTCACTATGCAGAGTTGCAGACCGCCATTATACCTATATACAGAGGGTGGGCCAAAAAAAACCAATACCCAACTTCAAATCAGGATAAAAATAGTTGCATTCAATATGATACATTGACCTACATATCATTTTAAAGGTTATACAATTTCAAATAATTTGATATATAACACTATGTCATGAAATCAATAGTACAGTTTTATTATACTTATTTGGGAGGCCGGGTTGCTATTTGGGGTCTCTAGATTTTAGGGAGAAAATAGTAAATCTGCGGGATTTTGTTAATTTTTTTTATAGAAAATTATTCTTTTGTTAGGTGAATACATGCTTGGATATTGATATTTGCATCATTGTGTGACTAAATTTATTGTTTATGAATTTCAGTGTTGTTTAATAACATTTTACACTTTATTTATTTAAACAATTTTAACAATTGCTCAATGTACCCCACCCCCTCCCCTCTGAATCAACAATAAGCTTCAAGTGGTAGCGCAATCTATCAATAGCCTTATTGAGAGATTTCTGTTGCAATTCCTTTCAGCACTTTAGGATTTTGTTTCAGCTCATCAATGCTGTTTATTGGATACTTTTAATTGTACCATTTCTTCGAGATGGCTCCATGTATGGTAATCAAACACATTAGCATCGGGGCTGTTGGGTGGCCAAGCATCGAGATCAATCAAATTGACACCTTGTTTGCAAAGAAATGCCAATGTCTCCTTTGATCTATGGTACGAGGCAATGTCTTGTAGGAAAATAAAATCCTCGTCACATATACGTTTAATTTCTTTTAACAGACCCCCTTTGAGTACTTATTGATAATAAACAACACTAAAATTCATAAACAATAAGTTAAGTCACACAATATGCAAATATACAAGCATGTATTCACCTAACAAAATGATATTCTATAAATAAAAAATTAACATTATTCCGCAGATTTACTATTTTCTCCCTAAAATCTGGATACCTTAAATACCGACCCGGCCTCCCAAATAAGCATGATAAAACTTTAATATTGATTTCATGACATAGTGTTATATACCAAATTGTTCGAAAATGGATTACCTTTAAAATGATATATAAATCAATGTAACATATTGAACATAGCTATTTTTATTCTGATTTAAAGTTGGGTATTGTTTTTTTTGGCCCACCCTGTAAATTGAAAGATTCGGATGTCTTTTTGAGTAGTTTCTACTAGTGATAGTGATCAATTTTATTTTGAACTGTTTTAGCATGTTAAGCGTGCATTGTATGTGATTTGTGCAGATATCGTAGGGAGGGTTGCTCGAGGTGATAACCCACCATATCGACCTGATGTACCTGCAACGTCCGAAGAGGGAAACACTGCGATAGCCATGATAGAACTTATGCGAAACTGCTGGCATGAAAACCCAGACTATCGCCCTTCTTTTACTGACATTAAGAAACAGATGACAAGTGAAAATCGGGGCAGGTGAGTCTAACATATACTTGATAAACTTTATTTTGTATTTAGAAATTGTTGGTCGAGTAGCAAGGGGGGATAATCCACCATATCGACCTTTGATGCCAATGGATGCAGATATTAACATCAATATGGTTGAGATGATGCGAACCTGTTGGCATGAAAATCCATTTTATCGACCAAGCTTCGTTGACATAAAGAAACAATTGAAATCATTTGATCAAGGAAAGTAAGTATAGAAAACAGTCTACATTTTAGTGTTAATGGTTTTGGTCTTTTTGGATTGACAGCGTTCGTACCTGGGTTTACCCTTGTTTTCCATTCATTCGATCTTTGTTATCGTAACATTGGGTAATTGGGTACTGTTAATCTTGATGATATGTTTCTGCACGTGTAGGAAGTATAATATCATGGACAAGATGCTGATGAAAATGGAAGCTTATGCGAATAACCTTGAAGAAGTTGTGGAGCACAGAACACAGGAACTGATGGAGGAGAAGAAGAAGACTGATACACTGTTATACAGAATGTTGCCGGGGTAAGAATCCAGAAACACCTCTCTGGCTTTCATTGTCTCGTGGTCGGACATTTCATTTCAAGTATGTGAGGCATATAATGATAAGATGGTATGGCCTCGATGTGTTTACACTCTCCCATGTATACCGTTCCGTATTAGTGAAATTGTTGACATTAATACGGAATAAATCATACCATTTCATGAAAAATGGTGACCTTGTCCTACGGAAATTGAGATTATGTTTCACAGCAAGTTCGCACGGCGATACTGTATAGCACATGCTCTGGGGAATTGATTCTACTTTCTATAGACACCAATCACATCTCTGTCAATATAATAATAAAAAAGCCTTAGGGTCCCAACCTCCTTTGTTTACATTTACAAAAATCTGAAAAAATGACAAAAGTTGCCATAACTTTTTAAATCTAAATCTGTTGAAACCGATTTCACTTGCTTGCGACAGATACTTTAGTCCTTCACGAACCGAACATGTCAGTTTGGTTCGTAATATCTACAAATAAACGATTTCAACATTTTGAAAAACTCGATGCTAGTCCACGTGTTAATACGGAATGGGTGTTAAATCGTATACATTCCCGGGGAAATCACAATTTCCACAAAGCTTGCAATGATGCATCTTATTGCATGCAAATGGCACGTTAATCAACAGCGTCAACACGTCCGTCAATCGCAAGGATCGAATGTACATAAACAGTGTTCTCTTTTTCTTAAAGGCCCCATGTAAAGTTTAAACCACTTTGGCTTATATTGTAGTCTTACCCAATGTTATCAAAGTGTGATATGTGAAACTTTTTTTTTAAATTTCAAAAAGTGGTTTTTGATAGACTTTGTGTTCCAAAATTTGTGAATTTATTTAAAACCAACTTTTAGAGGTCACTCATATCTTGTTATTAGCCACAATTCATACCAATGCATAGCATTCATCCTCCCATGTTTTTTGCAGAAAAAATTAAGAAAATCGGTTGATAAACAAGCGAGAAATGAACTTATCAGTGCATGAAAATGGTTCTGAGAAAAATGCATTTCAAAATTTTAGTTCTCATAGAAACCAATGGTACAATGATATCTAAAACATAATTTATTCTTCCTTTTAACCTGGTTAGACAATCAATATTGTTTTTTTTATGAAAGTTTAGCATATTTAGAAAAGATTGATATCGAAAAAAAAAATTCAATTTTTTTCAAAAAGTTTTTGTTACCTTAGTGACATCACTAATGTTTCAAAATATTTTTGATAAGCTAAAACATTGAAGTGGCCCATTAAATATGACATTTTATTATTGAAATAGTGTGTCTTTTGTTCAATCTTTGCATTGGTGTTAAAAAGATAATCTTTTTTGAAATGCATTAAGAAATATTTGATGATTAAGAAATTTCAACTTTTTTTGAAAAATGGCGGGAAATTTGAATATTTGAGAAATGAAATGCTCACAACTTTTTTTTCCAAAATTGTTTTTTGTTCAAAAATCTCTAAAACCACTTTTTAAGTCCTGACAAATAGTAAATGAATGATAAAAAAATATTTTCAAACTTTAGACGGGGACTTTAAGTATTTAAAGATACATGTAAGTTGTCCATCGACGGCGTCAACGTGATAGCTTTACGCCCATTAATAGTATAGATAGGTTGTTGTGCCTTTTCTTATTGCATCTAATAGGTATTAGTTTTACCGACGGCTACAACGTATGTCCTGGATCCAAGCAACGTGTTTGTTTTGTATTTAAGAATTGCTATAGCCATGGGATGGTCTCGCGTGGGGTATTTTTTGGGGTGCACAAGAAAACCCCACGAAAGTCCCGGTAGGTGTATATTATTAGGTACTTTGTGAACGTGTTGAGTTGTTTTCTTACCTGCCGATTCCCCCAACACGTTCCCATTACACCAGAGGATGATTGAAGTGTTAAAAATGGACAGCCAGCCGCATTGTCTTTGTAAAAGTGGGCAAGACCACAACAAAAGTCTTTTGATTTTTCCGACATTTTCATTCAAAAACGTGGTTGACGCCACATTTTAGAAAGACAATTAGTACTAAATGAGAATAGCTGTCCATTCCAGTCTAGTGCTGGCACTTAGATGATTTTCTTGCCAAGGTTGTGGTACATTCTTCAAACCGACATGACACTCTTACCCTCTCCATGACAATGAAGTTATAATTGAAACTAAATGCCCATGCTACTGAAACCCGTATTCAAGGTATTATGTTTAATACCCCGGGTTAAAACATACTAATATTGTACAACACTACTAATTATCTTAATTGCTTCATTTCATTCACGAGTGTACAGTTTCGTTCATTGAGTTTACCTATCGAGTCGACCAATTCCGTATTAACACGTGGACTAGCATCGAGTTTTTTAAAATGTTGAAATCGTTTATTTGGAGATATTACGAACCAAACTGACATGTTTGGTTCGTCAACGACTAAAGTATCTGTCGCTGGCAAGTGAAATCGGTTTCAATAGTTTAAGATTTAAAAAGTTATGACAACTTTTGTAATTTTTTCACGTTTTTGTAAATGTAAACAAAGGAGGTTGGGACCCTAAGGCTTTTTTATTATTCTATCGACAGCGATGTGATTGATGTCTATAGAAAGTAGAATCAATTCCCCAGAGCATGTGCTATACAGTATCGCCGTGCGAACTTGCTGTGAAACATAATCTCAATTTCCGTAGGACAAGGTCACCATTTTTCATGAAATGGTATGATTTATTCCGTATTAATGTCAACAATTTCACTAATACGGAACGGTATACATGAGAGAGTGTTTATATTTGATGCTATAACCGTTTTGTTCACACATTTGAAGTATATGAGGCATATAATGATCAGAGGGTACAGCCTCGAAGTGCTTCTATTATACTAAAATCTCTTTGTTTACACATTTTAGACCTATTGCTGAGAGTTTGAAGACTGGGAAATCTGTCCACCCAGAACTATATGATACAGTGACTGTTTTCTTCTCAGATATAGTGGGCTTTACAAGGTTATGCTCAAAAAGTACACCATTACAGATCGTCACTCTTCTTAATGACCTTTATACACTTTTCGATGATGTCATTGCCAAATATGATGTATATAAGGTACACTAATCTGAACATTTTATTTCAATGTTATGTCTGTTTTGGCATGTCTTATAAACTGCCAATCATGCAAGCATGCTTGAAATGCAAAACTACTCAATGCGGTCCATCAACTACATCAAGGATCATCGAAACCGGTGGAAGCAAAATACATTGATTAAGGGGGTGGGTATTTGAATTGTCAGTTATATGTATTGTTGTCTATGGGGTCATTTATCTAGGTGGAAACTATAGGAGATGCCTATATGTGTGTGAGTGGACTACCTCTACGAAATGGTAACAAACACGTTGCTGAAATAGCAGACATGGCCCTCGACTTGCTCAGTTCTATAGCTTCTTTCAAGATCAGGCACAGACCAAATAAACAGCTACAGGTATGAAAACTCCCGCAATTCCGGGACTACTCTGTCGGGATCAAGATAAGATTTGATCCTATGTTTCAAATTATAGTGTCTATAAGGATTTGTCATTTATTCCGTGTACTGGTAGAAGTGCATTGGACATTATAAGCCCCAAAGATACAAAATGATGCCTTTTTATTTGAGTTGGGCTGATGTTCAGAAGTTATCATTTATTATTTTAGATTTGTTTCTTTTAACGTTTTACATGATACATGGATATGGACCATATTTTCATTTTCATCCCTTTTACCATGTTTTTACAATATTCATTAAGGCTAGGATAGGGATCCACACCGGCCCATGTGCAGCAGGTGTTGTTGGGACACAGATGCCTCGGTACTGTCTATTTGGTGACACTGTCAATATGGCATCCACTATGGAATCAACAGGGGAAGGTAAAATAGGTTTAACAATAACATCTTATGAAATAGAACGCTATTTAACACATTATCTCCAGTATGGCATTATTTTTGCTTCTTTATTCATTAAATTCAAATATATTCGATATATGAAACATTCATATTCGCTAAATCATTTTTCCATTCGGTAAAAACGTTTATATGTTTGTTACAGCAAATTAAGTTTTCAAAATAGCCAATCACTTAATACTATGTGCATTAAATTACATATTTCATTCGTTAAATGATTTTTTTGCGTAAATTGTTATGGTATTCCTTAAGAGTAACACATTATATGCACAATATTGAATTTTTATTTGAACCCTACCGAAATAAGTTTGCCTATATTTACCAAATGGTTTATTTTTCTATGACATAGTTAATGCATTTTACCGAAAACTGTTTTGCTATTTACCGAAAGCTAATTTGCTATTTACCGAATGCAATAAAGTAATATTCGATAACTTGCGTTGTGGTTCGATATTTTGTCACGTGACTTCGAGATTTGCAAAATGGCCGCGCAGCTATTCTACATCGTACAAATATATCACGTGACTGAAAGTCTCGTAAATTATCGAAAAATAACGAAATTTATCGAATGTGGCATTCGGTATTTACCGAATATAAATAATTTAAATACCGAATGTACAAATAATTAATTGAATTATACGTGCGTTAAGGAAAACAAATTGATTCGCTGCATCACACAAATACATGTATACATATCAAATGTGAATGTCAATACAAAGAACAAGTGAAACTATTTAGCGAATATAAATTGTATAGATTATTACATTTGATAAAATAAAAAAACATTCGATAGATTGGGTAAAGGTTTGGTAAATTGTTTGTTTTATTTGGTATTTATGGAATATTGATGTACCGAATAAAGAAGCAGTTTAAACATCATATTCCAGTTGTGATTGTCTAGAATGTGATCAGACCCTGGGGATCAGATCCCACATGTTCCCATCGTATGCCTGGACCAATCGGTGCACATGGATATTGCCTTTCTGCACTATAAATATTCCTTTGTACTAATTTAGTGTCAAGGCTATTCCAAAGAATTCATCCTCATGCAATTTATGAGAAGAATAAATAATGTTTTAATGGTTGTAGCATTACGTATACAGATGAGCCAGGAGGCAGTAGATGTTCTCTTGGAACACACAGGCTACATGGTGAAGGAAAGAGGCGATGTGGAAGTAAGAGTAGGTGTCCTATTATGTATTTTCGAATCGTTTCCTTTTCGTTGTCTGTATCATAAATACAAAGCTTTTGATGTATCATTCATAGAGAACAATTGAAAAATATGAATTTTTATAGGATATTAATTAGTCTATTTATCATCTGCTTCATCTATGTAGGGAAAGGGAAATCTGACGACCTATTGGTTGACTGGTAAACGGGGTTTCCACAAGCCGCTCCCCAAACTCAGTGTTGACTTGTAAGTTATACACAGATCGTGATCACTTATTTGATGTACTGGCCCTTTTAGCATGTTTTTTGATATAGTCAATCACTTTATACAACAGTTATATTAAGGATGTTCAGGGGACAAACTTTGTTTTAAATAGTATTTCAACATAATATTTGGTAAGCACATGGGCTACAAATATGTAAGGGCTAGTATCAGAAAATTTCCAGAGAACATCCTTAATTTGCAATATTTGATCATATGAATATTTTGGTTATTGGAAAAAAATGAATATTTTGGTTATGTAGGCGGTTGAAATAGAACAAAAGGCCTACTTCCATTTTCAGGCCTCATATGATTGTTGAGGAAATTGATGACTTGACAGGTCAGTATCAACGAGTTGAAATCCTTCCACGTTTTTTTCTAAAAGTTTTATAAAGTGATTGTTCAACTAATGACTAAATCATATTCTGTCTTGCAATGTGGATATTTAATTTTATAAAGTCAATAAGTATTTAAGAGATATATCATTTGAAACTTGATTAAATGGAACTTACACGCTTTACAAAAGAATTTAATCTTAATTGATTTTGAATTATAAATCTTAACCCTTTCAGATCAAGTGGTGACATGAATGGACGTATGACTCAAGATAGTGACTGATGTCATAAAACATGACAGTTCCTTCCAAGGGATTAAATTTAATGAGGTTGGAAATAATCACGGCTTGATGAAGCAAGATTTGTAATCTTAGAAACGAAATCACCGAAACATCGTCGCCTGACAATGTAATACCAGAATCAGTCATCCTGGAAGAGACAAAGACTGTCATTGTTTTTTACATTTACAGTTTCCGGGGAGTGAATTTTATCTTATATGTATTATATGACAGACTATTGTGCAAGATATTAGTAGTAGGTAGAAAGTATTCTGTTCGTTAATCTTAAAATATTTTATTGGCATTCCTAAACAGCACAAGTTTAAAAAATGAACTATACTACTCCGTAAAATTATGGTGTAATTTAGTACAAAAATAATCTACATACATTAAAGGAATGTACCACTTTTTGAACACCCTGTTTTTAAACGTTATTGTTATATTATGTTTTCTAAGTTCTACGAGATGAGCGTGTTTATTTAGGTTTAACGCCAAAGATTCTGTTGAATCTTTGAAAGATTTTTAAACTCTTATTAAATAGGTACGAATTATTGTGAATGGTACATTTTGTTTAGTGTTTGTTAATCAATGTAGTCGACGTATTTTATCGTAATTAAACGATTTTTTAATTGTAAAATGATGTTATTACTAGAACATTGCTCAATCATTAAATGTGCTAATTACTATATGGAAATGTGCAATTTAAAACAAATTAAACATCACTTAGTGAGCGTTTATTGCATGTTCTTATGTATGTTATAAATTCATTATCATGTCGATATATTGATACAAAACTATTTTAGATGGAAGTTATTTCCTGTTTAAATATTCGCTAAACTAACTTCGCTGTCGACTTTCAGCTCTGATATGTGCTATGTACACTTCCCTCAATAACACGGGGTGCGATCGAAAGATTAATCCACTATGACGGAGCATGCTATTTTTCATAAAAAAAATTAAGAAAATTTCACAATTTATTTTTCAACTTACGTACATGTTTCGTAATATCAATAGCTTATACTCCTAGAGTTATTGGACTCCAAACAGAAGTGAAGGTTGTCCGGAAATGATATATCCATTACATGGAGTAGGTAATTGTTTTTTGGTATAACGAAACATTAAAGTTCAAAAATAAATGGTGACGTTTTCATAGTGTCTTATGAAAAATAGCATGCTCCTTCATAGCGGACAAATCTTTCGATCGTACCCCGTGAATAATTGTCTACGTAATATGTACTGTCACATTGTACAGGGTTGGCCAAAAAGGGTTGGGCAGGATATGCAGAAATCAATTTTACAATTGATGTGGGATAAATCGATCTCCAGTTTTTTAATAGTCATAGTGTCTCACATATTCGATCAAAATTTGCCATGCAAACATGTTAGTCTACTTTACTGCCCCCCCCCCTTGCTGTAACAAGGAACCCAAAACACATTAAAACGTAAACATAAACCAATTAGTCACTTCACTATGAAAGTGGGGGTGTTAGCAAATGTATATTAGCAGAATACGCTGTGTGCATGGACTAACACAATATCAGTGGTCATTTACTGTGTCAACTTAATAACCCTTGCATATCGTGCTCACTCAAGTATTGAATAATTTTTTTATGATCTAAATGTTTGTGGTTTATAAAAAAAAGTGATATATTTTAGTTAGAAATACATTAATTAATATATTCATTCAAACAGCACTAGAATGCGGGAAGAAAGAGCAATGGTGACAAAATGCAGACAGAATTTTCCGTAAGGGTTTCAAACATTTCTGGACACAATCATACATGTACTTCATGTGTACTGTTATTTTTAGTGCTGTATTTATAATTTCACGTATTAAAATCATATTTTCCAGCAATGACTTCAAATCCGGAACCACACCCATATCACATTTTCTTCAATAACTCCAAACATGTGTAAACATTGACCATGTGCATATAAATTCAGATTTCACGAGCTCTTTCCTATTCGAGTACCTCATACACCCCTGCATGGATTTGAGTTGGATTCGCCTTTTATACGTGAGCCGACACACTCGCAAACGGTGATTGGATAAAGATTGCGAGAAATTTGAGAAATTACAGATTTCAGAATGTTATTCGAGGCAACACGTTTACACTGATATTAGTCATGCCTCTTGGGGTCATGCCTTAAATTAAAGTACCAGTTAGAAATACATTAGGTAGGGTGATCATTATATTCTGAAATAATTTCCATTTATAAGGATCAAGTAAGACAAATGAATAAGATGAAGAAAAACTGATTCAGCATCAGGAGAAACGATGATTTTAGAAAATCATTCTGAGATCTTATTTGTGGCAAAAAGATCAGCATGGAGCTTGATTAAGCCAACACATTGAAGAACCTGTTTCTGATTGTCGTTTAAGACCCAGTTTATATAAAAAACAAGCCAATAAAATAACATCATTTTTCATCAAGACTTTCGCCTACCAGTTCTGTTTTTCTTGATGTTAAACCAGTACATCTAAATTTCCTTATCAGTCTCAATACACTTCAAAATGCTTCTATCAGAAATATAAATTGCATTAGTGTATACAAAATACTATAACGTTTCTCAAGCTATTTGAGGCATGATCATTATCATTGTAAGATTGTCATATTTAATTCTATCCTGATGTCTGTAAGTTTTCAAATATACCCCTAGGATCTGTTTACCTTCATAATTTTAAAACCCCTAGAGATTTATTAATTCCACTTCCGGAATATTTTTGAAATTAATTTCTGCATATCCTGCCATGCATTTTCATAAAGGTTCTATCGAAATAAGAATTGTGGACGTTTTTGGTTTACCCTTTACAGGCGTTCCAGCACGGAGCACGGCATAGCGATAGCCAACGTACACGCTTACCAAAAATGACAGCGATGCCATCAATGTCATTGTCGATTGTAAATCAAAAAAAAAGAAATATTTGTCTCTATATCTACCAACACATCTATTCATTACATTTAATTGATTGGAATTTGGGCAGTGTACATTCTTATTGATAAATATGATATTGTAAATCATAGTCATCTAGATCATATAACACATGGAAGGAAAATATTGAGTAAAAATGGATTTGTGATCGGGGTCGGTGGGCCTCGGTTTCATTCGGGCGGTATCGGATAACCTGTATAGCCTTTCCCATAGTCTGCTCTTACCAAGGGGGGGGGGGGGGGGGTTGACAGTTTTGGCTAAAATAATGCGAAAGAGCTCAGAGTGGTGAAAAACTGCAGCCAGCTCCCCTTGGCTTCGGGCCTGATAGCCCAATCAAATACGCCAAACTCGAATGAGTTGGATTGAATGATTTTTCTGTATGTATAAAGCCGTTCTATTGTACACATATATTATTAAATCTGTTTGTATTGCAAATAAATCTTAATAAAATACGATACATGTACATTCTATTGTTTTAGTAATTACATAATAAAACAATACCTCGTTGAATGTTGTATTGGGTGCCCTAAAAAAACACCGAGATTAACACAGAATAACTCATAGAGTGACGAAGGAATTCTTGAAATTTGGTCATCTGACATTTGACATTAATAAACATCCATTAAGTATCATTAGGTAACTCTTTTTAGTTTTAGAAAAAGGGTTGTATTTTACCGACCATATTTCAATGCTCAAACTATGAATTTACTCTATGAGGAATATTTTCGAAATTTAGTGAGTTGACAGTTTGACCTACCAGTATGCATTTTTAAAACAATTTTGTATAAGAACATTAAAGAAATAATTATTCAAAATTATTGTCATACGAATTCATTATTCGGGTTTCCTACAGTAATAAAATAGAGTTATATCAGGTATCACCTGCAAGTGATAGATCACATATTTGGGTAGGGATGATATCTGATATGACATTGTGATTAGAGAGGTGATATCAGGGATGATATGGATATCAACCCGAGTATTTATTCAAATCTTTTTTACAAAATTTTCATTTTTTTCAAGTTTCATTTTTTAAAAAAAATCATTTTTTACAAAATTTTCACTTTTCAAGGTTTTCATTTTTTGAAAATTTTTCTCATTCAACAGATAATCTTAGGTAGATATTGCTGTTGAACATGGTATAAGATCATTATCATGTCACCTGTCGGGATGATATGAGGAATATATCCCTAGGATGATATCAATATTTCTCTCCGTAACTGCGCTCCCTCGGGAAATATTGATACCATCCATGTGATATTCCCCATATCAGATCCCTCCTGGTGAATAACTTCTTTCAAGTTCTTTACATACTGTGATGTAATATAGGGTCAATTGGCCTTCATATTTGTCCTTTAATTTGTTTACCACTTGTATAATAGGTCTCAAGGTTAAGACACTCGGCGTCTCAATTGGTAATATTCCTTGTAGTGTAACACTTGGCAATGTTTAAACAATTAAAGACCAGATGCTACAAGATATTAATGCCACTCAACTTTTGGGTACGGTTAATATAAGTCTTTGGATATGAAAAGTTATTGTTGGTTAGGGCTACTAACGTACGATTGTGACACATATAGCAGTGTAATGGTGACATCTGTTGCTCACTTAGTATCTTAGATATTTGACCCACCCAACTTTGACGAGGATAGTATACATTTATAGTGTATGACTGCCAAGTCTTTCAGTAGGAACTATTATTATGGCCTGAAGATAACTTTTCAAGATGGATATATGGATTTTGTTATCGTCTGCATTTTCTATTGCATTATGGGGCATTGTCTCTTCGTCAGGTATGTCTGTTTCAATAATCTCAAATTGTATTTATGGATATGACTTAGGCCTGTAATCTGCAGCAATACTGTATACTTGTATCAAGACATGTTCTACATGCCCATTGAATGATTTAAAGCATCTTTTTGCATCCACGCTAGAAATCACCAAAATTCTTATTGAATTGGCATTACAGAGAACAAGATGTTCTGTTACTACAGTAGCTTCGCCATCAACAGATCAGGCAAGGCTAAGTTCCTCCCCGAACACATCAACCCTTATCTCTGCACTCATATCATTTACGCATTTGCTGACGTGGTCGATGGTAGAGATCTGAGGCCATCGGCTAAGGATGACGTTAGCAATAAAGGTATACAGTGTAAATATTGTAATTTTTTTAACACAAATAATGTGTTGTTCTTAAATGTAATAACACGATTAATTTTTAGAAAATGTTGATTTTCAGTGTTTGCATATTATAGATAACAAAGCTATATAGGAATCTGATATGATTAAACTTACCAGCCCAATGCTTCCGAGTCGGAGTTTACTTACAAATGAATTGTATCCATGTTCCAGATATTCATTCAGATATTTCCCAAGTTAATTTAGTGTTAGAGAATAATATGTTGGTTTTGCATATAAATACGATATTTTTCGGTAGAACAAATGTTCTTCTTCAGCCATGCTATAACTATATACGAACATGAATCACATTATTAAAACAAGGTACATCTTTTAGGATTATACTACAGGACAATGGGTCTGAAGAAGTTAAATCCAGAACTAAAGGTCCTGTTGGCAGTAGGGGGTTGGTTTGTCGGTTCAAAACCATTCATTCCTATCTTGCAGTCCGACTCCAATCGTTTGGCATTTGTTGCCAACGTAATTGCCTACCTAAGAAAGGTACGTAGGTTGGCATTTTTGTCATATTTTTGAAAATGTTGTTATTCAGTAAAAGCCAAGTCGCAAGATAGCAGATAAGCGGCATTTAAAAAACATTTGAATTAAAGTTCTCTATGTTAATTCCCGATGACACAAAATATTGCAGATTCATTCCAAATTGATTTTAAAATTACAATTTGATTTCTAATTCTTTCGCTCTCTTCAGTATAACTTTGATGGCCTGGATATGGACTGGGAGTTTCCAGGGGCACGAGGAAGTCCTGAATCTGACAAGCATCGTTTCACTCTCCTGATGAAGGTACATGGATTTAAAATACCTGTCACATTTACAGTGTGGGCTCACCGTTTGCCACCATGTGGCTGATTCTCCAGAATTTTTATTAATGCCCAGGCATTAATCTTTTAATTAATCAATTGCCATAATTTTTGTATTTGGTGTGATGGGGGATATCTTGCTTTAAAAATATTTATTTTACCCATCATGTACCCATGCCGAATCCCATCGTCTGCCCAAAAATATTCACACGGTTGAAAAAATTGTGTCAAAGCCCAATGTGACAGCTCCATAAACACAAATCCATTAATACAAGTTAGAATATGTTCTCTCGTTTGAAAATATTATGATAGCGTTTATAGTCATCTTAAACGAAACATGCTTGATAATTTATAATCAATACTGTTGTGATAGTGTTTTCCAATAGATTAATTGTTGGCGCATTAAATTCAAAACTTTGTCCATTTGATTTACAGGATCTCCAAGATTCATTCCGAGAAGAGTCAAAGTCTAGTGGTAGAGAAAAACTTCTGTTAACCATGGCAACCGCCGGAGGGATGTACTTTATCAGTAAATCGTACGATCCACCACGGTTGATACCGTAAGTAAAATCAACGTTCAAACAGATACTTATAACATTACTTCTGCACTAATATCTGATAACTATTGATTTTTATAAAAAGTAATTGATCAAAAAATATCAAAGTCATATTTCATTTCGATCATATTATCTCGGCCAGCCCTCAATTAATCGAATAAGAAACAATAGGCCAATGGGTCAATGGAAGTTTATTTTTTGCGTAAATATCATTTCCGACATTGAGTTTGAAACAAACCACTGGCAATTGCAGGTTTCACAGTTGATTACCATGAACAATTCCAAAGTTGCATACGCTGAATTTGATCTTTAGATGTTTTAAATGTTAAGCAAGAGGGAAAATTTTCCGGATTTTTCGGATTTTGATTATTTTAGATAGGTTTGTAGCTGCTTTTTCTCTCTTCAAGGGTAACAATATAAAAATGCAACCTTTTTAAAGTGCTTTGTTACATGAAAAATCCTCATCGAAGAAAGTCATTGGCATCTGAAAATATTGCCAGATTTACAATACTGAGTTTGCTACATTTTGCTGGAATGCATCGGTAGTAGCCAGCGTGGTACATTATGAGGTGTAAGCTAATTTATAAATAGACATAAGACACATCTAACTCATCTTTCTTATAATTTTTAGTTTTTATTGCCTTATGGCAGATAATATCTTCTGCGCCGGCTATTCTATTTGACCTACTTTCTGAACTTTCTCGCCTTTTTGGAACTTTCTTGATTTCTGTCGGCAGTTTTGAAAGATTGAAACTGGCAAAGAAGAAAAACTTCCCCCACAATATGTTTGTAATAGAAATTCATTATTTCTAAATAATGGTAATTTCCTACTTTTTTGATTTAGTCATTTTTTTATCGAAAATTAATTACTTTCAGTCACATCGACTACCTGTTACTAATGGCCTACAACTATCATGGGAGCTGGGAGGATAGGACTGGGCATCACAGCGGTAGCCACCCCCGGGCACAGGAAGTGGGGCCTGAGAGGCAGTTAAACCAGGTTAGTCACTATATCTGGAACAGGCGTAAAATATTGGATGTGCTTACCTCATTATAAAATACTTCTTTGACTCCACCAAAATGAATTACAGAAAATGGTAGCGGTACTAGCTGCGGAATATCTCTCGAGAGCCCTGTCTTTGGAGGATGCTTTTATATTATTAATGGTTGAAATTTATCAGCTTTTCAGGTTTATGGCTAATTGTGTACTGGATATGATTTGTCAATTAATGAGTCGACTGTCTTAATAAATGCAAAACGATCAATTGAATTTATCGATATATTTTATAAGGATGAGTTATTATAAGATTGACAAGCATTGAACATTTAAATCTTCTCGAAAATAAATAAAAAATCTCTAACGATACTATTGTTTAAGGATTTAAGCCATGGACTCAGTGCATTGTTTGCTGAATCATTGTTTCTAAACCTTTGCATGACCGCGCAGCGGGAATGCAACGTTTAGGAAACAACGCCTGAGTGGAATGAAGTCTTGGGCTTAAATTCTTTTCACACATTGCAATTTTTCTACAAAATCATCCAAAAGGAACGAAATCACCAAAATAACACATTTTCAATGAATTTTTTTGCAAGGGTCAAGTTGGCAAGTCATCAAATCCAAGGTGAAAAGTCCATTCATCAACATGACATCTGTTTAACAAGTGACCTTGCATGTGCTATTGATATTTCACACACTGTTCTATCTGTGAAATACTATTTGGCTGGAATCGGACACACCTTGCCTAGCTATGTGTGAATAGTGTCTTAAAGTTATAAACTCAGGACTCCGTACATATTGTTCAGTGTGACAATGGAATAGAATGACAAGATACAAGGTGGCGTCTAGAAAATAAAATTTTAAGTGCTCTAACTGTATTCAATGGATTTCATGTTTTGTTGTAAACCACCAAATATCTACCAAAATATAGCTGCCTTTCTGTCAGGAATATACAATTAATGGAATTAATTAATTAATGAAAATATCAAAGCTTCTGCTTGAAAGAATTGCTTATATCACACAAAAACCTCAAGCCGTGGGTGTAGACCACAGAAAGCATTAACGAGCATTTGATAGTTTTTTGTAATTTTGGGATCAAAGTTTGAGAGATCTTTCGCTCATATTATTTTGTGTAATAATTTTTTTTGTAAATCAAAAAGTTCATACCTCAAGAGCTATAAACAGTATATCTTTTCATTTCAGCAATGGACAATTGACTACTGGTTAGAGCAAGGTGCCAGTCAGGACAAATTGATCGTTGGCATAGCAACGTATGGAATGACTTTCACGTTGGCGGATGCAAATCAAAATGGTGTAAATGCAAGTGCAACCGGGGGTGGAAAGAAGGGAAAATATACAAAAGAAGAGGGCATACTTTCGTACTTCGAGGTAAAATTCAACAAAGCAATATTTTGTATAGCTGCATTTTAAAGAGTTCAGTTAAGAACGTCCCTCTCCGAAAAGGCATTTACAAATCGAGTAATGCCAAATATTATTTATGTTCCAGATATGTGATTATATGAAATATGGGATGAAAACTGTTTGGATGGATGAGCAAATGGCGCCTTATGGTTACCATAACAACCTGTGGGTTGGCTATGACAACCAGGAGAGTATCACCTACAAGGTTCGTTACAATGGTTTTGAACATATTTGTACTACATTTACTAATAATATTATGTAATTATCATCGTCTTTTTTAGCCTAATTGAGTTTGTAACATAGAATCATAGATTGGTTTTGAATTTTTCCTTTAGATATGGTATGAACTAAGACTGAAACAAGTTTTTCCAGATATCAAACTCATTCTCTTTTGTTCGGTTCTTTGATTTTAAATCGGTTTATTGTAGGCCAATAACATCAGGAACAGAGGCTTAGGCGGGGCATTTATTTGGTCGGTGGAAATGGATGACTTCAATGGAAAATCATGTAACCAAGGCAGATATCCACTCCTTTCGACAATAGCAGAGATCCTTAGACCACAATCGGTGAAGACGTACATACCAAGATTCCCTCGTCCGAATAGGCGAACCACTTTACAACCTGGCCAGAGGACGCTAAGGCCAACACCAAGGAAGGTTAGACCAACTAAGAATAAAGTAAGACCTCGTTCTCGAACAAATGCTATCCCTGAAAGACCCAAAACTGACAGCCAGAATGCTAACGGTGTAAAAACAGCCAAATCCGACTCAGCTGACAACATGAGGGAACTGACTTCCAAAAAGGAAGGAGATCCCGATATGGTAACAGACGAAGAGAATGGCGACAGTCGGATTTCTCATCGAGGGGGAAATAACAAATATCAACGAACGAGAACTATTCCTACTGAAAACGAAGATGATACAGAATCAAAACAGATTAAAACAGGTACGAGATCAAAAATCGAAAGATTAGACAATAAACTTTTAGAGGATGAGCAAAGCGTCCATGTTATAAAAAAGAAAAAGACTCCAATTGAAAACACAAAACCTTCAACTCATGATCAAAATACTGAAAGTGAGTCTAAAGTTAAACGAAAGGATGGAAAACGGATACGAGTTCGACTCAGAAAGAATAAAACTGGGGAGAAAAATAGTATTCCTGACAATTTGTCAAGTTCAGCTCCATATATGCCCGATGCGTCCTCCACCTCATTTACCGTATTAACGATATTGATGGCACAATATTGCATTTATATTTAACCTATAAAAAGTTGAAAAACAACCATTTCATTATTTGTATTTTCTACGTGTTTTCCAACAAGTTTGTAATACTACTGTACATATATTATATTGATACCAGACGAAATAAATAACTGTTTACTATTAATCATAAAGTTTGTTATAAAACTATACAAACAACACAATCATTTATAAATTGTGAAAAACATATTTTATTTTCAGGCAAATTCGTTTGCCCAACTGCTGGTTTTTATAAAGACACCCTAGACTGTGGTAAATATTACATCTGCTTGAACATGGGGAATAAATATCGCCAGTTTCACCTTTCTTGTCCCCGGGATCTTAGGTGGGATAATACCCTACAGATTTGCACTTATAAGCATGGTTGCTGAAGAGGCTCGATATAAAGACTTATAATATGAATAGTAGTGTAGAATTGTTATTGCTTTGTATTTCATCATATCATTATCATTACTAGTACTGTGTCAATAGTACCCTGGATAGAGTCAAGACAGATGCATGTTTTAATGTTATTATATTATAAGGTGGCCAGGGTTAAAGATGCACTCTAAACCAAGAAGTGGGCAAGGTTAACTGCCATTATAGCGCAGTGTTCTTTGTTCGGACAATTTGGGATCAGGGGTGTTCTTTTTTCAATTCATTTCAATTTATTCATTTCATAATTCTTATATAATATACACTATAAAAACAAGCCGCTAGACACCCTAGTGGATTCTTCAAGGACCATTCTGTTTTATTTCAAAAATAATTCATGTATATTGCCTAGAAGGTCGATGAAACAAAGAAAACACGATATATTGCATTGCATTGGCATTTAAGGGACATTATTTCAAGTCTTTAGTATACACAGTATACATTCACATTATTAACTTGTCAATTAAAGTGAAAAATAGTGATGATTATGTACTGAAATCAAATATAAGGTTGAGATTGAACCCATTATATTAGAGATTAATTTTTTACACTTTTTCACTTCAACATACATAAACATTTATAATGTCTCTATTACAATAATAATTACTCCAGTGAATAATATACTGTGTCAATTTAAAGTTGTACTAAAACCAATTTAAGAATCTCTTATTATCTTGCTTTTAGCACAAATAGCATCCCTTTTGTTATTTTGACTAGAAAGCTTTTGATATTTCCCCACAAAACACGATTTATTAAGTGACTGTCAACCTCTGAAATGTTGTTATTTTTGCGCACGTTTTGAGGTCACATGACCATGACGCACCGTGTGCCAAGTTATTCTGGCGCTAAAACGAAAAGGTTTTGTTGCAAACTACTACGAAGGCTGAACCAAAGTAGAAATATACATTAGTTCCACATTCGCACGCATTCCAATAGCCACATAAATACGTTTAACTGATTGAACTTCACAAAAAGAAATTCTTGAGGAAAGAGCATTGCAATATTAATCATTACATATTCAAGGAATTGATTGAAATGCATTTGTGAAACCGTATATCGATAACTGAAAATGTTAAACCGAGTTTTATAGTTTGGCCTTACAGCATTACATTTGGTTTAATCCCCAAACACTGACACTGTTTGCTGTCATAATGCTGCTCGATTGATTCCGCACTCAATTGCAAGTGATATTATATATTATTTCGCAGAAAATCGTTTCAATCACACTCGTCATGTCACGTGACCTAAAATTCTGCTCTGAAATGAAATCAGTTTTGGCGCGAAAACAGACACGTGCTGACTTTATATCCCCGATATCATGATAAAATGAACTTTTGGAATTGTTGATGGTTCACCATCATCGTAAAGTGTGGCCTTCATACGGTAAGATATCATAAAAATATCTAAATCGAGTAAAATGGTTTGAGTACAACTTTAAAGATTAATCTTTTGAATTTCTCAATTATTTGATATGCTACCTGGCACATTGAAATATATGAGCCCCTTAACAAATATTTATACTCTGGTTAGAGTCTGGGTGTGTCTTAGCGACTATAGTCACATGTATATTATGGTGCTTCATATGTATGTAGAACTAGGACTACATTGTCATGGTACATTTTTTCTCATATGGTGGCTGAATGGTGATCGATCCCAAATTTTCATCAACCCTATTCCTCAGAAATGTGCACAGATTAGCTGATATATCATCATGAGAAAGCCACATCGTAAATATGGACACACAGGATTTGCAACCAAATATACCAGGAATATATGTATTAACAAAACTGAATTTAGGACACTGCTAAAACAATGTTAAATAAAGAATATCTGTTTAATACTGTTTTGTAATGTCTACAATAATACATCAACTGCCAAACTAATACATCTTTTGCCAAAAGAAGAGTCAAAAGCATTTTACAAACATTTGGAAGAAAAATTTGAGGACAATGTTGTACTAAATCTAGTAGTACAGGTTGAAGAAAGTAATGAATTAAACTGTCACACTACAAAGAAATAAAGCATGTGATTTCTGATAATGATTCAATTTATTAAACATCATGTTCAATGTTAGTTTTATATTCAATTGTTACAATAAATTATAGACATTTAATTACTGCACTTATATTTACATTGCTACGTTCAAAAATCAACTCTCATATGCATGAAATTAATAAAATATTCTATATTCCACTGTTTCCACTTATAGTGAACATGACTGGATATCAAGTCTCAGTAAAATATCTTAATTCTCTCATGATAATATTTTTCATAACCAACTGACATCCATTCAACTTATTTTACATTTTTTACTTACAGCTACTGCATTGACTTACTAATTATGGCCTTTTCTAGGTGAAAAGACCAATCAAATAATTTACGCTACCTGTTGGGTTTCAGGGCAGATATTTGGTTAACTTATGGCATCATTGATATTAAAAAAAAAAAATTGGTCAGGATTCTTTGGAAATGTCTATTTGCTGGTCCCTTGGTCAAATAATCAAATAAACCCTTTTAATGTATGATACATATGCAATATATTGCTCTTGAAAATGTATGATACATATGCAATATATTGCTCTTTCAAATGTATGATACATATGCAATATATTGCTCTTGAAAATGTATGATACATATGCAATAATATATTGCTCTTTCAAATGTATGATACATATGCAATATATTGCTCTTGAAAATGTATGATACATATGCAATAATATATTGCTCTTTCAAATGTATGATACATATGCAATATATTGCTCTTTCAAATGTATGATACATATGCAATATATTGCTCTTGAAAGTAAAGGAGTACAACATCATATGATAATTTCAAATACAAGAATATGAGTCGAATCAATTAAAAATTGGTCACATTTAGATTGAGGCATTCAGTTCACATAATGAGGTTCAAATAACATGTCAGTAGATAGGGAATCATGAATAAGGGTAAAACATTCTTTAGTTACATTACACTTCAGACAGGTTTCCTTGAACGTGCACGGAGGTCATACAAATAACATTGATCTATTACTGCTTTATGTTTAACCAATAAAACATGTAACTTCATGCCTCACTATGTAATAATGAGACAACAATACCATACCAGTCTACCATGTTATTTAATGATGTGAAAAATTGACTTCTATACTGTGTCCATGTACAAGAACATGACAGATGGCATAACATGAAGCAGAACAGGTAGTAGGATAAACATTAATAGTGACATTGCTCAGGGAAACAAACTTCCTGAAGGCCCTACTCACCCTAGAAATCTCACTTTGATCCCTGGATGCTGTTTTTCTTGTATCATATATTTTGATTCTTAAATAATATTTTATTCTAATATTTCGATTCTGTTTTTCTTGGATCATATTCTTACGCATAATTTGCATAATCTACCCAACAAGTTTCATCCCTGCATATAAGTCATAAACTAGGACCATTCATTTTGTCCTTGAACCATATACCTGCCTGCTCAGTTTCTCCATCATAGGGTACCATGACCTTATATGACTTGACATGACAGCAAAACATGACAGCAGCCACACATAACATGATTTATAGACTCGGCATCACACTCAATTACTTTGATAAGTTCCCTATACTGGATAATATTGCATTGTTATTGCTGTGTATATCTATATCCTAGTTAATTAATGCTAGTCGCTAATCATATACAGTAAAACCTGTTTAGGTGGAACACATTTCATAACTCTAAAAAGTGTTCTTGGGAGGTGTTCCACTTACAAAGGTAGGCTCATTTAATGTCAATTGATCATAGGACTCTGAAGTGTTCCACTTATGGAGGTATTCTGCCTACAGAAGTGTTCACATTAACAGGTTTCACTGTACTATAAAACACATGAACATTCATCTGTTCATATAAAAATATTAAAGGCCTCTATTTCAAGTCCTGTTTACTTGGCACATTTTGGTTGGTGTATTGGATTGGAGTGAATGTCTACAGTTTGGATGTCCCAGCCTTTGGTTGAAATTCCTTCAGTTTAAGAGCCAGAGACATATTGCCTGTGACCTTTAGCTTCCCTTGGAAGAATGCCTGCAAAAATACAAAATAGTAAAAAACTGTGTTAATTGCTCTAACCACATATACTATAAAGGCACAATCTTAACAGAATCTGGTATCCAATGATACTCGATGTATCTCTGTCCAATTTTGGTTGATATGCAAGTATAACCTTAGCCAAGGACTATTTTAAATATAGTGAAGCTTGAGTTCAGACCTGTATACATATACTATAATATAAACAAATTGTAGCACTTGTGGAATATTATATCCATGCCAGAATGCATTAATACTAGCTCCATGAAAATTGTCAATACATCTACTTGCATTTCTACATTTAGCTATAGTACTTTTATCAGAATATGTTTTATGACACGTTCTTACCTTCTGTGGGTTGAGCTGTCCTGTCATGAGATTGAGCAAATCTTCATCAGCCATATTAATAGTACAATCTCCCTTAGCTGGAAACAGAAGTGTTATTAAGTAACAACTACTCAGATTAAAGTTTAATTGTTGAATTAAATGAAAACAATAAATCAAAACAAGGCATTACAAATCAGATGTTGACCATTGAATGCTGAACACCATCCATAAAAAGTTGGAGACAATAACAATGCCACTAGTGGTGACATAATAATTTATTGAATATATGAATTGAATACTACACTATAAATGACATACAATTTGTATTTTAAAATTAAAATTTACGGAGGATAATTCTTTTTTGAAAATAGGTTTGTTTCCATGAGAACTGACTATATATGTACTTGACTTATGTAATGCATTATAGTACCATCTCCATGAAAACTGACTTTACATGGACTTGACTTATGCAAAAAATGAATGGGACATATCAGTTAATGTCAGCTGTCAATTGGCTCTGCATTGATCTCACCTTCTGTTCCAAATGAGACTGATCCATTGCCTGATTTGGCATCTACTACCCACACCCCTTCTTTGCCTCCGGGACCTCCTCGCACCTTAAACACGTACACAGCCTTCACCTTTTTCACTATGTCAGCACCATTCTGGAACAGGGAAATATAGCAGGTTTATTTTTTAAGATTTATTTATTTAGAAAAATTAATATATACAATGATAAAACATGACAAATACTGACACCAAATGGCATATATAAGTATAAAGTCAAGTCTCAAAGAGTACCATTAATAAAACAAAAATGTAATAATCACTATACAAGTATTTATACAACAAAACAGTACAATGTATACAGCAAATGTGAAATATCCCAAGTTTGGAATATCAGAGGTAAATATCTACACAAGTGGACAAGGTTCAGAGGCCAAAAACACTTAAATTCACTTAAACTACAAATGAGAGATCCAAGAAGAAGAAGACCACTGCACAACTGCCAGTAAATCTGTAAATGATATTGAAAAGATGAACATGATAAAATTCATAATCATATCTTTATTCTCTGAACTGGCAGACAAAGTTACCTTTTTCAATTCCTTCTCCAGCTCAACAAATACTGGTGATGACTTGAACCCTTCTGATCCAAGGGCACTGGAGCTAACAGCCATTGTTTGAAGACCACTAAGAAAATAAGAAATAAAAACAAAAACACCTCAAACAAAATTTATAACTAAACAAAATATTTTTTTGTAAGCAGTTGAAAAAAATGCAACAGAGAAAAATATTTTACAGAGACATCTATTACAGAAAATTATTTAGAAAACAGTGACACATTATTTAAGTATCAATTGAGTATAAAATTTGTATCAAAATAAAAAACAACAACTTTGAATGTGATAGCCATTGTATTTGTTTCAATCATGTGTCCTAAGATTATATTCCATCATATATTTTCATCAACAATAATAATATTCAATGGATAAAACGTACGACTGTACAGCCTCTGGAAATCCAAGTCTATAAATGGTGACCACAGCAGCACCTCCAAGTCCTAGATTATGTTGTAGAGCTATCTTAGCACCAGGAACCTGTCTTTTACCAGCCAGACCTCTCAACTGCCAGGAAAGTTCTGCACACTGAGCAAGGCCTACAATGTAAGGTATTAGAATTAATACATAGTGACAATAGTCTTCTATGGTAGTTCATTGAGCAAGGCCTACAATGAAAGGTATTAGAGTTTATACATAGTGACAATAGTCTTTTATGGTAGTACATTGAGCAAGGCCTACAATGAAAGGTATTAGAGTTTATACATAGTGACAATAGTCTTCTATGGTAGTTCATTGAGCAAGGCCTACAATGAAAGGTATTAGAGTTTATACATAGCGACAATAGTATTTTATCGTAGTTCATTGAGCAATACCTACAATGTAAGGTATTAGAGTTTATACATAGTGACAACACAACAGTCTTCTACATTTAAATTCCGGATTGTGACCCATCTGGCTGAACATGCATTATGATGTCTATTGTAATTTTAATGTGTCTATTACAACAATATGGTATAGATGGTAGTGTTATCATTGGACTGTGCTTTATGGAATGTACAAGCCAGGTAAATTGTATTAACACACAAAAGAATATAACAAATAATACATGATCATTTGCAATAACAAACAGTGGGTCAGTGGCAGCCAGCATTTTTTTGTTATTAGTCAAGTACTATGACTCTTAGTTAACGCCTTGGTCACATATGCTCTGATCCGGTCCCCGGCCGATTGAGTGTTTTGTTCAATATTGTATTCAATTTTGAACAAAATACTCAATCGGCCGGGCGCTGTAGTGAAAATCGGAGGAAATGTGACCAAGGCATTACTTATGCAATGCATGCTATTTGCAGATTACCTGTAGCTCCAAGTGGGTGACCTTTGGATATTAGACCTCCACTGGGATTCACCACATACTTGCCACCATATGTGTTGTCACCCTTGTCAATGAACTCTCCAGCTTTACCTGTAACAAGACATGTTTAATGGAGATTCACATACTCTCAAATCTATCTATAACTTCTAATTTTGTTCTTGTATAAAAAGACAAAATTTTAAAGGGACAGAGTGTCATATATGTAGATAAATACACATTAATGATTCCGTCAGATTCAATTAAACTTTGATGAAGTTATTTAGCATTCAATGCCATTGCTAAACTCTCCCGGTGGTAAAAATATCATAGAAAACCACCAGTATTTTCCAGAAAGCATACTACATGCACTCATTTAGTATTGGTGACTGATTATAATTCACTTACCTTCTTCACAAAGACCAATGGCCTCATATGTGACAAGCTCATTTGCAGCAAAACAATCATGGAGTTCCACAACATGTACATCATTAGGTGTAAGACCCGCTTGTTTGTAGCACTTCTCAGCTGCCTTTTTAGAGAGGTCATACCCAATCTGAAAAAATAATTTGTTCATAATAAATTAAAAATTGCCATTTGTTACAGACACCGAATGCCAACTGCTGAACACCGTCCACAAAAAAGTTATAACAATATGTCACTTGTGGTTCTGACATAAACAACAATCGATTATTATTGTTATATATTTTTAATGTGTGTTCTCTATTGTGGTAGTATTTATTCTCATAATCTGGCCCAGCATTCATGAATACTCACCAGTTTCATAGCACTGTTGTCCTGGAATGTGCTGGGAAGGTCAGTGACCATGGCTTGGGCAATAATCTCCACTGCCTGCGACTGAAGATTGTGCTTCTTAACAAACTCCTCACTGGCCAGTATGGCTGCACCAGACCCGTCAGATGTTGGGCTATTGTAATATATAATACATGTAAGAAAAACATATTTAAGACAATTCTATGCTATAGTAACAAAATGACTTTTTATTCAATGGTCTTTAATTACATCGATTTAGTTAATCAATATAGTCAATGACATAACATGAATATTATTAAAAATTTCAAAATGAAAATACTATAAGTTATTGAATGATTTGACACGCAAAACAGGATATATTCTGCTCGAGAAATTCCGTATTGGAACGAGATGAAGAAAGAAAAACAGATATATTGACTACTCATCAAATAATGTAGAGAATAAAATAGTTTATGAAAATGTATCAACTGAAAGACTTACCAACATTGTAGTTTTGTCAATGGGGCATGGATCATTGGGGCCTTCAGGATCTGTTCAAGAGTGTATTCATCCTGGAACTGGGAATACCTACAATCACATGCTATACGTGAATCACAAGCAAAATTGCAATCATATGACTTGTAGCTGAACTTTCTTACAGGTCACTCACCTTTATATTCAAACTTCCACTGATGAAGAGGTACAAGAGATGGGACAAACATAGAAGACTCATACAACATATTTTCATTTTTCCTAGACTCCATTAAGGAATTCCTTTTTAAGAGTTACTTAATATATCAAATTAATGCAAATTATATTATGTTAAATTGTACAATATCCTTAATGGCATATTTTCTGTTACAAATAAGAGAGTAGAGGACAAATATTAAAACTTACGGGTTATTGACAGAATGTTTGTGGTTCTTGTATGCTATCTTTGCAAAATGTTCAGGTTTGGTGCCTGAAAATATAATTGTATTTAATCCATTAGGTCACCAATATTTGAAGATCTGTTCACATTTGATAGATTTCAGATATGATAGAGGGAAACATTTCAATGACTGATACAAATGGTATACTTTTTACAATAAGTAAACGTAGTTTTCAGGTATCAAATTAATTTTTGAAAAACACAATGAATTAAACTAGAAACACATCAACTCCATCCATGGAGTAGCAAGTCCTAACGAACAAAACATATTTTATCAGATCATTCCTCATTTTGAACTTTTTATGATACAATATGGTTGTAAACATCCTCCGCAAGCAGGGTTCCAAAATCCAGAATACCTTCTTTCTCTTTACTGAGGTACAAATTCTGGACACCTGCTTAGGAGGATGGGCAGAAAAAGAAGGCAGGATTTTGTAGTAGAATTGTTTGAAAGTGAGTACAAGATTTTCTGAATGGAATAGACATGGAATTATCAGCAAAGCATTGTAGCTGCTCAACAAACTCTCCGTGGCTGATTCACAGAATATGATGTCTGTCAATTTCCATTCAAAGAATACAAGTGCAGAAGAAATACAAAGAAACGACAAAAATAGCCTAATCGCTAACTGGATCACCTGTAGGAATACAAATATTAGTTGTTGCCTCCAAATAACAGAAGATAGAAATTACATGAAGGGATGCCTTAAGAAGAGGCAGAATAATAGAAAATGTGATGAGATTGAGGATAAATTATATTAATGAACACATACTAGATGAAAAAGTACAGACTATTCAAATAAAAGTGGAAGAGAAGTGTGGAGATTTATGCAACCCTCATATGCAGTACATACCATACTTTTCCATATGTTCTCTACCAGCATTGCCAAACATCTGAGGAGTAATTGGGGTTGACTCAAGACCTCGATTATCCACCATGTTTTGTAAATGTTTGTCCATAGGGTTTGTTCTATCCATGTACTGAGTGAATAAAACATTCAAATATGCAGTTAAGTAAATGAGTGCTGGGGTATATATGAGGGAGGGGGTATTAGAAAGGTGGAGTGTGACTGAAACACCATCAAGAGAGACCAAACCTACAAGTGAAGAAAAAAGTTTCAATTCATTGTGAATTAAACATATATTTCACTGTTCAATGATGGTCTGAGTAAATGTGTTGAAGAAATTAATTGGATTAAGATCAGGGTTCTAATTTTCATCGTCATTAAAGGAATATTCCTTGCCAAATCATCTCTCTCCTCATATGGTAGCTATAACCATATATATGCTTGCCATGTTTAGCAAAACACGCAAAAATGTTTTGATATGGTCAAATTTGATCACTTGGAAATGTGATGCTCAATTCCAGTAAGCTGCCATCTTTTAAAATTTCACACAGGAAGCGATGTCATCGACTCTCAACTTTGCATATAGCATTAGGTGAGGAGCTATTAAGAATTACAAAACCAGCTAAATATTCTTTTTCAACTTTGTATCTTATTTAATCCTTCTGAAAATCTCTTCTTTTATTCTAAGTTGACAAGCCCTGAAAATATTTTGCACAGAAAGTAATGATCACTTGTCTAGAAGTGATTTTGTGCTACTTTCCTATACTGTTATGGGCAAGGTTATAGAATTTGAGAGTTGATGACATCACTTCCTGCAAGAAATCTTAAAAGATGGCAGCTCACTGGAAATAAGCACTAGATTTTTAAATGATCAATATTGACCATATTAAAACATTTTCCCATGTTTTGCTAAATATGGAAACTATATATATGATTATAGCTACCATATCAAGAGAGAAAGGGTCTGGCAAGGAATATTCCTTTAAGGATTGACAATTGTGTATTGGGCATTTACAGCAGTCAGGTCAGGATGCATTGCAATTTCATTCTGTATTCATAAGGAACATTAACAAGATAGTGATGTGGTTAGAAGATTGACAAGTTAACAACTAGTGTGAATGACCTGTTTTGACAAATTGAGAAGGAAGTTTTAGTTGATCTGAACTTGACACCAACAAACTCTGGACGAGAAAAAGACAAGATGGACATAATGAAGACTTTTACAAATGAACTGGCATCGCATTATAGGCATTTACCATGGCCACCGGCTGTTGAACAATTTTTTGAACATGATAAGACATTTTGAGAACTGCTTTGGTGTGAAAGTTAACAGAATTTCAAAAGTTTTTCATGAAAATTCTCTGACAAATCTTGACTTTGGGTTTTCCTAATGTCATGTTAATTAATGGATCCCATTTTTGAATACAGTTCTAATTCTTTCCAGATTTCAACTCAGACCTTCAATGAAACCAGAAACACTGTCAACCACATATCTTACCATATTTTTTCATATGCTCTCTCCCAGCATTACCAAATAGCTGTGGATTTCTTGGTCCACTGGTCATTCCGTGAAGCTCTTTCATTTGAGTCACATGCCTGGCCAGTGGCTGAGTTCTATCTGTGTACTGTACAATATCATGGAAACAATCAAAATTCTGTTGCAATTCTATGCTAGAGATAATCACTTATTTACATCATTAAGGATAGAAGGATTAACTAAATCCATAATTTTACATTCACAATTTAACAATGTGACTTGTTTATGTTTTTAACTTAATAAATTCCTTTGGCAGATATTTACCTTGGCAGACAGGGAACCACGCTCCATTTTCTCAAAGCCAAGGGCCAGGACACATTCTGAAAGACCCCCCTCGATGAACTGCCTTGCCATCATAAGAGCTGTGGAGCCAGTAGAGCAAGCATTGTTAACATTATATACAGGGATCCCTGTCATTCCGACCTCGTATATGGCCCTTTGTCCACATGTTGTATCCCCATAGCAGTAGCCTACACAAGCTTGTTCTACTTCCTTGTAATGGACCCCTGAATCCTTCAAGGCTTTAGTAACTGGAAAATAGAGAGTGGACAATGTACTACAACAATAACTTACTATCTAAGTCAATGGAAATGGCTGAGAGAGATTTAAGCAATCAATTTTGAATCGCTATTGTCCTTGTATCATATTATGTTTCATAGCAAATACAAATATGTGTATCACGGTTTTATTTTACAAATTGATTTCGATCTCATTCTCTTTACTTTTGATTTACATCAGTGATTTGGTTAATCTCCAGACTAAATGTACCCAGTTAAGTCAATCAGTAGCTATACAACATGTTTTAATTTTCAAAAGTTATACTAACTTCAATTTTAAGAGAACAATATTTAGATAAGAACATGCTATTGAGTTGTTGAGTATTTAGCCATGGTTGAATATAAAGATTTTAATGTTAATTTTTAAATACAGGGTGTCCAAAAAAAACAGGACCATAAGAAAGTTGAATAACTCGGTCAGTTTTGCATATTTTGCCTTGAAATTTAGGAATCATTTAGTTCATTCAATGAGAATTTTGTTCTGAAAGTTTGATGATAATCTGTTTATTTTGTCAAAAACTACAGTCCTTTACAAAACATGCCCAAGGTGGGCACTTTTCCTCTCTATGCACAAACGAATCCTGCGAACAAAGTTGTTAATGACCCTAACCTATACACATTAATGTGGATGGTAAATATTGGGGTAGTTATTGGCCTCTTAAGATTGTTAGGGGCCTGTCAGTATACACATTGGCTTTGAGAAATCCTCAAAGATAAAAATTTGGGGGATTTAGATCAGGCAAATGAGCTGCCCATATGGTTTGGGTTCTGCAACTGATGAGCTGTCCACCAACGCATTGTCTAAACCATTTCAGCATATCATTTGCAGTGTTGAGGTGTTATTGGTTTGTTGAAACCACTGTTTAATTATCTCCTTAGATGTCCCTTCTGGTGCTTAGTGACCTCCAAATCTTGGTGAGAACTTACTGGTCCTTGTTCATGCTGATAGCAAGTCCCAAGTCACCTTCGACCCAAAAGGGACTGATGATTCCATGTTTCCTCATTGCCACCCAGCGAGTGCATTGTTCAGAATGCAATGGATGCTGTAACACTTCATCAGGAGGATGTAAGCCCTAGTAGCAATTGTTCTTGGAACAAACTTGTCCATTCAGAAAGACATGTGTGTAGGAGGATCATCAACAGCTTTGTTCGCCGGATTGAATTGTGCATAGAGATGAGATTTGCACATTTGGGGCATGTTTTGTAAGGAGCTGTAGTTTTTGACTCAATTGGTAGATTATTATCAAACTTTCACAACAAAATTCACATTGAATGAACTAAATAATTCTGAAATGTCAAGGCAAAATATGCAAAATTGACTGAGTTATGCAACTTTCTTACGGTCCTGTTTTTTTTTTGGACACCCTGTATTTAGATAGGCCTTATAACATATGTTCTGCAAATCTAACAAGGCACTAATGTGACAAAATGTCACCTGGTTGCAATTTTAAATTGTATAAAAAGCATTTCTTAAAGACACTGATGATCCAACTCGAAATTATTAAAGTCACATTGTCCTCAGCTTAATAATAGAAACTGCTAATCTTTTTTTTAGCAACATAATTGTGACAAATTGACTTACATCATACAATCATTGACAATCTGTGTTTTAAAGAGATTAAACATCAAATAAAATTATGGAGGTGTGTTAGACTTGAGTCAAGTAGATCGAAACCTTGAACAGAAAATATAGATAAGTGGTGTTAGAATATAGGACAATCTGAGATCATGAAATGAAGAGAATTTTTGTGCAAAGTCTGTTGCGTTTCGTTTATCTAAAACTAAAAGATCAATGTTTATTTTGTAGTCCAGTGTTAACCAATAAAACTCCTCTTGGTGACATGTGAAACAATGTAGAACTTTTTAAAAAGTGACAAAAGAACTGTGTGAAAAACTGATTTTATTTACAATGGAGTACTTTTTAAGAGGCAGGGATGGGGGTGAGGGACATGATAAAAAATAAAAATGTAAGTAGGCTACTGACCTGCTTCTAAAGCCATATCTGGATAATCAAAGTTGTCTCGGCGACCAGGTTTTTCAAACTGGAATATATAGCAACAAATGGTTAAAATATTATTCAGTACTGACCAGTGACCATATAGACTTTCTTCATCCTAAAAAATATCAACTTGTTTGGGAAGGGGGCAGACTTCAACAAAGATATTGAGATGCTACATTTCTAGTTCTAAAAAATATTAAAAATAACATGGGTCAATTTTGTTTTCACGTTCAATTTCAAGCCAAACACAAACGTGAAAGAAAGTGTGCAAAATGTAGTGCCCTCTGTGGGAATCAATGTCCAAAGTCATCAAGTCAATGTCCAAAGTTGGGTGCAAACATGGACCATGTGGGACCTGTAGGGTCTTCATAAATAAACCATATATTATAAGGTTGGAGACACTCTGACAGTTTAACTCATCAGAATTCTCCTTTTCGCGGTTCGCTCTTTGAATCAGAACGTTCGCAAATATGCACTGAAAAAGCACTCAAAAAGGACAAAATTTGATTGGTCAATATTTTCCCACTTTGCATTTCGCGTAGCTATTTGCGTGACACGAAAGTTCTAAATCAAACTAATTACTCAATTTTGTTTTTACACCCGCACGCTAAATAAAACAATGACACCATCGTAAGTATTCTTCTTTGTCATTGCTTTAATAGTCAGTATACCGAGTTTAATCAATAAAAGAATGTACAATGAACAACAAAATTCGGAAACGAGTACTATAGATTTGCTTTCGGACCACTGAACAGATTGACCTAGATAATAGCGACACGTCTTCTTTGGTCTACTGCTCAGTTGTTTGTGGGTTTTCAACGTAACTCTATAATGTAATTTGAAGATGAATACTTTTATTCAGTTGTTGCATCGATGTCGCAGTTTGTAGTGTGGTAAGATTGGCATGAAAGTATTGAAAGTCGAATGGAATTGTTTTTTCCAATATGGCGACTAGTCTACTGATCACATGACCTTCTCTTCCGGAATATTTTCTCACTTTTCAATCATCGTTTTCACCACGCTATGAATTAATACAATGAAAAAAATAGCTGTTATATTAAGATTAATGAGAGATCAATCGTTCGTTTCTAATAATTTTTTCTGTACTCTCGTACGGGAATATGAACGAATATATCGTTTGAAAAATAGGTGTGAAAATCCCCATGTTAAACCTATGAGGGAAAATATAAAGTATAAATTTGTTCCTCCGCGAACTGCATCATGGGAAATATTTTACCCTTATAAGGAAAGATTTTCGCGTCTTCTCTTTTGAAGAGGGAACAACGATTTCGAAAATTGGGGCATCCCCATTTAGTCCAAAGTATGATGCTCTACCAACAGAGATAGCTAAAAACCCATTGTAGCTGCGCTGTAGTAGCTAATTCCTATCCAATGTCACTACACAATTCCCCTTTGGATGAATGATGTTCCCTTGGTCATCTCTGCGTGTTTACTTGCACAAGAAATCTAGAATAGTGCTAGGCCTAGCAGACATGGCCCACATTTACTATGTGGGTATAACCATAGATATCATGGGCGTAGCACCTATTACGCAAAGTACGCTCGGGCGCACCAATATAATGACCCGAGTCTTCTGAAGAATGACCAATACCATGCATATTAGCCTTACAATGAATATCTATCTATAGATTATAAAAAATGAAAGTCAAGTGATCAATGCCCTCCTACAGTCGGTTACACTGCTTCAAAGGCAAGCAGTTAAACCTGAAATATAAGAAATCTAAATAATGTTGTGCAATAATATATAGAAAAATATATTCATATTGCACACGAATGACATTTGTACAGTATATGTCAGTATATGATAACCAAACCTGTCTGGCCCAGTTATCTACTCCTGACGTCGTAGATCTACGACTTCTGGAGTAGATAACTATGGTTTGCCAACCTACCCTATGTATGCACGTGTTGTTTACGGGTGTATAGGCATTAATTACGCCCATGTAAACGTGAAATTACGCCCATGCAGACGTAATTTACGCCCGTGTAGGCGTTAATTACACCCGTTAAGAAGTGAATTCTATACGCGTTAAAACAAATACAGGCGTAAACTAACGACGTTAAAATGTTCAATAGCGGGCGTCAAGACATTATCTAACACCAGTTGAAAAATATCTATACGCCCGTCGAGTTCATTTTAGCGACTTGAATAATGAACCAATCAGCATCTTGCTTACATAATGATACAATGCATTCTAGCTAAAAGATCAACTCCAAGATCCTTGTGCAAGTTAATAACATACTCATGATTGTGCCAGGAACAACTGTTGCAATTGAAGGCATATGAAATATTATTTATTTTCTGGGTATCTCGGTGCACTAATTGTGCAAATATGAAAGATGTACATCATATATTAAATGAGTTATATTCCTGGAAATAACATGTGACGGCTGCATAAAGATTCCAAAAAGTACACATCTCCCTAACACCAAATTTGAACATATGTTGGCTAGGTATACTAGGTATATACAGTAGGCTCATCTGACATTTTCAGTACATTTTCAAAAAATGCCAGATCTGCAGGATATAGCTTTACTCAAGAGTCAATTTGCAGTTGATCAGATACTATAATTCTAGTATCTGAACACATCCTTTAGAGGGATACATTAGCGATCTGACTGTATAGTGAGACTGTAACCTGCAATGCATGTGAGCTTAATAAGTCCCTATCTCTGAAGCCGCCGCCTAGATTGGAGAATTATCCAAAAAATCATCGTATTTAGAAACCAAACATGTATACCTTCCAAAAATATAAGTTGCAATTTTGTCGTTTCTACAATGGGTGTTGATAACTGCCAACACAGTACATGTCTCTTCAATTTGCCTTTTAATTTGCTCTAACAATTGAATACTTCTTTGGTTATATCTAACAATCTTGAATGAATATTTAAGGACCTCAATGCAACACACTAAAATGTAAGCAGGCTTCTGATTGTTATTTACTTGGGCAAGGATCTTGGAGTTGCTCTTTTAGCAAGGATGCATTAAATCATTATGTAAGTAAGGTTCTGATTGGTTCATAATTTACGGCGCTAAAAATAAACTCGACGAACTGAAGATGTTTCTCAGCGCGTGTAAAATAACCGTCTTAACGCCCGTAATTAATCATTTTAACGCCGTAAGTCCACGCATGTTAAGGTGCTATGGAAGTTAACAGGAAATGACAAAACAGGAAGTGACAATTTTTTTTGCATTTTTAGATATTTTTTGAATAAAGATAACAGAGTTCTGGTTTGACCTCCAGTCAATTTAACTATTGCCACATATCATTTACATGACCAGGATCACAATGTGCATGGTCAGAATGACCCTAAACATGATGAAATAACCTTTTTAGCCCTTTGAAAGTGTGACTGAAAAAAGGCTAAAAGTAGGAGCGTAGGGAAGGTCACTGAACAGAATCTTTTGAATTTTTCAGAAAATGTGCCCAATATATTGCTCTAAATGATACAATCTTTGAAAATTTGATATCATTCATAGAAAAAGAAAAAAAAATGAAAAAACTGATTTGAAAAGCGATCTATTTTCCTTTTTATGACCGCCATTTTTGTTTAAGACAATTTTCTAAAATTTCAAAGATTGTACTAGTTAGAGCATTATATTGGGCACATTTTCTGAAAAATTCAAAAGATTCTGTTCAGTGACTATTCCTACGCTCCTACTTTTAGCTTTTTTTCAGTCTTCAAAGGGCTAAAAAGGTTATTTCATCATGTTTAAGGGTCATTCTGACCATGCACATTGTGATCCTGGTCATGTAAATGATATGTGGAAATAGTTAAATTGACTGGAGGTCAAACCAGAACTCTGTTATCTTTATTCAAAAAATATCTAAAAATGCAAAAAAAATTGTCACTTCCTGTTTTGTCATTTCCTGTTAACTTCCATAGCACCTTAATGTTATCTGAACGCCCGTAGAATTTACTTCTTCACGGGCGTATTATTTAGGCTGTATGACATTTGGAATCAAACCTAACCTAGATCCAAAGCCTGATGCTCTAAGCTACTGACAGAGCTACATAACTTAGCTAGAAAAGATATGGACAATAGATCTAAAAGGACAAACTGATTGCAATAAAACATAACAAAATAAAAATGCACAGAATCAAAACAAAAATGACAGGTCCCTGAACCTTGACCAAGGAGGATTGGCTCCCAGAGTGCACCACCGATATTCTGTCCCATATATGGGTATGTCGTAATACAAAATTCGAATTCAAACAGCCGCCATTTTGTTCACTTCAACATTTAAATCGTGAATTTTGGTCTTATTTCCAAACGAAAAATTCCAAAACTCACAAGAAATGATCGAGATATTGGTTCGAATCTTTTGAACTGTTTATTTTGAATTTATAGTCGGTTTTAATTTCAGAAAATAACGACATTTCGACGTTTTCATTGTTGGAAAATATCGAGTTTCGATCCTGGGAGCCAATCCTCCTTGAACCTTGACCTAGAATTTTAATTTTCAGATTTTTTCGAAATCCAAACCTAGTTTTCATATTGCTGCAGACTCCTACAAGCATAGTTCATATAAATGTTACAAGACATTCGTACTAAGTTGATGAGTACTTTCAGTTGTATTCGAGTCCATACAATACACATTTATTGAGAAATTACCTTGGTCATTCCGACACCGACAACGAAAACTCTTCTCTTGGGCGCAGACATCTTGGAATTTGACCTCAAAGCCCGGATGTGAACTATTTCCAAAGAATATTTTATTAATACGCCAAATTTAAAGTGTCTTTCAACTTAATCATAAGAGTAAATATGGATTTTAACTTATTAAAATAGTTTCTCTGTATTAATTACATAATGCTGGTTGTATGTATATGGACTATTGATTTAGGATAATGATCGAAGGATTTAATTCTAAATCGCAACCATAGAAATAATGGGTAAACTGGCTCAATAACTTTTGGCGCGTTTATTGTTGTTTTTCTGTACTTAAATTCCCCATTTACTCTTAATTTGTCATTCGGATCACTAATTAATGGTGGCACTCCATATCTACGTATGCTGATCTTACAGTATGAAAAAAATAAAACAAATCGGCTTGATGAAACATCTGTAACGAGGACTTCATAAGTGAGTATATTTTTTAGAATTTTTTTCAAAAATATTCAATTCCAATGTCATATTGTGGTCTAAACTTAGCCTACATTCATATATCATTCATCCTCCGTATTCTTAATTTAACATTAATTGACACAATGTCAAATCCTTGACAGTGCTGTTTTTAAACTTGTGCTTCCTTCAATCCAATTTAGTCGAAGGCATTGTTAAAAAAAACTCAAAAATGTCCAACTGTTTTGCATTTTTTGAAGATTTGCATGAAATAAAGGCCCTTGCACATCAGTTCAAACTTTTGTTGGAAATTACTAGAATGAGCAAACCAATTCAAACTCCATTCATATCAAATAGTCGGGTACATTTCCTAATTAGGATATATATATTGCGAATACCAGTGCTGTCAACCCCCAAAGATTTTCTCACAGGACAGATTTTTTAGACCCAGTGCCCAAAATTTGTGGGACATCTAACTAAATTCGTGGGATTTGCGTGATTGCCCTAGGCCAAATTTTGATCAAATTTGCGGGACCATTCGAGGGACGAACACGCTAATTTCGGGACAGTTAACAGGGTAACCACCAAAGATTTCATATATAGAGGCATACCGGAATAGCCTGACAACGGTAAAGTCAGATAATGTTGTCACAAATGACCGACATAACTTTTGCTTCAACTGTTTAATCATTTGGTCCTCATTTCATGGGATTACAGATTTGTTTAAATCTATCTGCGGATCTTTGTAATTTCCATAAAAGTTAGAACTGATGAGCAAGCGCCTTATCTAATCAGCAGAATCAAAGAATGGTTGACAAATAGGCTATGTAGAGTGACAACATTACCTCTGTATTCCAGAGCTGTCAAGTGTCCCGCAATATCTAGCGAAGTCCCGCAAATGTCGGCTTTGACCTCCGCAAATTTCCAAAATTGTTGCAATCCCCTAGGCTTAAGGTTCAGCTGGAAAGTAACATTTTGGTAAAAAAATGCTATACCTGCACATGTTATTTTCTGGTTAAAAATTAAGTATGAAAGCATGTGTATATTTCCTTGCTTTTTTTTCAGGAAAGTATCATTTCATTATCTACTTTGAGTAAACCTGGAAACAGGTCAATGGTAGCTCCTGTGTTGTCTGGAAACTAGGGGTGGGACGGATAACCGAAATACCGAAAAACCGCGGTTCATAGCCTTCGGATCGGTTTATGGATCACGGCCCTACTTTCGGATCAGCTTTTCGGATCGTTTTCGGATTAATATTTCATTGGTCAAGTATCAATAAAACAGTTAAAAACACTGTTTTACAGCAAGATTTTTGATATTCCTAGTCCCTACCTTGTCTGTCTTGTCACTTGCTAGCTCACTCGTTTACTAGATTGGTTTAGTATCCGCGTATTCGTATCCCTCGGTAATCAATCATGTGGTCCCTGGTACTATATTCTTTAGTCGTGTATTCTAAATAATATGTATTGTTCATGAAATACTATAACATAAAATTCCATCTATAAAATATTGTTATAACAAAGACAAAGCGGCTAATCATGTCAATCAATACAAATCCTTAAAATGAATGAACCGAACAGAAAAAACCGAACCGACGGCTGATGATCCGAAAAACCGAACCGAACCGTCCCATCCCTACTGGAAACTGAAAGAAAATTTGGAAAAATAGAAAGTGTGAAATATCAGAATTTCCTGGAGTTCCCATTGACCTCTTACCAGATCTACATAAAGAAGACAATGTAATGATACTTTCCTGAAAAAAGCAAGGAAATTATTTAAAACATGCCTTCATACTTTATAGTGTACCAGAAAATAACATGTGCAGGTATAGCAATTTTTACCAAAATGTTATTTTCCAGCTGTACCTTAATAATTGTGATTATCTTGTCAAATAAGAAGCTAAGTTTTTTGTACTTTTGAGGAGTATTTAGTTTACCTGATTTGAAAAGTGCTGCCAAACTCCCAGTGCATCAGATCATCAAAGACTGCTTTTGGAAAGAGCATATAGTCCATTTAAAAAACTGATTTTGATCCAAATAATACCATAGGCTTCTCAAGTGCCTAGTATGCCATTATTTGGTATCAAAATAAATAGGAAGAGTTCAACTTTCATTTTGATTAAGAAAATAGGGATGTAGGTCACAAATAGTTCCAAATTTTGCCTTTTTACTATGCGTGTGGCCTTCATCTCAGAACCGAGCAAATGTTAGCAAATGCGAGTTACAATAAACGGACACCGATATCCCGAAAAGAAACCTGACTCCCTGACTGATGTAGATTAATCAAACCCCTATATGAATAGGTACATTTTATATAATATATAACGGGGGTAAGCGTTTCATAGTTGGTCACGAACGCCATAAGTGCAAAGTATTGTTTAGATTTTTTTGAATTTCGTGTTGGATTACGGTACATTTTCAGCGGGCTGTAAAAGGTATTTCATCATGTTAAGGGTCATCCTGGTCCTGTAAATGATATGTGGAACTATTTGAATTGACTGGAGGTCAAAACAGAATGTTATCTTTGTTCAAAAATGTCTAAAAATGCTACATTTTTTGTCATTTCCTGTTTTGTCATTTCCTGTTAAGTACCACTGCACCTTAACTTGTTTTATATCTCTAATTTCTTGAACAAAGTAATACACTGTATTTCATACCTACCAAGGTTCTAGGAACATAACGAAGGGGGATATATTGTGTATCTAGGGAGCTATCGCCAAGATGCGGGACCAGGATGGATACACGCTGTACCCATCCCGGTCCTGAAAAAGAGAATTTAGGTCCTGACTTATGTTTTACTCAACTATCGAAATAAAGATTATATTTCAAACTTATGCCGTATATTTTAAATTATAATTCTGATTCATTGAACTATAACTCACAAACTCAAAACGACCTTTTAAGTAGTGCTTGCAACGGTAATGGATCTCACTGCCGGTAAATTTCACCTCCATTACCTTACCGTTACCGATAATCGTTGATACTGATAATGTTCCTAAAATCCCGGGGAAAAATCTGTTAAAATATTTGGAAAAATCCTTAACGAAGCCGATTTCTCAGCTTGATTTCCCGCTCACATCAACTACAGTGGATATATTGTATCATCGTGTATCTCGTGTGTGATTGTGTATTGTTAGGAAGTCTTTGAATGATAATATAGAGTGAATTCGATCAAAATTGATCAAATTATTTGTGTTTGTTTTTACTTCACCGAAATATCACGTCACGTGATTTGTTAATCTCGCGGCATGGGAGATGATTGACAGAAGTGGGCGGGGTTTTGCTTATCCTCCCGCCTTTTACGAATGATTTGCAGTTGATTGACAGATTAGCTCTTCAAATGTGGAGATTGAAATATACATGATTGATAAAATATTCTTAAACGAACATTGTTTCGTAAATTTGACAATGGATCGCAATGCCAATCATGTTGCAGCAGCATGTCGATTATCGGCAATGGATTTTATTACCGGCAATTGAGAGTATCTACTGCCGCTGCCGACAATCCGGCATTACCGTAAGGCACTACTTTTAAGACTAAGAAAATACGTACAGTTTTGAATTTGGGAACTTTATGAGTTACTGTGAACCTAAAACCTCAGTAGGTATGAAATACATCTGTTATGTATGGTCTGTTATTGATTCAGGGTTTATCCCTCAGGAAAAATGTGTATCTCCCTTGGGATAAACCCTGTATCCAAAACCTCCCAGTACATATCCCTTATGTATTATACACTAGACTATTATTTTACTATTCCAGACTGAAACACCATGAGTGCCATGATGAATGGGGAGGTACCCAGTGTGCCCATTACTACTTTAGCTGGAATCACAAGTCTTACAGATCGTAAGTACATGTATACATATTTATTTTTAAGTCACCAACAAGAAGTGGTGGCATATTGTTATGGTCTCCATTTTTTGGTGGTTGGTGGTTAGCGATCGGCATATGTAACAAATTCTTAAAACTTCCAATAACTTAACAAATACTGCTTAGACTAACTTCAATTTATTTTCAAATCAACTCCCAATTTTCAGAAGTTAAAATCTGACTTGACATTTCAGATTTGACCTTGAATGACTTTTTGGCTCACAGAGTGAGCCTATGGGATCGACCAGGCATCCGTCCGTTGGTCCGTCCGTTGGTCTGTCTGTCCGTTGGTCCATCCGTCAACATTGGCCGAACAAATTAAAACTGCTATTCCGAATTCGGATTGCGTCATATCCACATTCATTTTATGCATATCCATAATGCCTATTTGACCTATCATCGCCATTTCCCAAGTTCGCCCGGTTTCCGAGAAATTGGGGATTTTGACATCAAAAAGTCAAATTTTCTGTAAATACTAGACACTTTGTTGAAGTAGAATTTTCAAATAACTTTTAGTAGTTGCTGTATATGCAACGTATGTCCTCTGAAGATTTCAAAGCTCTTGGAATTACAGTTTTTGGTGTTTTGGCATTTTCCGGAAAATTTCTCATGTATAAAGTCAATGGCAGGTTTTGTGATTGACAAGTTTCTCAAGGTTTGCCTTATACTTGATCATTTCTTGCAATGAATTACATCATTACTAGATTTAAGCATTCCCTACATATTGCTCAATATATGTCAGCATCAAATTTTTACCTTTTTTGAGATATTTGACGTCAAAAAACAGTAAAAATAAGTTATTTTTCAACTTGCTTCAATTTGACCAAATTTTTTTTGAAAATCATCTACAAGTTGCCAGGAGTTCGAATCTGACATTAGTTTTAGGATTTAACCTTTAATTGACCTTCAGTGACCTTCGAAAGGTAAAAAAGTGGACTTTTCAAATTGATTTTTGGATGTAAATTTTGGTCAGCTTAATCACAAAAGACCTTACTGAGCTCTGAATAAGTAAAATTTTCAAGGTCAAAGGTCATCAAACTAGGTCACACAACTGTGCTATCTAAGTTTCTCAAAGTTCGAGACTACAAATCCAAATCAATATTTTTGTTTGAAAGTCAGGATATACATGTACATTCCTCTGAAGGTTCCAAACTGTGTGAGCACAGGACCGTGGGTCCTATTTTTTAAGTAACTTGCTTCCAATTGACCATTTTTTTTAAAAATCAACTACAAGTTATCAGAAGTTCAAATCTGACTTTAGCTTTAAGATTTGGCCTTCAATGACCTTCTCAAGGACAAAAAGGTCATTTTTCAACTTGCTTCAAATTGACCAATTTCTTTTCAAAATCAGCTACAACTTCTCAAATGTTCAAATCTGGCTTTAGATTTGAGATTTCACCATCAATTACCCACTCGGGGTAAAAAAACTTGTTTCAAAGTTCAAATCTGAATATAGATTTGACCTTTAATGACTTTGGGGTCAAAAAAGTTTTCAGAAGTTAAAATCTGACTTGACATTTCAGATTTGACCTTGAATGACCTTCAAATCTGACTTCAGTTAAGATTTGGCCTTCAATGACCTTCTCAAGGACAAAAAAGGTCTTTTTCAACTTGCTTCAAATTGACCAATTTTTTTCAAATCATCTTGAAGTTCTCAGGATTCAAATCTGGCTTTAGATTTGAGATTTCACCATCAATTACCCACTCAGGGTAAAAAAACTTGTTTCAAATTGACCCTTTTTTTCAAAATCATCTACAGTTCTCAGAAATTCAAATCAGACTTAAGATTGAACTAATAATATTGTTAGCAACCAGGTGGTGACATTTTGTCATGTTAATGCCTTGTTTAGTGCTGGCTTTTGACTATAGGCTGAATCATGTGTACCATTTTTCCAGATATGTACTATTCTAAGATATTTAGAGAATCTTCAAAAACTTGTATGCATACCTATTGCAATTATCAAGGATAACTTTATGATTTCCATAAAGAAATTACATACTCTTACATAATGTTTCACTGTGTCTGGTTACCAGCATAAACTGACCTGGAGTCCCTCCACGTTGGCCTAAAAGGCTCATAGTTGACACCTTGTACATCACAAGCAGACTAAACATAACTCAACAGTCACCAAGTTCATTATTTATTCCAGTTCTACCAGAACTTCCATTGCCCTCCCCACTACCACAGACAGTTAACAACAAGAGCCTGCTGTTCCATCCCAAGGTAGCTGATGATGCACGTAGACTACTGGCCTCAACAGATGAGAACATCGTGTCTCAACTAGTGAATGCTTTGTCACAAACAAATACCAATGATATGTAAGTAACAGTTGTCTTTAGGATGATGGTAATAATAAATTATCAATATCATACTTAAAAGAGATTGCCATGGGTGCACTTTTATTAAGGTTGCATTTTGGATGATAATCTGTCAGTTTGTAATTAGTGAAGGTAATTTCAACTGAAGATCATTCAACTGATAAAAAACAGAACTATTTTTTACATGACTTTATTTTTTCAGTGAATTGAAAGATAAAGCCCTGGGTAGTGATAGTATACAAGGGGATGTACCAGACCTTCTCAGAGCTATTTTGGCCCAAAACTCAAATGTATTCAAGGGAGGAAGAGAAAATCGTAAGTTGTACACTGTACATTTATTTTCTTATGCAGTCTGAAAAAGCATGCATGCAAAATAATAAGTAGTATTTAAGATGCCTTAAATTGAAAATAAGAGATGGATTCCCCTTTATCAATAAAATCCAATGCATAATGATAATAAACTGTTCAAGCAAAAATGAAAAAACATTTTGTATTGTAGATGTGCCAGTGAGATCCCCCTACTACCAGCAACAGTCCCCCTACCAGGCTGGTCAAGTGTCGCCCTTTCAACCATCCAGCCCAGCAAGGTATGGACATTGGCAGCATTATTATCATATTTTGCCTTAAATTCTGTTCTGGGTTTAAATGGAAATAGAATAACTGTACATTTTTAATGTAATATTTCTTAGTATGAAATAAATCTTTAAAGAATTGTAAACTTTGCAGGTACCAGCAGCCAGGTTATGGAAGTCCTAATAGGTACCCCCAAACTTCTCAAGGTATCCCACCACAAGGCTTAGACATGTACCAGAAACAGTTCTCAAACTTTGCATCACCTCAGCCAGGTAAATAATATACAAACCCATTTAGTAGATTCACTGTCCAAACTAGCAGACTTGAATTTGAATTAAATTCATTTGGATGTTCAATGGACATGGGAAGCAGTGGGTAGATTTTGCGCCTTGTGTGGTATCAGTTATATGCTTAATGTAATTAATTCATCATTTATGTTGTGATTTGGATAAAACTTGCATCATCATCATGAAGTCATCTATTAAAGTGCATTGAGTTATTAATACCTTCAGAAGTGAACTGGCTCAGTTGTAGACTGTGTCATTTTTTATTATATTACGTTAGATGTAATATAAACAATTCTCCCAGTTCACTGAAATGGTACAGATTAACAACTGTTTTGTAAGTCCAAAGAAAACAGCTGTTGATTCTAGAGGTGAACATGGCTTAGTTACACACCTCTGATTGTCTTGTCAGAATTAAGTATTTTGAGTGAGATTTTAACACATGCATTTTTTGTAGGAGGGACTATGAATGGAGGTGTGCCAGTACCACGTCCCTCACAAGGAACCTCTCAGTCATTTCAAGGTACATAACAGAGAATATAAACTACATGATGTATCATAAAGAATTCAGATCTAAATTAATGGACCAGTTTCACACTGATCATGTATTACCTATAATTGTTGAATTATTTTCCACCTAAATAATTTACGGGATGTTTTCTAAGAGATCAATATTCATGCCAGACCCCTTTGTAGGTAGTTTAAGAGGTACTTTTTGTCCTATCCACATTTCTGCTTTTGTAATTTAATTAAATAACAATAAAAGCAATATCAGAAAAACTATTGCAAAATTCACTGTGAATTGAATAATGTACAGTATTCAAGAACAAACAATCTTTCCATTCAATCTTAATAATGTCTGTATCAGAAACACATGTATATCTTTTCAATTCTTCTAGGCACTCCTCAGACTGTAGTCTCACCACCTAAAGATGTCATCCCTAGAGACATGGAAGAGGTGGAAGTCTTAGACCCAGAAACAGGGGCAATAAAAAAGCAACTTGTTCCAAAAAAGTCCTCATCTACCAAAAAATCATCAGAACCCTCATCTTCTCGGAAAAAATCAACAGAATCATCTGACCATTCAACTACAGATCTTAAATCTGAACATTCATCATCTATCAAGAAATCTTCAGATCACCAATCTTCTAGGAGAAAGTCCTCGGAGCCAGTAGTCATGTTAAAACCTCTTGATGCTGATGTAAGTCTATGTGTCTGTAATTAATATTTTATATATTATATAATTATTAATATTTTATATATTAGATAATTAATGTAGGTAACATTAATATTTAGAAATAAGGATACTCTAACTCAGTTAATCTGCATTATCTTTACCTGGGACTAAAATGTAGTTAATCTTTAATTATTAAAACTAAAAAATGAATATATTTATTTTATTTAATTTTGTGTCCAATTAAGGGTCACAAATTTTTAAGATAAGATTTTTATAATAGGAAATTGCCAAACAGTTGTCTAAGCACAAATCCAAGAAATCCAGTCACAGTGATAAATATAGAGACAGAGATGGTCATAGCTCATCTCATAGAGATAGAGATAGGCACAGCTCCTCTAAAAGAGAAGAAGACTTGTCTACACAGGTATAGATATTGATGAAATATTAATTGCTATCTGCATAAAGGAGACAAAATAAAATAATAAGAATATACCTGATTTAAGAATGAGAATATAAGAATATTGATAAGAATATATAAGAATATACCTGAATACGAGGGGTGATCCAAAAGTCTTGGACGCCCTGCTCTAATTTTGTTAGTTTTTGATAAAATTACTTTAATCTTTCCAATGATAAAGACCAACAACCTAACTACTTTGTGTGTTAATTTCATGGAGAAATTATATATTTGATGTAGTTTTCTAGATAGTTTTTAATATAGGCACCCTGCCACCCGGAACGGTATTCACACATGACAACTTTCAGCCCTAAATGTTCCCGCCATTTCACTTGTTTCGAAAGTCTTGACCACTATCTTTCTTTGAATTTTGAATATTAAACCATCTTAGTTTACTTCCTTTGTTATTAAGCAATCAATTAATTGTGTTTTGATTATCATGTCATATATGACAATGGCTGTATATGTTAAATTCTAAGAAAATGACATCAGACAAGCAACCCTCATTCTGGTATCATTTTTGCTCCAAGATGGCTGCTGAAATGGAGAACATGAAAGAAATCAAAGTGGAACAAAGTATACTACGAGATATTTTCACTTTTATTGACCATGAACAGCTACCATATGCACCATACAGTCTTATGGCTCTGTGTGATTTTCTTCCTTTTCTCCAAGTTGAAAGAAGGGTTGAAAGAAAAAGTTTTTTACTCATTGGATGAGGTTTAGAGTGGCACCCTAGCAGCATTTGTATCACATAAGCAATGGCGGTTTCATAAATGTCTTCCATTCTTCGGTAAAGTGGTATGAAAAATGTGTTCAAATTCATGGAAAATATGTTGAAAAGTAGGTCTTAATATGTAAAGATGATGATGGCAGATGACACTCAGATTGAAAATTGGAAATTCTCTCATATCATGACTGGTGTTAGGTTGTGCACCTGCACCTCAAGTGTTTGCCATATTATAACAGTTGTGATGTGATTTGCTTTTTTCAAATACCGTTCCGGGTGGCCGCGACCCGGTATTAAAAACTATTTAGAAAAGTAGCTAAAATATATCATTTTCTGTTGAAACTTGTACACAAAATTGTTAAGATGTTGATCTTTATTATCTAAAAGTTTCATGTAATTATGTTAGAAAATAGCAAAGTTAGAGCGGGGCGTCCAAGACTTTTGGATCACCCCTCGTATATAAGAATATACCTGATTTGGGATCATTATTATTATTGATATATAAATTCAGTTCTCATTTAATACTGTATTGAATTCACGAGACCTTGATATGAAAAAATCTTGAACATTTTACAGTAGGTTAAATCATGATGTATACAGTTAATGTGTAGAATGCATACTATTGTAGTCAACCACTGATAACATGCAAGTTATAATTAAAGGTGATCATGTCTTCTCAATTTTGTTTATTTATTTTCAGTATCAAGGCCTCAAGTTAATGTCTCCATCTGTAAAATGTAAGTATGGGTAAATATTAAATGCAACAACATTGTGATGAATTATTTATCAATATGCTGTTCTGTGAAGAATCAAATTGTATTTCCTCCACAAGCAATTCAGTACAAACTTAAAAAGATTGTATTTAAACTCTTTTCATATATTTTGTGCAAGATATTCTTTCACAATGATTGTAGAGTAGGTGCAGTTAATCCTATATATACTGTGCCAAAATTATGGTATTAGACACAATGGTCCCAGGAGGACTAGTGTCCATGTGCCCAAATGAACCATTCCCCAACTTGCCACCAAAAATCTGATTTGGGATCAGTAAACTTGGTGTTAACTTGTCAAGGGAGTTGTCCAAGAATCCATTTCACTACTTTGAATCTTTGCCTGAAAGGTAATCAATGTTGGATGAACATCTGTATATTAGACTATAGATGTAGATTTAACTTCATCACTTTAAATACTAGCTTCGGAAGATAAGGAAAATGTAGGAAGAGGAAAGGGCAGAAGAACAAGGGGCAAAAGGGTAACTTGGGAGCCCCAAATGAAGAAGATCCAAACAAATGAGGAACATGCTCTTAACAAAGACAAATCAGAACACATTTCACCAAAGAAAACCAACAAAACAAAAAAGAATCAAACTTTGAAAACATCCCAGAAGAAAATATCTCCCAAGACAGTTGTCAAAACAAGATCACAAAATGAGAAAAATGAACCTTCTGATGGTTTGTTTAGTTATGGCTAATCTAAATTAATTAATATGAGTTGGATTTCCTAAAAAATGAACAATCGTTTGCCACAATCCAAATGCTTTTCCCTGATCTGGAAAAGTTGGGAATTTCAGAATTTTCTCCAAATTAGTTAGATATTAGAAGTTTGAGTAATGTTAGGGAAATTTATGAAAATGGGATCACTAATTGAAAAAACAATTGAATTTTGGAGTCTCAATAAATTCCTCAATGTATACTTGACCATGATTTCTTCTTTTCTCGGTTCAACTTAATTAAGAATACATGTAGAAGTGAACATGAAAATGAAGAAATTTTATTATTGAAATGTTATGGTAAATGGATAGATGTATTTGCAATTTTTTGAAATTGTAAACTATTTTAGCAAATCCAATGAAGCTTTTAATCGACCAGTTTTCTTGTTGAGTTTTGATATTATTTGTTTGTTTTGGTTTTTTGTTGTTTTTATGTTTAGTTTTCCATGTCACTATAACTGTTTACTAGGGGTGAGACGAGTCGAAAAAATCCGATTCGAGTCGAATCCGATTCGAGTCAGAAAATGACGATTCGAGTTTCGAATCCGTTTCGAGTCGCGAAAGTGCGAACAACATCGCTTTTGACCGTTCGTATTTTTAATGCGTCAATGGTGGAAAGCCGGAAATATAAACAAACACAATTTGTCGTAAGTTTATTCTGATTTTATTACATATATTCTTTCATTTATGTGTACATACAATATAATAATTTAATACAAGCATATCCAAGTCATTGAAACTTATATATTCAACGCAATATCAAGTAAAAACATGCATATTGACAGTATTTTTCTGAATTTTTTTATTTTTTCGAATTTTTTTCTCAACTCGAAAATGATTCGATTCATCAACTTCGACTCGATTCGACTCGACTCGAAGCCCCAAACCCGCGAGTCCTCGACTCATCGGGTTGTCGTCTCACCCCTACTGTTTACTGCTATTGATTGATATCTATCACCATTTTTATAATACCTTTTTAGGCATTAGAGTTGATATATTTTGGGATATTTCTGGAGCAGTAGATTAACTAAACATGTACTAATTATTAATATTTGTCTAGACTACTTCATACAGAGAAGTATGAATTTGATTTAAGCCTCACATCTTATATTTCATTTTCATTGTAAATAGAAATGTTTTCTTATCTGAACGTTTGTGATTTTTAGTATTGAGGATTGATCCCAAAGATGAGAAGATGATGCGGGATTTAAAGAGAAAGCATTCAGGATCTGACAGTAAATCAGGTGAGTGTTGAGGATCTGGCAGTATGATCTGAAAATATGACATAGTATCGGCAAATTATTTGCTGTCATTTAATCACTTGCATAACACTCCTTACATGAATTGAGAAGTATTTTATATGATTTTGATAGATGCAATTCCAAGTGCATTCCAAGTGTCAATAATATCCATATATTTATAATAAAAAATAATGGCATGAAAATAACATAAAACTTTTTATGTGGCAAAGGTAAAATACAATCATTTTTTCAGCTAAAAGAAGTAAATATGATGAACATGATGAGTTTGATGCCTATGGTGGCTTTGCCCCTTCTTTGACTGAAAGGATAAAGAGTAGACGGAGAGGAGCGGCGCCATCTTTTGAGAAGACCAAAACACCTGAAAAACGACGTCCAGTTATAGAATCTAGTAGTGAGTCAGAAATGGAATGTAAGTGTCTTATATGATTGATTTGATTTCATACCAGGTTGATCAATAATTTTTGAGAAAATGCCTCTTTGATAAGAGTTAATGATACATTGGAGGTGTTTGATGCTTTGTGATTTGAATTTGTCTCTTTATGAATTTTTTTCTTTTTTCGATATTGAGGAAATCAATTGTTTTTCTAATTTAATGTATCTTTTCAATTCGTGGTCCAATGTTCCTTATTCTATTTTTTTCTATTGATGCAAGTTTGAAAAAACTTCATGATGTCTAATTTTTGAGACGTGTATGGTTGTTTGATATCCATATTTACAGCGAGTAATAAGGAAGGAAATATTAATGAGCCAAGAAAGTCTTCAAGGATTAAGATCAACATGGCACAGAAGTTTGGTTTGTGATTGCTGTAGATAAAAAGTTCATATGTTGTTTCTGATCTTTCTTTTCTTTTTAAGATTTCCAAACTGTTCAAGTGCTGTAAAGTATTTTGTGGTTCTATTGTTAACAAAAATTGATCTTTTTTCACTGAACTACATTTTTATGTCACCACCACCAGCAGTTGGTGATCAGCGATTGGCGATCGGTGTCTGTGACAATATTGTGAGCAACTAAGTGGTGACATTTTGTCATGTTAATTCCTTGTTTAAAAGCGTGTTTCTGGCAAGCTGAAGCTGAAATAGCAAATGGCAAGCTGAAATAAGTAAATGTAAAAAATTTATGTACAATTAATATTTCAGATGCACCAAGAAAAAAGGAGAAAAAGAAGAAATCGAGGCGGCAGGTCCAATCAACATTGACCATAGAGGAATTAATGGAGACTCCACAATTTAAGCGTTTCACTCATGCCATAGAGACAGTCATAGAAAATGCAGAGGATGTCGACCTCACTGGAATTGACTTAGGTATTTAAGCTTAGCACAAAACAATTACAAAATTAAAAAATGACCCAATTATATATTGCTCATTTACAAAAAACAGTACTACAAAGAAATGAATGAGAGCAATATTTCTGTATTATTAATATTTCAGATGACCCTGATGCTGAAGCTCCTCCTGAAGCCCTCATTCACAAGAGTTTACTTAATGATCTTGCCAATGAAGCCGCCAAACTTAAGTCCATGAACGTTGTAAACCAGGTACTAGATTTCGTATGTTTAGTTCATGTATTCTGAGGTTGCTATGTAATGACGTGATTATCCAAATATTGTTTCCTTTGATGTTTCAAGGTAACCAGTTGACACATTTGGTGTTGAGAAGCCAGCTTAAAAGCTTTAAAGTCCCCGTCTAAAGTTTGAAAATATTTTTTTATCATTCATTTACTATTTGTCAGGACTTAAAAAGTGATTTTAGAGATTTTTGAACAAAAAAAAATTTTGAAAAAAAAGTTGTGAGCATTTTATTTCTCTAATATTCAAATTTCCCGCCATTTTTCAAAAAAAGTTGAAATTTCTTAATCATCAAATATTTCTTAATGCATTTCAAAAAAGATTATCTTTTTAACACCAATGCAAAGATTGAACAAAAGACACACTATTTCAATAATAAAATGTCATGTTTAATGGGCCACTTCAATGTTTTAGCTTATCAAAAATATTTTGAAACATTAGTGATGTCACTAAGGTAACAAAAACTTTTTGAAAAAAATTGAATTTTTTTTTTCGATGTCAAGCTTTTCTAAATATGCTAGACTTTCATAAAAAACAAATGTTGATTGTCTAACCAGGTTAAAAGGAAGAATAAATTATGTTTTAGATATTATTGTACCATTGGTTTCTATGAGAACTAAAATTTTGAAACGCATTTTTCTCAGAACCATTTTCATGCACTGATAAGTTCATTTCTCGCTTGTTTATCAACCGATTTTCTTAATTTTTTCGGCAAAAAACATAGGAGGATGAATGCTATGCATTGGTATGAATTGTGGCTTATTAAAAGATATGAGTGACCTCTAAAAGTTGGTTTTAAATAAATTCACAAATTTTGGAACAAAAAGTCTATCAAAAACCACTTTTTGAAATTAAAAAAAAAAGTTTCACATATCACACTTTGATAACATTGGGTAAGACTACAATATAAGCCAAAGTGGTTTAAACTTTACATGGGGCCTTTAACGCTTTAAAAGGCAGCATTCTTAGTATCAGTTTAGTATCAGTTTAAGTGCTGATTTATACAGTTGTAATAAAAATCTGTGCATCCAACGGTGAGATCTAGATCTCTTAACTTCAACTCAAGTCTGTTGTATTTTTGAGTATTTTCAGTGATCATACCGGTTTGTATATTGAAATAAGCATAAGCTTATATTTCATTTTACCTTTCAGGTTCCGTCAGATAGACTTGTTAAACTACTCACCATACTGCAGATCAACATAAGAGATGGTGCAAAACTCATGCCATATTTAGGAGGGGTATGTTAATTCAATCTTATTAGAACGAAGGCTATAATAATGGCCATAGTTAAATATGCATTACAGTAAAACTTTGAAGCACAATGAAATAAAAAAAATGAAATAATTTTTAAATCTTCTTTTCCAGTCAGGGGAGGTAATATTTAGATATATGTAGATAAGAATGTTTTTGTTTAGACCATTTTATGTTTAATCCCACCAAACAAAATTCAAAATGGTAAAAAAGTGTTTGTTCAAAATGGATGAGTCCACTATTACTTGGTTATTTCCCTCATTAAATGTGTTAAAAGTGATTTGATCAAATATGTATTGTTTTTGGGGATTTGCTATTCGTTGGAATGGCTGTTTTTCAAGTTCAAATTAAGAAACATTGTACTTGCATATCATTTTATCAAATTGTATGTACATGTACCTGTAATTTTTGATGTATAAACTTTTCTTTTAAAACAAAAATGTTTGAAAAGATCCTTTCAACTAAGAATCCATAACAATTTGATATCAAGATGTTAGTGCAGTTCTACCTGAAAAACTGTTGTATTAAACACTTCGTTAAAACACAGAAAAGTGCTTTGTTAGCTACAGCTGAAATAATGTTGTTTACCCTTTTCATAACTTACACATTTGGTCCATATTAAAGGTGCAATAATTAGTGCAGAGGGGTCATTCAACGATCATAGACCAGTGTCAAAATATATTTAAGTTTGGATATTTCATCAAGACTAACATCTATTTTTTTTATTATCTACAAAGAAACCCCTTTAGATAAACATTATTTTAGCTGATATTCCTCTTGAAACATGGTGGATCTTAAAAATGTAAAAGTGGAAGTCCCCTTTTTGAAGCTTTGAACTGAATTTACACTTCTTAATGCTGAAATTGATAATTTATCCATACATTTTAAGAAAATAGGTATGTCAAAGAAGATGTTAAACCAAATGTTGCCTTGATAGCTCAGAAAAAATGAAAAAACTTTCCTATTTTTTCTACAGTCCTTATCGCCCCTTTAATAATATTAGTACCTACTGCATATGCATTCTCTAATATCCCATATTCATTATAGGAAACTGTAGATGCAGACGAGGAGAATTTATGGAGAGAATTAACCTTAGAACGTGTTTTAAAAAGTGTTGACTCGGCATTGACAGCATTGAATGTGATGACCTCTGCCAACATGCCAAAGCAGGTTTATCTGGAGGATGTCATAGATAGATGTACCATGATTATAAAATACCAACTACAGAACACGATATTCCCAGAGTTTGACCCTGTTTATCGGATGTCTGATAATAAAAAAGGTAAAGAAAATTGAGTGATATAGACAGAAAGGTTATAGAAGCCTCTATCATTTGATGATCATTTGCCGTGTCTTCCTAAAATCATCCCATGACATTGTGTTATATCCATATTTTTTGTGACTAATATTTCATATAACACACTTTTGCAATTGTAACTAAGTTGGTGACATTTTGTCAGGTAATGTCTTGTCAATTATTTGTTGGCAGGTTATGGAATCCAATTCTGAGAATATTAGTTTGTTATATTGGCCTTCTCAAACATTTGAACCTTTTAATATTATCAGGTAACTACTACACTAGTTCTAAACAAAAGCGAGCACGTGCCAAAGAAGTGAAACACAAAGGGACTATAGCCCTGTACAATAAGTTGTGTGAAATGATGTCATCAATGTCTGAACTAATCAACATACAAGAACTCACAGATACAAGTATACTACAGGTAGGTCTACATTTTTGCAGTATTCTACATTGCTTCGAATTGCCTGTATAAGTTAATTATTTTTTGAATTAGCGGTTTTTAGATAAGAATCTGTGTGCCGAGATTGATATTAGGATATTTCTACTACTTCGTTTATTTTTGCATATATTTTTAAAATTCCAAAATGTCAAATCTTATGGATTTTCTTCTCAAGGAAATACAGAGGTTTCAACATTTTTGTCCTTCATAAAAATATTGTTGATATTGTTACAGATGTCATCATTAGCAGTCTCTCCATTTTTTGTGGAGAATGTCAGTGAGCTGCAATTGAACGCCCTGAAGCTAGTCACGTCCATATTTAGTCATTATGAGAAACATCGGCAATTGATCATTGAAGATGTGTTCGCATCACTAGCAAGGTTACCCAGTAGTAAGAAGAATCTCAGGAGCTATAGGTTAGTATTAAACATTAAAACACAATATACAAACTCTTAACCCTTAAACGGTTAGGCTATAGAGAATTACACCAAACACCCCCCCCCCCATCTGGGAAATGACCAATCATAGGAGAATGTATTAGGTATCATTGGAAAGCTTATTCAATTGCCAGTATTTTGAGCTTAGTAATTTCAATATTGAGCCATTGTTAATGAAGAATTTCATATTCTAAGAACAAGGGGTTTATCGTTTCAAGTCAAAACTACTGGCAATTTGAATATTTAATTAACTTTGACCAGCTCTAACGTTCCTCCTAGGGAGATATAGTCGTTATTTTTTGCTAAAACATGCCAAATTCAATTTTAAGAAAAGCCAGAAAGTTTCAGATTAAAAGACAAACTCCGAAAAAGTCATCGAAAAAATCCTTAGGGTGGGGGGCAAATCTGCCCCCTAACCATTTAAGGGTTAATGAATGAGATCTAGTCTCTAAAATACAAACCCCTGAATATCACAATACTGCCACCATCAGGCTATCCCATTTTTTCTTCATTTTTGAAATGATATTTTCATCAAAGGCAATAATAATTGAACACAATACTCAAGTCGTCTGTGTGTTGTACATTATAGGTTAGATTCCAATGAGTCTATACAGATGGTGACAGCTCTAGTGTTGAACCTCATCCAGTCAGTGATAATCCTACCCAAGCCTGAGCAACCTACCATACAAGATCCTGATGAGGATGAAGACCATAAAGATGAAAAGGTTTGTTATATCCCCACCACATAGTGTGGGGCCAGTTTTTTTTTATTATGTATTTATTTTCAATTATAGCAATAATGATACAAAATCATTTGCCTGATGAAGGGTATTTAAAACTAAGCTAGTTAAATAATATGCTATTCTTGCATAATGTTGTAACTGGAGAGTTTTGGTTGTGTCTTTGCCGACCGAAAAGTGACAAAAATAAATTGGGATTTTAAGATTGTCTTTAGAAAAGGAAATATTTTTATGATTTATATTTGTTATATTGTTTGGGCATTGCTTTAAAGATACCGATAAATCGGGCTACGTATACCGCCGTATTTACATAGGGGGATTAGAAGGGTTTATTTTTTATTTAGGTATGCAAGCTATATAAAATTAGCCCCTCTAGCATGCATGTACTCGTGTGTACAATCAGCATGCCCTTCAATATTATATAAACACAAGTGTTACTATACCAGGCTATTCAATATGTACTACATAATGTACACTATTTATTAGGGGTCAAACGGTTAACCGCAGTACGCGGTTACCGCGGTTAATGATGCTAGGACGGTATTTTCGGTTCATAAATATGAGATTCGGTTCATCCACGGTTCGAGGAAAAATTGAAAAATGAAATTTTTTAGACTTCAATATTCTCTCTTTCGTTCGACATGAACTTATTCTTCATGTATATATTCCTTAAAAACATGTTTATAGCAATAGAGAACATTCAATTCTTACCTTAGATATGAAACAGATCGCTCACAAATCGATAGACAAGTGATTGTTTACATTTTTGTGACATATAAATAGACCGGAAGTTGGTCTCGCCAGATTACGCTATTCATAGTACAATTAATTTTGCTTCGTGGAGGTGTTTTATCTGTTATAATGAGTTAGTTTTTAATCAATATTATTTAAAAAATACTGCAATTACAGAAATTATAACATTACTGCTTTGACAGACTACAAGAATTGCGAGATTAAATCTCAATTATTGAAATACAAAAGCAACGTTTGGAATTTTGGGGGTTTTCCTATCGTAAATGGGAAACCAGAGGACAATGTATCAATATGCAGAATCTGTAGGGAGGTCATGAGGTAAATTTTTTCCTCAAGTTACTGCTCATAGGTCCGGGAAAATGTATAATAAAGATGAGTTGAATACACCAAAAAAAGATCTCTTTACTTGGTGTATGACTATTCGACTCGATCTTTTTATGCATTTTCCCTGGGCTATGTTACTGCTTGTGCTACATGTAGATCTCAGGTCTTATCTGACAAAAATCTTATCAAGGACAGAAAAATCTAAAGTTTAAAATTTAAAGTGGGCCACTAGGCCAATAAACTTTGCTTTGTCAAGTCAATTTAATAAAAAAGGATAGTGGGACCAGAACCAGAACTGAACCGTGAACCTAAAAACCGTGACCGAACCGAACCGTTGGAATTTTGAACCGTTTGACCCTACTATTTATGTGTGTACTTCATGGGAATACGATTCTCGGGGAAACAAAAGACAAATACTTTTTATATGTCCAAAATGAGCCATTTGATTGATACATACACTAAATAGTTTCATGAATAACATCTACAAAGTATATCTAATAGTAATTTTCAATTTCAATGGTGAAACTTCCCTGGTTACGATTATACGGGAAATCATCACGAGACGAAGATCGTTCGCCTTCCTGGCTTACCTCTGAATCGTGTACCTGGTAATCTCTTTATATAGTTTAGCGAGAATGCTGCGCCTGCGCAGTATTAAACTTTGGCGCACACTTTAAGTGATTCTATTTTATTTATAACTGACTTCTTTCTTCTGTGCACTTTTAGGTTGACAAAGAGGTTGTCATAGTTACTTCATATGAAACTGGTATGAGAACAGCACACAGTTTTATAGCTGTCTATTTGCAAAAGTGAGTACATTCTAATGTCACCACCAAAGTGGTTACATATTGTTATAGTTTTCGACTTTTTAAGGACTGTGTTCAGTGGTCAGCATTCAGCAGTTGGTTGGCAGTTTGTGTGCTTGTAACAAATGGCAGTCTGTAACATTTTACATGTTAATAACGTGTTTGGTTCTAAATGTTAGGACAGGTTATATAATACAGGTCTCCTAATTAATAGTGATGCAATTTGTCAGAATTTGGGGTATTGAGTTATCTGCATAATTGATTTTCTACATATCTTCAAATTTCTTAATCTTCTAGAGGGTATGAACAGAGTCAATTGTAATGAGTGTCTTTCAAGAGTATGCGATTTCTATATGTTTGCATCTATATTTATAATGAAATAAATGATTCGTTAATTTTAGATGTGCAATGAAGGGGGAAGATGTTGATTATCGTCCACTGTTTGAGAACTTTGTTCAGGATTTATTGACAACAGTGAATAAACCTGAATGGCCTGCAGCTGAACTCATGTTGAGTCTCTTAGGAAAACTACTGGTAAGTCTACATTTTATAGAACCAGATCAGTCAATAATTATACCAAAATTGAAGTTGTGTTCTGTTTCAAGTCTCTTAGGAAAACTACTTGTGAGTCTTCTATAGAATTATGACCAGTTCATACCCTAAACATTGAAGCAATGTACATTGAATTTTATCAAGTCACCAAAAAGGTAAAAATCACTGAAAAGTAAACCACCAAAAGGAAAATATATTTAAAAAAAACCTACAAGTAAGAAAGACATTATAGGTTAACGAAAAGTACTATAGAGAAAATAATATTTTCATTCTGCTATATTTTAATTATACTGATCGGCATTTATAATAAGTGTGTCTGTTATCCTGTGCTCTTGTTAAATGTTATGTGAAATTATACTTGTCAGCTTTTTTGGCATCTTATCCAGTATCTTTGAACCACATTTTTTGTCTTTCAGGTTCAACAGTTCAGTAACAAGTCAGTGGACATGTCTATGCGTGTGGCCTCTCTGGATTACTTGGGCATTGTGGCTGCAAGGTTGCGCAAGGATGCTGTCACCAGTCAGCTAGACAAGACAGGCATTGATGATGTTATCCAGAGGGTAAGGAAATGTGATAAAATGGGAAAACTTCAAGAAACAAAAAAGAAACAAAACAATTTGGAGAAACCATAAAAGTTGTGCCTGTTTAAAGCTGATACAAAACATGAAATAACAAAAATTTTCATTTCTTAATTTTTTGTTATTTTAGATGTATGAGAATAACAGCGATGATGAAGATTCAGAGAAAGAAGAAGATGGTTCAAAAAGTGGAAGAAAAAGCCCCAAGGTAAAACATAAAACCATTGATTGCCATTGCACTTTGAATTAGGAATTTCTTGCACTATCAATGTAAATAATACACTCCCATGAATTTTAGGTTTGGTATACTGATACCTATACTAAAGGCAGGAAATAAAGATCCTTGTAATAAAGACAATTCCAGAGGCATCACTCTGATGAACATGTTGCGTAAAGTGTACGATCATATTGTGTTAAAAAGAATTGGATCCCTTGCAAAAAATATTATGCCTAACTTACAAGGTGCTTCTCAGAGTCATTGCTCTGCTGTTCATACTTCCCTTTTAGTTCAGGAAACCATTGCCCACAATGTCGAAAAGCATAGAAATGTAATATTAGCCACATTAGATATTAGAAAAGCATTTGACACCGTTTGGTTAGATGGATTGATGGTCAAACTACATAAACTTGGTATCCGTGGCAAACTGTGGCGTATGCTTTATGATAATTACCATAAATATGAATGTGCCGTTCGTGTAGGAAGTTCAAATACACTTTCTAAACCTTTTAATGTCATGCAGGGCGTCCACCAAGGGGGTGTCCTATCTATGCTATTTTATCAGTTGTACATGGCTGACCTTATTCAGGATCTATGTGAAATGAATATAGGTGGCCACATTGATGATGTAAATTGTGTATGTCCTTCTTATGCGGATGACATGACCATTATTGCCACAAATCAAAAGGATATGCAACTTATGTTAAACGCTGCCTTTGAACATAGTAGAAGATGGCGATATGAAATCCATCCAGCGAAATGTAACTTTCTGACATTTAATGATATGGTCACTGATTCAAGTGTTAAAGGTCATGTCGTTCTCAAGATAGGTGACACGAGAATTCCAAAGGTCAATTTCACTGTTCATGTTGGTATTCCAATATCTAGTAAAAATGATATCTCACAATATGTTAATGATCGCTGCACTAGTGGTAAGCGAAAATTCTGCTCACTTTTGGGACTGGGGCACAAAACAGGTGGTTTGTCACCCTTAACAGCATCAAAACTGTACTGGGCCTTTTCTATTCCAACCATGCTGTTTGGGGCACCAGTTATAAATTACCAAGCGTCAGATGTTGAAAAGCTTGAATTGACTCATAGGGAGATTGGCAAACGTATCCAATTTTTCCCCAAAACCTCAGCCAATCCTAGTGCAACGATGCCGTTGGGATGGTTGTCAATAGACGGCTATATTACAGTGTTGCAGATGATGTATCTCTGGAGTTTACTTAGGTTTAATAATATTTACAGGGATATAACTATAACACGGTTAGTAAAGATGTTTCATGTCACTTATGACAACCATGCCGATATTTTCTCTCCTATCCGGCGCATTTTCCTTAAGACCAAAATGCTAGGAATTGAAAATCTGGTTAAAAATGCGCTGGACTCTGGATATCTTCCGTCGAAGAGGTCATGGAGACTGCAAATTGTCAATGCTGTAAGATCCGTCGAGGTCAAGCAATTTTTCTTGCAATGCTCATGTTATGGCAAACTTTCATACCTACGTGACTATGTCACAGACTTAAAACCTTGCATATGGTGGTTGATTTGTCAGAAATATCCTAAATGTCAAAGCCAGTGTAAAACTATGATGCAATTGATATGTAACGCCCATGTATTAAATACGAACAACTTCAATGGTTCAAAACGATGTATATTGTGTAACCTCTGTGAAACTGAAACAATTGAACATTTTATATTAAGATGCCCTATGTATGAACCATATAGGCATAACATATTTGAAGCCCTTGGCTGTCGTGGTGACAGTATGGGTGTTATTATGAAGAAAGTTTTAGGTCTCTCAGATGTTTCATGTGAGACGTTAATAATTGTATCATCATGTGTACACAAAATGTACAATCACAGAGCCAACCTGTTGGCTCTGCTTGACACATAATTTCTCTATCACTTCATTTTCATGTTTTCCAAAACAACAACTTTTTTATCACATAATTTAATCTTATCCTTGTATTTTATATTTTATATGTAAACCATATGTATACTAAAATGTATTCTCTCATATAAATGAGGCAATAAATATACAATACAATACAAAGGATGAATTTAAAGTTTGACTGCTCACATCCCTCCTAGACCAGGGTCACCAGGGCCTAATATGTACATTTGAATATCAAACATGACCCCAATTAAGTATTGAACTGATATTCAACAAATTGTATTATTTTGTGTTCATAGCTTGATGATGGCTTAGACAGAACTGAGAAGTTACAGAAAGCCATGCTGAATTACTTGGTCTTCAATGGACAGAATGATCCTTCTCTCTTGGTAAGTTTTCTGCCTGCAATGAATTTGTCCAGTTATTTCTGAACATTTTGTTTGGCCTGCCTGCACCAAATCGAGAATTAGAAAATAACAATGCTCTCTGTTGAAAAATTGAATCTTCTATTAGTTGAGAATTAGAAAACACATTATTGATTAATTGAATATTAGGGATTTTTGATACCTCACTTGCTGATCTCTGAATTGAATTTCACATATAATGACACACATACTCAAACTCAGAATATTTGAGCCTGTGTTTATTATTGGCTTATTTTATATTCAAATTCCAGTTTGCAAGATCATTCTACATATCCCAGTGGTTTAGAGATACAACTGTAGAAATGGAGAAAAGGATCAAAAGCAAGAGTAATGATGATTCATTTGAACCTGATGAAGATGCTGAGGATGAAACTGAGATGGTCCAGAGAGCTGAGAGAAGGAAACGGTTCCTCCTTGAACAGATCAATGTGAATGTGGGTGCCTTGGCTAATACTAGGTAAGACCTCCCATATTTAGGTGAATAATAGATAAGTCAAGCAGTGTACTCATGCATTATTTTGCATTTAATTTGGAACTGGACCAGAATTCAACAATTAAACCCAATGTAGTGTCTTGTAACACATTATGTAGTCAACAAATGCATCCATTTAATATTGCTTTTAATGTTCGCCCAGAGAATACTCAAGATACCCAGTTGTAATGTCAGTTCAGTTTCCTAGAGGACAGACTGATATCTTTTATTTGTATTTTGTTTTTCAGGCCAACCAGTAATTTGGAGCTAGACGATGCTTGCTTTGTGGCAAGATTCTTGGCCTCCAACAGACCATTCTCACACAGCTTTGACATATACCTCACACAGGTAAATGCTATTTTCGTTCATTCAACCTCTATAAATTTTACCAAATGAATTTCACTTGTTTATTAAGTACTAGTTTTTTACTACAAGTTTTATTTTCCAAAAATCATACAGTTTTCTTGTGAGATTCAGTTTTAAATTCAGTTTTTTATATATCTTTGAAAGATACCTCTGTCCTGGCTTCTAAACTAGATGTTATTTATTCAGTAGTAAATATGAATAAGCAATTTCTTGTTGAATGTTTCAGATACTACGTGTACTGAGTGAGACTGCAGTTGCTGTCAGGACAAAGGCAATGAAATGTCTTACTGCAGTGGTTGAAGCAGATCCATCTATTCTTGCTAGGGTAAGAGAACACTTGAATATCAATGTAGCAAGATGATTTTATATATCAGATTTCTTTATTAATGCCCTGGTTTTAATTTGAATCATCTGTTCTTGTGCAATTTTCAAATAATATTTGAAATTCGTGATATGTTTTATTCTATTTATTAGACTGACATGCAGAAGGGTGTCCATGGACGCTTCCTGGATCAGTCCACATCTGTGAGAGAGGCAGCTATAGAACTTGTTGGCAAATTTATCATAATCAAACCTGAACTTACTCCACAGTATTATGACATGTTGGCGGATAGAATCCTGGTAAGTTGAACACTCAGGTAAACAACCTACAACATGGAGAACACTGTGATTGGGTTGAATGAATAAATTAAATAATGAAATGAATCATTTGAGAACAGTAAAGGGTGCTTCACAGGTAGACTGTAAATTTATAATTGACAAGTCAAAATGGAGCATTTAGATTGTACCAACAATATAAATAGAATAAAATGTATAATAATTTCAAATTATGTTGATAATTTCAGGATACTGGTATAAGTGTCAGGAAGAGAGTGATCAAAATATTCAGAGACATTTGTGTAGAACAGCCAGACTTTAACAAGATCCCAGAGATGTGTGTTAAAATGATCAGACGTGTCAATGATGAAGAGGGCATTAAGGTGAGTTACTTGATAAACATGCTTATAATAAAAAGGCATTAAAGTGAGTTGGGTTATTTGATAAACATGTCATTGTCATGAAAAATTTATTAAGGTGAGATATTTGATAAACTTATCAATGATGTTTAGGGTCTTTGGTCAGCATCTTTAACAAATGGCAGGTAATGATATTTTGCTTGTTAATACCTTGTTCAGTGATATATCCCTCAAGTCTTTATTTTATCTTACAACTATTTTTTAGAAACTTGTGAATGAAGTATTTCAAACAATGTGGTTCACAACAGTGAGGGAACGAGATACAGCCAAGCTGTTACAGAAAGTGCTCAACATTACTGAGGTTGTGGCAGCATGCAGAGATACTGGCTTTGAATGGCTTGAACAGCTCTTAGAAGGGGTAAGTGATGCAACATTTTATATACGATAGTCTGTCTGATCTAAACATAAAGAAAGCACCAGATAAGTCTGATTTCAATGTAAAATAATCATTAATGGTGTCCGATTTCAATGTAAAATGATCACAAACTATATTTCTTATCCAATTTGAATCAAGTAACAATTTTTAGTGAATTGTCTCATTTCAAATTAAAATGATCCAAGCTATGTCTGATCAATTTAAATCAAGCCACAATTTCTGGTTTCAGATTAAAAATTCACCAGCATTAACTGATAATATAATAAATTAAAGATTCTGTATTTGTTATTTTAGCTGTTCAAGAAGGAAGAGAATACAAGTGGCAAGCCAGTAGAGCATGCATGCAGGCAGATTGTGGACTGTCTCATTGACAATGTACTGGCTTTAGAGGAGAAAAATGCAGGTAAGTCATTGCAAAACCATTTTATTTATAAAGAACAGAAAGCAAGCTTATATGATTAATAATTGAAATGTGAAGGATTATGTTATTAAAGAGAATGTCTTGACACTCTACCATTTATGGAGTTTATAGTTTGCAATTAAGGTCTGATTACTTATTTTATGGATGACATTAGATATAGGGAAATCAGTAATCCAATTAGAGGAAACAATAATAGACTGATAATCATTATATTGTATCAATGTTTCAGACACTGCAAAGAAGGCAGGGAACAGTCCAAGACTCGTGTCCTGTCTTTCTACACTCTACTTGTTCAGTAAGATGAAACCTGATCTGATGGTGGCTCATGCTACAACACTACAGCCTTATCTAGAGATAAAATGTAATGTAAGTACACATGTGCTATTATTCATAAATGGAATGTAATATAGTAAAGATTCAGTGACAGATCTCAGGTTTTTTGAGGCAACAGACCTGGAAGTAAAAAGTCCTGGATTTCAAATTGTTTTATTATGGAACATGGCAGTATCATACATTTGGATCTTCTGTATCGTAATTTATAGTTCTTTGTTAAAATTGATTGGCAGTTGGTGTTTGTTTGGTGTATGTAACAAAAGGCAGGTGGTAACATTTTGCATGTTAATGCCTTGTCGAATTGTTGTGTTTTACCTGCTATATTTGGAGTATTAATATCATGCTTTTCAGACTCAAGGAGACTTTCTGGTGCTGCATAATGTTGCAAGAATCCTGGAGCTAGTGGTTCCTCTCATGTCAAACCCCAGTGAGAGTTTCCTATCTCAGCTAGAGGAAGATCTCATGAAACTCATCCTCAAACATGGAATGATGGTAAGTTAACAATAATACAGTGTAGTATAAGAGGTAATGGGTTTAGCATGGGCAGCAGTGCTTAAATACATCAAGTCATGGGCTAGATAAGGTTTAGAGTTATTCATTGCCAGTGAGCCAAGATTGGTTTTCAACTTGCCACTAGAACTGAATTCATTGAGTTGTTATACACTTGGGTGAATTTAATGAGACCTGGTCTGTGAATTATAAACTTGTTGGCTTCACTCTTTGATGACTCTTAGTGGTGAAATTTGCCAGAAAAATGCCACTCTGGGAGAAAATGTAAAAATGCCACTGTGATATACTGGCAAAATTGAGGGAATATTGTAAAAATTAAAAACTCACCCCAAAGAAGAACTGACATTCAAGTTGCACCACTAATGACTCTCTCAGCTCCTTGTCACTTGTTCCTCCATAAAAAATAATCACGTTAATCAAACTCATTGAGCTACACTGGGGTGAATCTAATGAGAGACCTGGCCTGGGAATTTTAACCTTGTGGGCTTCACATTTCTGTGACTCTACCAACTCCTCGTCACTTGTTCTGTTTAAATTACTACGTATTGATCGTTGATTAACATAACGAGTAGGGACTCTAATGAATGTCTAGATATTTACATCTTATATTTTAAAATAATGAATACTACCTCCTTACTGGATTTAGAAGTAATGCATTGTGCAGCTTTACTTCCTTGCCTTGTTTTACTGAAATGTTGTACTTTATTTGTAGGTGCTACAGAGCTGTGTCAGCTGTCTCGGGGGTGTGGTCAACAAGGTCACCAAGAACTTCAAACTAGTCAAAGACTGCTTCCAAAAATTCTTTGGTAAGTAGTTTATCACTTGTTTGAAATATTGAAAATATCCATCATATAAAAATGAGTGTATCTGGACTGTCTCACAGTGCATCTAGAAATGATGTACCAAACCAATAAATCTTTTGTAATTTGTTATAGGGCTATAGGGTTTAAACACATTTTTATCTTTATTGAGTTATATACATTAAAAGTATATGTTAAAGTTGAATTAGATGAACTAGTAGAACATGAGACAGTAGCATTATTAATTTTTAAACATGAGACAGTAGCATTATTATGTTACCATCACAAACATATATTGTTGTAGTCTTCAACTTTTTGTGGATGGTGTTTTGTGGTTGGTGTCTGTAACAAATGGTAGGTGGTGACATTTATCATTAAATCTTGAATGTGAATAAATGCAGCATTTTGATTGGGCAGTATATAACTATGGATTATTTTGCAGGTGTTGTATCTAAACTAATGGCAGAACATAAAAGGAATCCACAAAGTGAATTCCTCATAAAGAGCATCCCTACATTACTGCGGTCACTGTTCACTGTCGGGCTTTTGTGCAAACATTTTGATTTTGACTCCACAGAGATGGGAGAAACAAGTGTTTCTATTAAGGACAGAGTGTTTGACGTAATGATGTATTTTACCCAACATGAAGATGAAAACATCAAACACAAGGCCCTAACTGGATTAGGTGAGTTAACAAGTATAAAGGGATGATGATTTCAAGATCAGAATGTGTGAACGCATTTTCAGCAAATCACTGACATTTCAACATTTCCAAGATTCTTAAATTAAACATCAACACAAGTAATTTTTTAACGATCAGATTTCATCAGTATCGACATCACCTCCATAAAAAATTCATTTATATTGCATCATTGATTATTTTTGTAAAGTTTTTGAAATGGATCTTTATGTGTAGGGTTCCTGGTTGTCCGGCATTATGACTTTATGCTTGGTAAGACTCTAAGGGACTACTACCACTACCTGCTCATGCACAAGGATGCCTCTATCAAGTTGAAGTGCCAGGTGCTACGTAATCTACATCTCTATCTAATAGAAGAGGAGTTACAGATGATGATCTCAGACCAAGAATGTAAGATTTCTTTATAATTCAATCAATTACAAGCCGAGTATGATAAACAAATTAATGTGATGATGATACAGACTTTTTTAAATTAAACATTTAGATATTAGCGAGTTTAAGCTTGCATATAAAATCGAAACTCCAACCTATATGTATTACTGATCACCCATACAAATGCATTATTTAAATATTTTCCGTTCACATTTAGGTTGTGAAAAGCATTGCAAGCTTAAACTCCCTATTGCTTAACTGCTCATAAATGATTCTTGTTTTAAGGGAAAAAACATGCAGAAGCTGAAGACTTGAAGGAAATGGGTGATATCCAGTCAGGAATGGCAAGTACAGTGATGCAGATCTACCTGAAACAAGTGCTTGATTCATTCATTCACATTAATGCCCAGGTGCGCTTGGCTGCATTGAGTGTCATACAGCTAGTCATGAGGCAAGGCCTTGTCCACCCTGTACAGTGTGTGCCATATCTCATTGCCATAGGAACAGACACTGACCCCACCATAAGGATCAAGTCAGACCAACAACTGCAGGAAATTGATAAGAAATACCCAGGATTTGTTCAGGTGAGGAAATCTACATCTACATCAATAATTCGCATTTAAAGCAGATATATAATTTAACAGTGATATAATTTGAGTAGAATACAATTTTAACCTTAACATTTAAAAAAAATAGATCACTGAAATGTACACTGAAATCATGAAACACTTCTCCTAGCTATCCACTTCTTCTCACTTATTGCTGGAAGTTGTAGATGTAATAACAGGCTACACAGAGAAAATCAACATTAGACATTAATATTTGGGCGTTCAATAAGTATTTAAGTAATCCCACCAAAAATTTCTTTATGTGTAGGAGAGTTATTTAAAATGCAAGTCCTACTTGACCTATTAATCTTCCCCAAAAATTGTTACTTCAGGCTTAAAACAGTCATTTAACATGGATATTACTTACATGCAGATCCAAGTATTTTATTTCGTTGTAAATTAAAACTTAATCTTGTTTACTCACATGGTTCCAGATGAAATCCCTTGCTGGGATTAAGATGTCTTACAAGCTCCAGCAGCTAATACAGCAAGACCTGGTTGAGCCTGTACGTGGAAATAGACCTGATGACCAACATCAAACTGAACAGAACATTGCAGTGAATGGTTACCTCTATAGCTTGTTGAGAACTAATCGGGCTCATAGACGTGCCTTCCTAACGTCACTTCTTCATCTGTTTGATGACACAACGGTAAGAAACTTATTTAATAATGGGATGATTATAACTTCTCCCATGTCTCTGAAGTTTAAACTGGAAACTAAATCAATCTTAATAGATATAAAATACAATTGTATCTCATTTTTTCTTTAATCTTGTTTGTTAATCTTGTATCTTGAAGCAAGAAATTTATTCTGTACATAGTGAAGCATGTGTTATATTATTTACCTGGTTCTATGATGCAACTTCTAATTCCCACATGTTCTACAATTTCAGAGAGCGCCTCTTGCTGAATTATTGTATGTTGCTGACAACATGGCATATTTCCCATTCCAACACCAAGATGAGCCACTCTTTGTCATACACACCATTGACATCACTGTCTCAGTGTCTGGAGAAAATATTATGCAGTCCTTCAAGGAAGTGAGTATCTGTTCTAATTTGTAGCATTGCTCTGTATAGAATACTTTGGATTGTCTTGCTTAATGGCTGAAAGGTGCGTTCAATGGGAGGGGGTAAAAATCAGGCACTTGTCAATAATTGAACTACAAATTGATTTGTGATTGTCTCTCTGTGTATATTCTAGGAACTGTATCCAGATGTTCAGGAGAATGAACATGGTACAAAAGTATTTGATGATGATGATGAAGACCTGGACACTATTCTTGGTAAGAATTCACTCTACGTTTGTGATGTGGGCAAAATGAGCCAAACATGTTCAGGTTGAAAGAGACAGGTTGTGCAAATCTTCACATACATTCCAGGAGCCTGACATAAGTACAGTGACTCACAACCAAAGTTAAGATTTTCAAGATGGACCAAGTGTAACAAAATCTTCACGCTTCTTTTCATTTGAAGATCTTGATTCTAGTACTTATGTCTTACATTTTTATTAGCTCACATGGTGAGCTTTTGCAATCACTCACTTGTCCGTCTCTCTGTACGTGCGTCCGTCCGTCAACAATAGTGGCACATTTTAAAACCTCTGTCGATAAGATTCCTGTTTTAAGTTATTTCTGTTCAACATCAATACAGAAAACTCCCCTATGACTCCTGGTTCAAAAGCTCGCCTATTTTCAAAATGGCCGCCATTTTTGTCTCGCGAAATTCACTTTTGACCGATATCCTAGCTTTACAAATAATTTCAGGTGTCCTGCATTGTAAAAATCCATGTTAATGTAAAGAGTAGTTGTATGAAATAATTTTGTTACAAAAAATTATATCCATTTTTTTATTTTCAGCCATTTTAGTTAACATTGATTTGCCCATCTGACTCAAAAAAAAACACTTCTTTCAACAATAGTGGCACGTTTTAAAACCTCTGTCGATAGGGTTCCTGTTTTAAGTTTTTTCTGTTCAACATCAATACAGAAAACTCCCCTATGACTCCTGGTTCAAAAGCTCGCCTATTTTCAAAATGGCTGCCATTTTTGTCTCGCGAAATTCACTTTTGACCCATTTCCTAGCTTTACAAGTAATATCAGGTGTCCTGCATTGTTAAAAGCCATGTCAATGTATAGAGTAGTTGTATGAAATAATTTTGTTACAAAAAATCAGCAAAAAATTATATCCATTTTTTTATAACATTGATTTGAAATAGTGGCATGTTTTAAAACCTCTGTAGATAGGGTTCCTGTTTTAAGTTTTTTCTGTTCAACATCAATACAGAAAACTCCCCTATGACTCCTGGTTCAAAAGCTCCCTATTTTCAAAATGGCCGCCATTTTTGTTCCGCAAAATTCACTTTTGGCCCATTTCCTAGCTTTACAAATAATTTCAGGTGTCCTGCATTGTAAAAAACCATGTCACTGTAAAGAGGTACTAATTTAAAAATTTTATATGTGGCTACTTAAAAGCGTATTCATTCTTCTGATGACAACTTGGCTAGTGAGCAACCATTTTGAAAATGGTGGCCTTTCTTATGGGTGTTATTTTACGATATTTGCTATATATTTTGTTTGTAAAAATGCCAGCCATTTCTGTTCAATGGGATACGCTACGCTTTGGCATTGCCGTTGTTCTGGTTTTGATTATTTTTTGTATAGCGCATGGAAACTAAATTTAAAAAGTGAGCAATGTCATTAGTATTGTGATAATAATGTCCCTTATACCTATATATTACAGGTCGTGTAGACCATTGTTGCCCGATTTATAGCAAAAACATTGACTTTTGCACGTTGGTGATGATGTGCCTTTTTTAACAGATCTGATGTCTTAGAAGGGTATCAGTTCAAAAAAATACTAGATGACCTAACATATTTTGCCATGCACTGCACCTATTCATTTGGCAATTCAGTTGTAAATTTTCTCTTGAAAAAATAAATCTTCAAAAGTTGAGTTTTCTTGCAGAAATCGCCTTATCCATCATTTTTGTACGATCACCGGGCATGTGTAAGGCCAATATAATGTCTGCCTTTATAACACACTTTAAATTTTGTATTAACTACTACTTTAAAACTTTGAAATAGCCAATCAAATAAAAAGTTTGTCTAGTTTCACATCTGGGTACTTCTAGATCGAGGTTAGTTTTAAAATTGGAAAATACAATTTTTTGCTTGATTCTTTTTGTTTTGATGGAATAAATTTGGTTTCCCAGAATAACCACTTTTTAGTATAATAGCAAATCAACTGATAAAATGTCATTAAGTTCAAAAGTATTCAAAAGAATTTTCTTGACGCAAAATGTGCCTAGACGTGCATGCAAATCATTTGACGTCTATGAAATAATGTCAGGGTTACCAAGTATGTTAGCTAATAGCACTAATGTATATATAATCAATTATAATTCTAGTATAATTACTGAAGTAGTAATTGAAATCTACTGGTACTGTGGTTCATTTGGAAATTACAAATTATACGTTTCAGGTAGCATGAATTCCAAGTTATACCGTAGTGTGATAATGCATATCATTAAATCATATTATAATTGTAGTATATGGGAAGGGGCACTGAGAAGGGCAATCAGTGAATGACGCAGTTATGTTGTACAATATATAATCAGTAAATGACGCAGTTATGTGTATAAGTACACTACAGGGTACATAAAAATTTTGAAAACATTGTAAATTAAAATATTCAGTGATACTTGTAAATCTGAGACTGCCTACCCCTACAATGAAGTGCTTCAACTAATCAACTTATATTATAACCATCCTGCCGGGCCTGTTCTAGGGGTATTAGTGCTTGTTTAGAAGGCTTCTTTTTTACTAAATTGACCTTAGCAATATGTGACGCCATAGTGGCGTGCTGTAGTGTTGGGCCAATAATGATATTTCAGCCAAAAATGAGATATCGTTTGGTGCATATACTTTTCGTTCAGTGGCCGTCCGTTCTTGCTATTTCAGCCTTGGGCATAAACGGTGGTAATAATACTAATAACATTATTGTACTATTCTTCATGATTTTCTGTTTCATTCTTTCCACTTGTCAGTTTCCAGAATTTGACAAACATTATAAGAGAATACATTTTAATGGATCTCTCCTGTATTACAGCAATGAAAAACGTCATATCCTGCCAAAATAGTGAAATATTAAGATATTTTGGCTAAAACAGAAGTCATGAAACCAAAACTACCTTAACTTTTTTGTTACCCTGTTCTTAGCTTATAAATTTTGCTGAAACAAGTATATGTACCATTATACCAAATCAACAATGAATATGCAACATACATGTATAGCTTTTATACTTCACATATTCAATAAATGAAAAGAAGCTGGAATTCAAAAAACTTCATATACATACTCGTACCATAGCAAGATAGATCAAATTGCATCATAATGATAAGTCTTGTCATTTTGATCAGTGTCTTTCTTCAGAAGTCACAACAATCTAACATCACCTCCACAGATGTGATAAGTTTGGAACAATCTAATATCACAACCACAGATGCGATACGTTTGGAACAATCTAATATCACAACCACAGATGCGATACGTTTGGAACAATCTAACATCACCTCCACAGATGTGATAAGTTTGGAACAATCTAATATCACAACCACAGATGCGATACGTTTGGAACAATCTAATATCACAACCACAGATGTGATAAGTTTGGAAGAATTTAACATCACAACCACAGATGCGATACATTTGGAACAATATGACATCACAACCACAGATGCGATACGTTTGGAACAATCTAACACCACAACCACAGATGCGATATGTTTGGAACAATCTAATATCACAACCACAGATGAGATAAGTTTGGAAGAATTTAACATCACAACCACAGATGTGATACGTTTGGAACAATCTAACATCACCTCCACAGATGTGATAAGTTTGGAACAATCTAATATCACAACCACAGTGGCGATACGTTTGGAACAATCTAATATCACAACCACAGATGCGATACGTTTGGAACAATCTAATATCACAACCACAGATGCGATACGTTTGGAACAATCTAATATCACAACCACAGATGAGATAAGTTTGGAAGAATTTAACATCACAACCACAGATGTGATAAGTTTGGAACAATCTAATATCACAACCACAGATGCGATACGTTTGGAACAATCTAATATCACAACCACAGATGCAATACGTTTGGAACAATCTTATATCACAACCACAGATGCGATTAGTTTGGAACAATCTAACATCACAACCACAGATGTCATAAGTTTGGAACAATCTAATATTACAACCACAGATGCGATAAGTTTGGAACGATCTAGTATCACAACCACATATGTGATAAGTTTGGAACAATCTAACGTCACAGCCACAGATGAGACCGCGGCTATTCAGTCTTGGACTTTTGAAAGTGGTACTGAAAATCCTTGGATGACATCTTGTATGGTTGCACTGTTTAGCACTGTAAACAAAGCAAAACCTTACATAGAAAAGAAATACCCATGCAGTATTCCAAAAGATTTAGTGATTACCCGCCAGAATTATTATCCATTGGCTGATGCCTGTATGGCTAAGTATGACTATGTTGAAGAGGATGGTGTGTATGCTGTACTGCTAATTCCCCCTGAAGCTAACCACTATTGTAAACCAGATGTCCCATACTTTAGGCAAGTGACCAATGAGCAGCTTGTAAAGGAGGCAGAGGAGGCAGCAAAAGATCAACAAAACTCATCTGTTCCAACCATATTTGTCTGTATACAAGGCACAACTGGAATTGATCAAGATGCATATTTGACAATAACTTGCAAAATTGAGAATGAAACAGAATTGACCGATGAGATTGTGATGAAACATTGTATGATGAGACCTGGGTGGAAATATTCACAAGTGGACACTCCAAAGGATTGTGTTTTGAAGAATGCTGAACGAGAAAATGACATGATGACTCTTTCAGCTCCATATTATTATGTATTTAGTTGTACTACTTTTTTAGGTTTGCTAGGAAATTGTCTTACTCTTTTTGCAATGGCCAAAGCCAAGCCGCATCCTTCTAGATGTTACATAGTATGTTTGATTATTACCCAAAATGTATATTTACTTCTTGCATTTTTTTCCTCTGTAATGGGTCTGGTGAGTGATTACATGGCTTTATACACCTTCATGTTATATTTTTGTCAGGCCATGTCTGTTCTCCAATTTGTATGCGCCACTTTGTCTACGTTCATGAAAGTCTTATCTTCACTGGATAGATACCTTGCAATTTGTAAGCCATTCAGTTACAGAAAGTTTCTCATGCAAAAATTTAGTACCAAGATTTATTTCGGATTTTTTGTCACCATTGTAATATTGGGTTTGTGGTTCACATTGCAAGGACTTGTTTTGGAAAATACTAAATCGCATGTGTGTGAATTTGAATTATTTAGCTTACGTAAAATGTCAGAGCATCAAAAGTATTTCATAATTTTTGGAGTACTTGTGTATTTGTTACCATGGTTACTAATTGTTGTCCTCAGCTCAATTACATCTAGACACCTATTCAATCACAGTAGAGCACGCAAGAAATTTAACATTCGTAAAAATGTTAATTTAGCAGATAAATCTGGTTGGCTAAATGCATTAAGGGTCACAATCCATAGGTCAGAGGTTAAGGCCACTATATTAATGTTCAGTACAATACTCACATATCTGTTTTTTTCTGTTCCTCTAATGGCTGCCCAAATCTGGTTTTACACTGAACAAAGTTCATCTGTTCAATTGAAACTCAAAGTTTTATTTGGTGCTGCACTTTTGCATACTATTGAGCATTCTGTAAGTTTAATAGTTTATGGTGTTGTTGTGCCACAATTCCGCATGCTTCTGAAAAAGGTACTTTTATGCAGATAGCAAAATATAGTCAAATGATGTAAATACAAAATGCTCATCAGTATTCGCTAACTTCTCTATTTTAACCTCTCTTTTGATACAGGTATATTTATTATGAACATATATCTGACGTGTGCAAATGTATAAGCTTGTCAAAAGTGCAAGAAGAGTTGACTTTGACTCAGAAAATCAGACTTGTTATACAACAATTCATATTTTATTATCCCACCGAATGAAGTTCGAGGGGGATATAAATCTGACCGTCCGTCTGTTTGTTGGGGTGATAACTCCAATACCGGTTGACTGATTTGATTTAAATTTTATAGGCTTATGGCGATAAAACCTCTGCTCGAGAAGGAATTTTTAATATGGCTGCTTAATTCAAAATGGCCACCATTTTTCGAAAAATGTAATCTTTGATTACTCAAATACTTGTAGACAGATCTGGTTCAAATAATATATGCTGATGCCTAGGGAAGGCTCTATGCTGAAGAAGAGATTTTCAAGATGGCTGCTGAATTTCAAAATGGTTGCCATTTTTCATAGCGAACAAGTGAATATATCATATACTCACGAGAGTATAAAAAACACTATATAAAGAATGAATCATTATATAAACTTATTATGCCACTCTTAGTATACTGTGAAAATCGGTAACTTCAGTTTACCTTTAGGTCATTTTTCAAAACTTCTCTGCCCTTCAACTGCCCCATATTATTACATAATATTTCATTTTCTAATTCTGTAATCCTGTTTTATTTAACAGTTTATTTAACTGTGTATACTAAATATTGTCACAAAGTAAAAACAACTACAATTAACAACAATTTCACTGATTGAAATCATTCGATGCCTCCTACTTCTACCAGTTCACTTTCTCCGGTCAAAAGTTTTCCTACGACATCCGCCATTGTTGTTTTTGCAGAAGATCAATGTAGGCAGAGATATCCCGTGAACTTCTAGTACATTTTAACCTATGCACCTGCTCAGATTGCTAGTCTTTATGGGTAGACTGTGGCTAGTTATTAGCTCACATGGTGAGCTTTTGCAATCACTCACTTGTCCGTCTGTCTGTCTGTCCGTCAATCTGTCCGTCTGTCTGTCCGTCTGTCTGTCTGTCCGTCCGTCAACAATAGTGGCACGTTTTAAAACCTCTGTCGATAGGATTCCTGTTTTAAGTTATTTCTGTTCAAGATCAATACTGAAAACTCCCCTATGACTCCTGGTTCAAAAGCTCGCCTATTTTCAAAATGGCCGTCACTTTTGTCTCGCGAAATTCACTTTTGACCCATTTCCTTTAAAACCTCTGTCGATAGGATTCCTGTTTTAAGTTATTTCTGTTCAAGATCAATACAGACAACTCCCCTATGACTCCTGGTTCAAAAGCTCACCTATTTTCAAAATGGCCGTCACTTTTGTCTCGTGAAATTCACTTTTCACCCATTTCCTAGCTTTACAAATAATTTCAGGTGTCCTACACTGTAAAAATCCATGTCAATGTAAAGGGTAGATATATGTTATAATATTGTTACAAAAAATCAGCGAAAAATTATATGCATTTTTTTATTTTCAGCCATTTTAGTTAACATTGATTTGTCTATCTGACTCGCGAAATCCACTTTTCGTCAATAACAGTGGCACGTTTAAAAACCTCTGTCGATAGGATTCCTGTTTTAAGTTATTTCTGTTCAACATCAATACAGAAAACTCCCCTATGACTCCTGGTTCAAAAGCTCGCCTATTTTCAAAATGGCCGCCATTTTTGTCTCGCGAAATTCACTTTTGACCCATTTCCTAGCTTTACAAATAATTTCAAGTGTCCTACATTGTAAAAATCCATCTCAATATAAAGAGAAGATGTATGAAATAATTTTGTTACGAGAAATCAGCGAAAAATTATATCCATTTTTTTATTTTCAGTCATTTTAGTTAACATTGATTTGTCTATCTGTCTCGCAAAATCCACTTTTGGACCATTTACCTTAAACCCTCTGTCGATAGGATTCTCGTTTTAAGTTAATTTTGTTCAACATCAATACAAAAAACTCTCCTATGACTCTTGGTTCAAAAGCTCGCCTATTTTCAAAATGGTCGCCATTCTTGTTTCGCGAAATTCACTTTTGACCCATTTCCTAGCTTTACAAATAATTTCAGCTGTCCTGCATTGTAAAAAGCCATGTCACTGTAAAGAGTAGTTGTATGAAATAATTTTGTTACAAAAAATCGGCAAAATATTATATCTGTTTTTTTATTTTCAGCCATTTTAGTTAACATTGATTTGTCCATCTGTCTCACGAAATCCTCTTTTGGACCATTTACTTAAAACCTCTGTCGATAGGATTCCAGTTTCACGTTATTTTTGTTCAACATCAATACAAAAAAACTCCCCTTTGACTCCTGGTTCAAAAGCTTGCCTGATTTCAAAATGGTCGTCATTTTTGTCTCGCGAAATTCAATTTTGGCCCATTTCCTAGCTTTACAAATAATTTCAGGTGTCTTGCATTGCAAAAAGCCACGTCACTGTAAAGAGTAGTTGTATGAAATAATTTTGTTCCAAATAATTGAAAAAAAATTATATCTGTTTTTTTTTCAGCAATTTTACTTAACATCGATTTGTCCATCTGTCTCTCCGTCAGTCCAAAATAGTGGCAAGTGGCTTGAAATAATTTTGTTACAAAAAATCAGCAAAAAATTATATCCTTTTTTTTCTGTCACCATGTGAGCCCAGTACCCACGGTACTAATTTTTTATTGTCACTATGATGCACAACCACGCCATCTTTCAATAGCAGTAAACGTTTTTCTATATTGATTAGTTCCCAAAATGCACTTCTACAGTGGTATACGCTAGAGTGGTATACGGTGGAGTGTATACGATGACGATATACCACTCTCCACTATATATTGTTGTTATAGACACCTGTTATACAACTATAATTGGACTTAGAGTGGTATAAACTCTGTTGCATAAAAATCATGTCCTGTATACCAGTCTATTCTATTACATTTATGCATAAGCAGTATTTCAACCTACAAGAAAAATAAATTATTATATCAAATGTGTAAACTAAACTTATTTGTGTAATAAGTATATTAACAATATTTCATCCTTTTAACAATATAACCCTGCTTAAACAATAAGTCCATAAATTATCCAAATATCAATTCAGTAAATGGTAAACCTCCAAAGCAGGCCAGATCCTTAAAAGGTAACACATATTGTTTAGCAAATCGATCGCTGGCTTCTGGTGTTGCTCAGCGTTTAGTATAAAAGGCCTGATCCCGGAACAATACTCAAGGGTTCACAGGCTCGAGGTTGTTGTGTCAACACCTCTAACTGTTATGTAGCATCCGTATATTATTTATCGTCACACATTTATAAAAGGGAGATTTTTATTTTGACAAATCAATTTCACATTTATGGGTGACGTTTTGGGATCTTCTATTTAGTGTACAATAAGGAAAATTGAATTCTTAAGGATAGGTATTGATATGGTGAACTGAATTCAACAATGTTTTTCTCTTAAACCAATTATTGAAAACATTCTGTAAAAAAAACACAATCCTTTATGTAATGTTAACTGATTGACAACAATTTAATGTGAAAATAATTTATATATATTTTATATAACTGTTTTTTTGTTAACATTTTTTGTTTTTTTAGTGTTTTGTGTTTTGTTTTTTGTTCCTTTCAGAATGAAATAAAATGTCTCTCCGAACCTTGTTGGAACAAAATAGCATATACAACATTTTCTTAGACCTCTCAATATTATAGTTATACAAAGGAAATTTTGGTTGATTTAACAAAAAGTATGCAAAAATTAAAGCAAGCTCCCCAAAATAGTTAAAATTAAGATAAACCTTTTATTTTATTAACAAGATACTTTTTTAAGAACAACCAAACTTTCCTCTGTACAATTACAATATTGAGAGACCTAAACGCATTGTCTTTATCTCATTTTGTTTCAATGGGGTTCGATAGATGTTTCATTACATTCCGAACATCTGGTACCAAGAACAAAAGAAGTGTCTGATGTGTTTTCTAAAACAGTATAGAGAAAAGTGTATATATTTCAAATTATAATGTTACCATCCAAAAGATGACCATTAAATTGATGATGTGTAAATTTTTCAGAATTTTTTAAGACTGGTATAAGAGAAATGTGTGTTCAAAAAGTTCACCATATCGATACCACTCCTTTCCATGATGTATTAGTACACAGCTTGGCATATGAAGTATCCTCCAAATGAAACAAAGCAGTTCTAAACTTCTAATACAAGGATTTATATTGGCTATTGTACATGCATTCTTTGATCAATCACTCTCTCGATAATGTTTTCAGAATCATTATAAACAGATTACTTTATCTCCAAGACAATTTCAATTAACTGGATTTTACAAAATTTCCCTAATTTCTTAAAAATGGACTGATCCAGGTGACTTGCCTTGAGCCGCCATATTGTTTTTATACGGGAAGCTTATCGGAATCCTTTAAAGTTGATACTCTCACCTTTCAAATGGTATATTGAAAAATAAGGACAAAGTATTAAGGACAATTTGACTTACTTTCTCAACTTGACCTGATTTTTTTTAGCTCACATGGTGAGCTATTGCATTGTAAAATGCCATGTCACTGTAAAGAGTAGTTGTATGAAATAATTCTGTTACAAACAATTGGCAAAAAATTATATCAATTTTTTTATTTTCTGCCATTTTAGCCATCATTCACTTTTGAGCAACACCATGTGTGCCCAGTACCCATGGTACTGTTTTCTATATTTTGCCTTATACCCAATAATTGAATTGAAGGTATTGCAATTGAGAAATGATTACAAACAAGATTATTTAAAGCAAAATGATATTCTGTTTCTAGGTCTATTACCAGAAAATCTGGCCACCATGCAGGAACTTTGTCTTACTGCACAGGGCTGCATTCTTCTGCTTATTATCAAGAACCACTTAAAGGACATGTATGGAATCTCTGACCAGTAAGTTCACACTTTCAGGCAATTTATTCTATGTACAGGAAATTTAACATGATTATGTAAATTTGTTTAAATCCAAAATAATCTAAATTGGAATGTGCTCACATTATGTGATAATAAAGGATACAATCCAATACCAGGGCCGTCAGATGGGGGGGTGCGATGGGTGCGACCGCACCCCCCTTTGTCACCCCCAAAATAAATTTGTCAAATTTTTTTTTGAAAAATATTTTTTTTGTAATTTTTTTTTCATTGACTCATACACTTTGAAAGTACCCAGAAAGCACCATATAGTATCTTAAAGTTGTAAAATTTTCAAGGGGTATTGGCCACCCCTCACCCCCCCCCCACAAAACAATGGAAAAGTTCTGAGACACTTTTAAAGTGCCCAGATATCATCAAATAGCTCCTTGATATAGTAAGTGTTTCTGGGGGACTTACTCCCCCTCTTGCATCTTGCACTTGCATAACCCCCCCCCCCCTCTGGCGCCCCCCTTGACCCCCCCAAAAAGTGATTTTCTCAAATTCTTTAATTGACCATACACTTTGAAAGTGCCCAGAAAGCATCAAATAGCGTCTTAAAATTGTAAAATTTTCTAGAGGGAGTGGGCCACCCCTCACACCCCAAACAAAACAATGGAAAAGTTCTGAATTTGTTTATTTATCGTCTCAGACACTTTTTAAATTGCCCAGACATCATCAAATAGCTCCTTGATAAAGTTAATGATTCTGGAAGACTAACACTTACTCGCCCTCTGGCATCCCCACTCCACCTCCCCCTCTGGTATTGCCCCTTAACACCTCCCCCCCAAAAAAAAATTGAGATTTTTCAAATTTTTGTATTGACTCATACCCTTTGAAAGTGCCCAGAAAGCACCAAATAGCATCTTAAAATTGTAAAATTTTCTTGGGAAATAGGCACTTTTAGGCACAGACACTTTAAAAGTGCCTAAACTTCATCGAATAGCACCTTGATATTGTAAATTTTGATATGGGGGACAAACACTTGCCCCCCTCTGGCACCCCAGCCCCATCTCCCCCTCTGGCACCCCTTCCCCTCTGGCACCCCCCCCCTTTGACACCCCCAAAATTTGAAAAAAATTGTGATTGTTTTTCAATGTTTTTAAATTGTTAAATTTTCTAGGAGAGTTAGCCACCCCTCACATCCCCCACAAAACAAAAGAAAATATTCTGAATTTCATGTATTGTCTCAGACATTTTTTAAGTGCCCAGACATCATCAAATAGCACCTTGATATGGTCAATGTTTCTGGGGGACAACTCCTTGCTCACCTACTGGCACCCGACAACACTTCACCCTCTCATCCTCTTTGACACCCCCAAAAGAATTTGAAAAAAATTCACATTTTTCTTATTGACTCATAACGCACAGGCGTGCCAGATGGTTGCAAATTCGCTCCAAATACAACCAAATTTCAAAATTTTCCTGGGGAAGAACCCCGAGACCCCCCGAATGCTCGGTTTTTTATTCACTCAACTCTTATTCCCGTGGTGGTGGCGTACTACTTAGAAACTTACACTTTGAAAGTGCCCAGAAAGCACCAAATAGCATCTCAAACTGGAAAATTTTCTAGGGGGAGTGGACCACTCCTCACAACCCCACAAAACAATTGGAACGTTTGGAAGTTGCATGTATTTGTTAATTCCAAACCAATATAGGGAGTAACTGACCCCCCCCCCCCCCCTCTGTCTTAGGCGATTTGATTTACGCGGCAAAAAATGACAATTTTATATTCTCTTTAGTAAGCTAAAAACCGCACCCCCCTTGGAGAAAAGTGTTTTACGGGCCTGAATACAATTATAAAATACAATGCAATCCAATGTAATACAATACAATACAATACATACATAGAACTGGAGTGGGAAATTCAGGGAATATTGTATTTTTTTAATTGATGTGAGACCATAAAAAAATTATTTCATTACCTCTATTCTGCAGGAAAATAAACACATACTCGCCAAATGATGCAGCTAAAGTTAATGAAAAACCACTCAATCGAAAACGTGTTGTGAAGTTCAAACCAAAACAGGCAATCGGTATACTGAAGCAGGGACCCCCAGAAACTTATGTAGATGATGAGATGAAGAGAAAAATTGCTGAGGAGTACTTAGGGGTAAGCCTACAGCGATCTTGAATTTTTAATTGCATATGCAGTGAATAAAGCTCTATGGAAACCAGTTTAGTAAAAATGAAAATTGTTTATCTAAGGGGAACATGTAGTTAATGCTAGCTTACAAAAGGCATAATAATTGCTTAACTATGTCACAAGATTTATATCCAGTAATATCTGTTTCTTTGTTTCAGTTCAAGCAGCTGATGGACAGTATTGACCCCCAGGATGGTAGCGATGATGGAAGTACAGGGCGTCAGACCCCTGCCACTCGGGCATTTCAGAGTGGCACACCTGGAGGTTCTGGTACCCCTAGGGGGAGTGAAACCACACCCCCTTCAGCCTCAGTTCCACCTCCCCAGGAGAGCAACCATAATACCCCACCCCATCAGGATACCCCAGGGGGTACCCCAGGGACTTCAGGGCAACAAGGCCCTATTAAAATCACAATCCGGTTACCTATGGGGCCTGGTGCCCAGAATGACTCTGAAGAAGAAGATGAAACAGAGGACAATCAAAGTATGGTGTCAGGGGGCACCACTGGGAGGAGCATAGCTTCAGGCCCAACTCATAGTGTTGCATCTGTAGATAGCTTTGAACCAAAGGTATGTATTCAAGTGCCTGATTTCTAATAAAAAACTGTCCTTTTCTCCCAACCTATGGATCTACATTGTAGTGCATTTTTAATGGTCCTGTCAGCAACAATATTTAAAATCTTTTAAAACGCTTCTTTGAAATTGATTTATTCATACCAAGATCTTACTGTTTTGTTATACACTTGTGAGCAGGGAAGGAAAGCCAAGAACATAAAGAAAGGGCTTTCAAAATCCAAAACACTGGCCAAAGTTTCAAAAGCCAAAACACTGGCCAAAGTTTCAAAACCCAAACAGACCAAAGCAACTTCTAAATCAAAGAAAAATCAAAACCAAAGGAGAAGAAAATAGGTTACTAGTAATTAGAATAAGCTCTTGTAAGGTTGCATACACATTTGTTGAGTTTTCCTTATTTGTTCATTATGTTTTGGTTTGTTTGTTGTTAGCATATACTTTATCAGATAATTGATAATATTTTATGATCAGAACGTATTTGACATTAATTTGGAGCTATTTTTTTTTATTTATAGTAAGTTTATTTTATTTTCACAAAAATCAATAATTGTATTGTATTAATTTGGAGCCATTTATCATTATGATCAAACTAACTTAGTAATAGGCCTAGTGACATTATTGTTATAGGCACCATAATTTGTAACCTGCATTTGTGTTGGTGGCTTAAATAAAAGATCTCAATTTTGTAATTGCAACCAGGTTGTGACATTTTGTGATGTTAAAGACTGATCGTTTGGGCTGTATCGACAGTTATTACTGACAAAGAATTTGGCTTATTCGGCACTTTTTGTTTATTAAGTAAAATGTATTTTAAAACTTTATTTGAAAATTCTGAATTGTTATTCATATTATTTCAGGCAAAAGAAAGACGAAGATCTAAATCAAAATCTCATAAGAAATCCAAGTCCCACAAAAAGAAGAGCAAGAAAAAGAAGAGGAGATACAGCTATAGTGATGAAGAAGAGGATGATAGTGATGATTCAGAGGACCCAGATTTCACATATTGACACTAGAATGCTACAATGACACAGATATGTCATATGTACGCTAAATAGTAAATACTGGAAAAATATAAAGATATCTCACAAACACGAAGTTAAACATCTCATCACAAATTACTATGGAACAATCAAAACTGCGACTGTGAGTCACACAAAATCTTATTTTTGCGTTACCTGTTGTTGCATAATGCAGTGAAATGAAACTCTCAATCTTTGAACAAATGCAATACAAACAAAAACTATCATACAGGCTTAGAATCAAAGAAGATGGTGCTTTTTTAAATGTGATGTTAATTCTATTTCATTTAGTTTAAGATTCAACAAAGGATATGGATGAGTTGGCGTACTTCTATCTATTTTACAATATTCCTTGTTGTGAATATTTACCTAAAATACCAAGAGTTATGACTTTGTTTCATGATATTCAATGCTTTGATTTCTTATTTGACAATTTCAAAAGAAGGATTTCCTCTTCAATTTGGACATTTCTGCATCTTAAATCTACATTGACTTCTAAATTTCAGCGGATATCTCAATTCTTTCGGAAATTAAATTTTGGATTGAGATATCCTTTGCTGCTAACTTAATTAGTTCAAATGTAACCTACATACATACGTACATACAACTACATGTATTTCAATGGAAAAGCTTGCCATGTATGGCACTTTCCTAACTTAAAGGATTATTTTTTCTGAAATTTCGAAATTATTCATTATAGTTAGATTAGCATTGTTTTCAGAAATATTTGTAGAAAAAGAATGTTCTTAGTCAATTTCACAATGTAAAAAGGCTAGGATTGTTAGAAGGTTTCAAACTGTAAAAAATGTACATAATGTACAAATAGAGTCATATTTATTCTATATTTTAGTGAACTTAAATAGGTAGTGAGAACCAAGACTTAACTGTTTAAAGAAGCAATGTAGTTCAGTTTTAAGATATAATGATGCAATGAAAAATACAACTGGAACTATATTATTGTAATGTAGACAATTTAGGGCAACATTTAAATAGTAAAATGAATCTAACAATCATAATATAAAATGTGCAATCGAGCTGTAGTAGAGCTTTAATAATATAGAGAAAAACTTGCTTTTAATTTACAGAAACACAATCATTGATTGGTTAATCAATCAACTGAATTATCATTGTTTGGTTGATTGATATGATATAAGGGGCTGTGTTATACGTATATGCATCTAGCAACATTGATAATGTCAATACAAACTCATTCTACTTACATTTTATTATTGTATTGAACACTGGAACAATGAATAGGAATGCATAGGGGACCTCAGTTTAAAGTGAAATTTCTAAAATGCACTGCAGCTCTAACCTTATACTAAGTAAATTGTTCATTGTTTCATTCTCTGAAAAATCAGCATCTCGCATTTCGTTGTATTGTTTGTATATGATGTTGTGTCAAGTGTTAGTGAGTTTTAGTTGACCAATCGGATGAAAGATTGGGACGTATAGAATCTGTTGGGTCTCCCTACATGTACAAAATAATTAACTGATAAAAAGGTGTATTAAAACCATGTCATCGGAAAAAAAATACCAAATTACTTTAGAATCCAAGAACAACACGCTGCCATAATCTGTTAGAATTTTGTTTACAAAACAATAGGCTAGATATTGATATAACTGACATAATTTGCCTCCAAACAATGGCCAGGCCATTGCATTGATATTTAGTCACCAAACCCAATGGAAATCTTCAGACCTTATGTGTATTAAAACTTGTTGTATAAGAGACTGTAAATATTCTTTAACTTAGCATAAACATTGAACAGTTCAAGTTGCGTTCATACAAGAGATGGACTCGGGATTGTCATTCTCATACAGTGGAAAGCCTTTGTCTATATTTATATTGAAAACTGGAGTAATAAAAAAACAAAATCAACTAATATATGCCTTCTGTCTAATTGAGAAGTAGACCCATGACTAAAACATTCTACATAATTGTGCACCTTGAACAATACCTGGAAACAGCATCTATACTGCTGTACTGTAAACTATACAAGCAGCTTACCTGGCAAAACTTACAATATGGAATTAAAGTTCTGTTTCTATGTTTATAATGAGAGGTGCATGATAAATAGAATATTTGCAGAAGAGGCCAGAAAACTAAGACGAGACTTTTTGCCTCCAACCATGCCCATTGTCAATTTCATTGCTTGTCATCACTAGATATAGTAGTTAGTTTCAAACTAGGTTATATTGTTGTAAAATTGTCACCCTTTTGTTGTTATTTTGTTTAAAAACAACATTCCTTTAGGTGAAATATATTAATGGTCAAAAACTTCCCAATTTGACCCAAGCTCTTGTGTTAAAAAATGTGAGCTTCCCAGCCAGTCCCAGGAAATTTAAAGGTAGTGTCTGATCTAGCGAGTGACCTCTACAAAAAATTGTCTCAATTTTAGAATATTTTGGGCTCATATCATTCCTTGTCATGCCTGCCATGTCTATTTTTAAAAAATTCCCAGTTGTATAAACTAAGCTGAGATAAGTTTATTTGAGGAAAACTAACAATTTTTAAATGAATGCATTAACTTATCCTGTTATCTATAAATGTGATTTATCATTTGGGAGAATTTACACATTCCTGGCAAATTGAGCACTTTTAATCTTAATAACTCCAACAATTGATAAAATACTGCTGATATTCTTTTGGAGATAGTAACTACATACATTTGAAGACATTTGAAGATCAGTTGTTCATTTGTGACCCATATAGCTCTGATTCTGCCTTTTGGGACTAGAGGGGATAGAGATAATTTGAAAGTGAAGTAAAAATATCTACATTTTACAGTATTTTCTCACAGTGAGCACTGTAATCATCCCTAGATGTACTCTGTTTGTTTTATCCTAGAGGAACTTTACTATTACATGTATTTTTGCTCACACCATTTCCAACATTATTCATGTCATTGACATGTCTGTTCTCTAAATCTGGACACAACATTACTGACTTGTCTTAGGATAATCATTTTTGAGATTATCTAGCTGAAATTTGAATAAGGTATTTTGATATTTTCATCTCAATGACCACCACTGCCACTGTCTGTATCACACTGGACGAAACGGTTTTTGGCTACACTTATAGGAGCTCTTCAAACATAAAACCTGGAAGGTGTTATTATCAAGTAAGAAATTGGACTGTGTAATACGAAACAAAACTTTGTGCAGCTGTGTCTTCAAGTGCGGATTGCGTGAGTATTTGACGTTTATTTCTTTAAATGCAAAGCTGAATTGAAAGTATAGACTCTATACTACTTTTTATTAGTATTATTACATTGGTCTCCAAATTCTGTATGCTATCTAAAATATCTGATATATTGAAAGAAATGATATTTTTTCCAAAATTTAATTTTTAAATCTGACCTGGTGGTGCTGGTCTGACTTCTCAGACTTCTCTACCAGCTGACAGAAATCTTTTGAGCCAGCTGTGTTCAGTAACTCAGACTCATGAAGATCTGATCAACAGAGATCTATTTATATGGTTTCTTCTTGACAGCCCATTTCACCGTTTTATTTCGTCAGTAGATTAGAACCCCCAAAATAAGAAATCAGGGCGGTGAATTCGTACGATCCATGATCCGATCCGGATAAATTTCGTCATGGTAATGATGCATTGTGCGATTAATCCAAGAATTAATCCAAAAATCGGTGAATTCGTACGATCCTGGGATTTATCTCAGGATAAATCTCAATCCACCTCTAGAGGTAGATTACTTTTTAGATAAATTTTATTTGAATTGCAATGCAAATTGGATAAATCTTGGGGATTCCCCCTCATAATCTCGGATCGTACGAATTCACCAAATATTTATCGGATAAGTAATCCAAAATTTATCCAAAAAGATAAAATTTATCCGGATTAGATTGGGGATTGTACGAATTTACGGCCCCTGGAGACCATTGTGCAATAATAAATGGAAAAGTAAATTCATATTGTACATGAATGACATTTGTATATTTCAAATTATTTAGTTTTTTTGTGCAATAAGACCGTGCCCTCTTGTAATTTAAAGAATTTCAGCCATGTTAATCTTTTTGAAAATACTATGGCAGAGAAGCATCAAAATATAAGAGGCCACATACTTTATTATAGCCAAACTAGAAGCAATCCAAGATATACAAATGTCATTTATGTACAATAGGATTATATTTTTCCATATATTATTGCAAAATGATCTTTTGATTTCTTATTTTTAGGTTTTACTGATGCAATAAAACAATGAAATGGGCTGTAGTTATTACGCTAAGAGATAGTTATAAGCTCATTTCATTTGAACTCTTATTCCTAATGATTTCAAAACCTGTAGTGTACCACAACATCCTTGTACTAGTCTAGTATACAGTCTATGTTAGACGATAGAGTGAGACAAACTTGCAGACCTATTATAGAGGGATGTCGCGAAAGGAAAGCACAATCAATACCCCCTGATTAATTATCTGATACTTGAATAAACTGGGGAAATTCACTTGTTGTTTGATTTGTCGTTAAATTTGTTTATCATGGTCACGTGACCAAAGGAACGCCATAAATGGCAATTCTAAAATAAATTAAAAACCGGATTTGAATCTGATTAGCTGTCTGGCTCAAGGCACATGCCCAGTTTGCAGACGCTCATGTCACTTGACAGTGTTTTCCCTCGATTGCCGCAATCAAACTCAATTGTGTATAATTCTGACAGTTGGTTGTTCTGTTGATTTTCTCAATATATCAGCAATACCCATAAGTTGGTCTCAAGATATATTTAAGTAAAGATATAATATACGCAATTATAATGGAACATCACTGATTGTCCGGGAGAGAAACCTTTGGCATACAGAGTATCTTTAAACTCCTGTGTGAAAAGCTTGCATCGATCATATTTTATCCCGCCTACTATCAGCTTTTTTTTTATCTAAACCAGTGAGGACTCTGTAAGTCTTTATTTTAAAATTAGCATTTTATCCATGATTCAGTCAAGAATTTCACCAAAGTTTTATTGTGCAATGTA